TAACCGTCTCTCCCAGTTAAACCTCAACCTATTGCCACTCCCACCAACTTCAAGTCCGGTCTCACTCTCAAGTGTTGAGCAGTCGATAATGGCTAGAGACCCAGTGGCAATGGCGCTGTATGCGGTTGTGGTGTCGGTTTGTGCACCGGTTTGGGAAGAGATAGTGTTCAGAGGGTTCTTGTTGCCGTCCCTGACTAGGTACATGCCGGTTTGGTGTGCGATTCTTGTGAGCTCTGTTGCGTTTGCTTTGGCCCATTTCAATGTGCAGAGGATGTTGCCGTTGGTGTTCCTTGGAGTGGTTTTGGGTTTGATATTCGCGAGGTCAAGGAACTTGTTACCTTCGATGCTGTTGCATAGCTTGTGGAATGGATTTGTGTTCATGGAATTGATGCGATGATGATGACGATGACTATCTGATGTAGATGTCTCCTTTTTTTTCTTCCTTATTCTTCCTGTAATTGATTCATGTTATATGATTGTTAGTTTTTTCTTGAAATTAAATGGACAGTTCAGTTGTAAAAAGAAGCCGACAAAAAAGAAGTAAATTGTCGAAAGGAAAACGAGGATACCAGAAAACATAGAAATGAAATATATTTAATTATGTTTTGAGTTTAACACAAAAGTAAATAGATTCGTCAAATGTGCATAATCTATAGTGTATCTTGTTCTATTTCGTCTTGAGCGATTGTTAACATAAGTGGATATAACCAAAAAAAAATCATTTTCAAGTACTATTCTATAAAGCACATTTAACGATCAAGTTGTACAAAAAAATTAGAATATATAAACACTTTTATCTAAATAAGATAGGACCGTGCTGAAATACGAATTTATACAACTTAGAAAGGTAAATGATCTTTTCAAAAACAAAATAAATTGGTTATATATAGACTTTGATTTCGTCTTTTCAAAATTATCTTTCAAGCTTTCCAAACGATTAATGGACTAAGCTTCCATCTTGATAGATATGGAGCAAATGATATGAAAACGACATTCACATAATATATAAATATAGGCCAGATGTGAAGCAAGTAAAAAGAATAACAAGAAGTGCATTGTCTTCTAGCTTTTAAGTCCTATGACTCTTCTTATCACATTTTCAGTTAAGGTGGTGATATGAATTATCCGGCCCTTGAGCTCGATTAAGGGCAGACTAATCCTTCTTCAACCTACAAATCCACTACAATACTGACAAACAAAATTCCATTACTAATAGTAGCTTTTTGATTTTTCTTTTTCAAAATATATTTTTTCCACTTATCGTTAAAGGTTGAGAGATATTTATATAAGACTTTGCCAATCTTTCTTTCTCTTCTATTATATAAATCTGATTCATATATATGCCATATTCAGCGGAGGGTTTTATGAAGATCAGGCTTTCAGGGGATTATATTATTCTTTATATAACATTTGTGGTTTTGAACTTTTGATTAATGTAAATACCACATTACCATATACTTTGGGCTGCTTATCTATTTATTTATTTGCATATTTCGCCATGCAAGAAGTGAATTCTACTAAAATGTATGTTAAGTATATAACTTAGAGAATCACGAACCGAACGTCGACTTCCTCGATCGGGATCACTGAGAATGTCTAAATTTGTCAGCCGACGCCATTGCCGTCAAATCAGACGCATTTGGTCAACATATATTTCGGGGTCAAGCCTCCGATGATCCGATCCATGTCCATGTGTAATGTATATGGTTGGTTTTATAATATTGGTTGGTTAGCTAAAACGCCCACTCACATATAAATATTACAACTTACAAGTCTAATAGATAATTGATCGACATTATGGTATTGGTCTTTCTCTAGTCTCGTAAAGTTGCCTAGATATCTAGATAGCGACCAGAGATATAAAATAACCTAACTGATTGTATTTTCACTTGGCTGCTTATCACGAATGTAAATCACACCGTTATATTTTCACATAACATTGAATCAGTTAATTTCCACTATTTTATCGACAAAGTTAGGTTATGCATCTCACAATTTATTAGAGGATTAAACACATAACATTACAGACGAACAAAGATACATAATTACAGCAACGAGACACTGAAAGGTTGGAAGATTCAAAATTGCATGTTAAAGAATGGCATCATCTCGTAAGTACCCAATTACATATATAACAAAAAAAAACGTTATAACTATTTAAGAAGGAAGAGATTTTAGTTAGATCTATCTTGTTTTAGTGTATTTTAATATGTTAAATTAGAAAAAGGAACTAGTGGGTCTGCATGTATCTAGAATTAAAACTGAAATCGGTTGTCCTGTAAATAAAATGTGAGAGCCTCTTTGGCACTAGGCTCTTTTTTTTTTTCTTTTTTGAATTTGGCACTAGGCTCTTGAAAATATAACTTTATATAAATATAAATAAAATATATTCTTTTGACTAAAAATAATATATATCAAAAAGGAAAATGTAAGAGCGGAAAACTTCAAACAGGGAGAAAAAGAAAATGAGAACGGTGAAGATATATGAAGTCAAAATGGAAAAGATGAAGATAAAGTCCCCGTAGCATCGTCTGTGATCTATATTTTAATATCTTTGTATATCATTATATATGATGAGTTTATCTATAATCTGAAACATTTTGGCGTTAAAAAATTTCTTATATCTTAGCTAGGGGAAAAATTAAATAATGGTCAATTTGAATATCAAATTTCATGATGGACGTAACTGTCAAGAGGAATCTTAGTTGGCCATTTGCAACCAAAACCAGGAAAATAGAAAAGAATTTTGGTTGTATAAGTTTAAATGCACGATAAACAATTTTTTTTTTTGACATGTTGAAAGTTATATCCTCGTATTGAGAGTTATTGAAACTCAACTATAGCATAATGTCGGAATGATGAGGACGACAAACCATAGACTCGTATTCGGATTTCAGAACATAAGATAACATTCATATCACCTGCATCTACGAATCTATATATAATGTTTGAGACCAGAACTGCGGAAACGTAGTTTTCATGATGCAAACATTCCATAAGTGCTTGAACTTCTCAACATAACTACATGGATGGTGTTATGTACTTGTGTTTGTGAATTTTTTATATTTGCTTAACTGTAGAGTTATGGATCTATAAGTCCAAACAATTCCTTATCGTACGTAATCGAAATCTCTCCCAAATAAGATTTGAGTTATAACTTTTTTAACAAGATCTCTTTTGAAATATATTTAACAAGGAGTTATAGGATTTGCACCTATATTTTGCGTTTGGCCGTCAAGCACGCATCCATGACTCACATTTTCATTTTTGTATACATTTCGGTCTTAATTGGTTTACCAGAATCGTATGATCAATCTTATAAATTCGTAAGAAACCAAAAAAAAAAACCTCATGGAGCTCGTCGTTACAAAGAAAAAGAATATGAAAATAATTGACGGGGTCCACTGATGGCCGCTTAGTAACCTTCATGGATGTAACGTTTGTTCTCTTCTGACTCGATATGGGCCACTTTTTCTTGTCCTTTTATGTCTTTTTCTTTCCTTTTCTCACATTCAGCCTCTTTTGCCCTTGTTCTCACATGATAATTACATTTTTAACACTGCTTGATCCTCGTTTCTGGGCCCACATGATGGCCTTTTAAATGCGACCAAGAAGGCCCATGAAACTTTTCGATTGGTTTCCCTAAAATACCCTTTGATCTAGGAACGGATAGTGATAAAACTCGCTGGTTGAACACGTGATTTATGGTAGGAACAAGGGCGAATCTCATCATTTTAGGAAAAGGAATTATTGTTCCAAAAAGACTTTAAAAGTCAAGACAGTTAAGTTTGATTAGATGAATGAATCATGTGACTGAATATTCAGTTAAGTTCGTTTTATTTTTTCTACTACTATTTTCTTTTGGAAATCAAATGTATTGGACAAGGAAAGAAGTAGAGGTGAAAATGTAAATTAAAATTATAGAATGAGTTATTTATGTATTTAACAGTTTTTTATATAAAATCTATAATTTTGCAGAGTACGGATTATCTAATTGGTTTTTGCCATTCGTGTTAATGATAGTATAACCAGACAAAAAGAAAGATTATGGTTAGGCAATGATAAACTAATTAACACTAACTTAACATTACCAGATTCAACGATTTTTTAAAAAATTGAAAAGTAAATCTATTTAGTTACATATTTGTGGGTCATCTTACTCTCAATGTATATTTCGTCTTTTTATGGATTTGTTCTTGAGATTTTAGAATTGGGAGGACAAATACCTTACGAAACTTACCATTTTAATCATGTTTTTGATATTCAGCCAAAAACAAATTACAGAAATTAGGTCATACTATAATATGACCCGTTCATTTTGAACAAATTAAGTCATAGAAATTCCTCAAACATGATTAGTCATTTTTGTGAGGTGAACAACACATAAATTTTGAATTGAGTTTTTCTTTTACAGGAACTGAGACCATAGGTTTGAAAAACCAAGCAACTAGTATACATAGTTTTTTCTTTTCTTTTCTAAACCATACTTTTCCACTTAAAAATTGGATCATAACTAATTGTTGACAGAGACCGGATCAAACGGGGTCGGCGAAAAACTTGGTTATAATTTAAAAAAAAAACACTTGGTTATTGAAAATTAAAAAACAAATCTACTAACCGAAATATTGACAAGACAAACAAAAACCCAAAAAAAAAAAATTAAAATTATCAATTCTAGGATTTTACCCTTAAATGATGATTCAGTAATTTAAGTTGGATATAATTATAAGACTAAAATAACCAGATTTAATCGACTGTAATAAAGAGCTAACACGATGTCTGATATGAAATTGAAGTGATTCGGATCGGATCTTAAAAGGAGCAATTTGATTAAATACAAAGTTAGGTATAACATTTTAAGGAAAAGAAAGATACTGGCTTCCAAAAAAAATACATAAATAAAAACTTTTTTTTTACTCTGTAAAGGAAACGCGAAAGAGAGAGAGAGAGAGAGGAAGGTGGCTTTAAAGAGAGAGACTCGTGGAGGCTCTACTGAAGCGATGCGTGGAACAAAGCTGACACAAAATGGCCACAACACCTTCTTCCCTCTCTTCTTCTTCTCCGCCTTATAACGATAAATTTACAATCTCCGATTCTTAACTTTAAACTCCACGCTTCTTTCGATCTCACTAACTAATTTCACCAAACAAAGGTACGCATTCCCGAATGAATCTATTCTCCCTGCATGTTTTCGGTTTATTACCAATTTTCAATCAAGATTCGGTTTTGTCTTTTATTTAGAGAGATATGGCGGAGACGACGAAGGTGATGTATATAGTGGTGGTCGACGATGTGGATACGGCGGCGATGGTAGTTGAAGACGGGACCGGAAATTGGAAAGATTCGTTTCGGTATACGCGTCCGGTTTTGCAGAGTACTCTTCAGCTCATGGGATGCAAAGCGCGTCACGCCTTCAAGGTGATCATCGCTGATTTTACAGAATTTTTATTGTTTTTTTTTTCTTGTTGATTTGTTTTCACATCGCTTTCGTCGAATTCTATTCTGATTCTTCACCTTTTTGATCTTTTATTCTTGTCCTTTAATGATTTGAGATTATTTCCATTTAAGTTTTATCATCGATTTTTTGAATTTTATAACGAATTGGCATTTCTAGTCGACTTTTTCTGGAATTTGTGGAAAACAGTGATTGTGTCTGAATTTGGACAGGATCAAGCACGTTCGTCTGATTTGGCATTACTTTGTCGACCGACATGGTCTATTCTTTCACAGTTCTTTTTCTTAATAAAAAAAAATGTGAATGATAAATTAATTAGCATGATTTTACCTTTTATCATTTTGGGTTTTCCTGGCTGTTACTGAATTCACATCTCGTAAAGGTACAATTTTATTTGTAATATAATAAAAAAAAGTTTCAAGATTTTTTGTCTTTCTGATTTTTTGGCTTAGAGTTGCAAAGCCTTTGGTGTTTCATTGATTTTAATAAATCCTGAAGTTCTGTCTTTTTCTTTTGTTGTTGGTTGTGAGCAGATTAGCCGCAGGGTTTTTGAGTTAATAAGAAGTGAAGGATCCTTAATACTTTCACCCTCGCATGGGAAAGAATCTGTGTTTGCAAAGACAGGTGATGCTGCTTCGTCTTGTGGTGGTGTAGATAAGGTTAACAAAGCACACTGTTCAGCTACTGATGATGTTGACAAGAGTAGAAGTAAGCCGTTTGAGACGTATAAAAGGCGCACAACCGTTGTTGTTTCGCGAGAGATATTCGTAAATGTTGTCTGTGACGCTCTCGCTGAATACAAGTATGTGGGTCATGACCAAAGAGCCGACTTGATTCTGGCTTGCAAGTAAATCTCTTACCTCTCTCATCAGGAACATATGTTATATTATATTTGTGTCTCATTTTATCTTTACCCATTTCCTGCAGAATTCGAGAAAAGAAAGAATCTGTGACAGTTCTGCTGTGTGGCACTAGTGGCTGTGGCAAATCAACACTCTCCGCACTTTTGGTATAATTCATCATCACATCTGTTTATAAGCTTTAGATCGATATAAAGAAGCTTTGGTCTTTGGTTGACATATGGTTTCACTTCTTTTGTCGCTACAGGGCAGCAGATTGGGGATTACAACGGTTGTATCAACTGACTCAATCCGTCACATGATGAGGAGTTTCGTTGATGAGACGCAGAATCCTTTGCTGTGGGCTTCAACGTACCATGCTGGAGAGTACCTTGACCCTGTGGCTGTCGCTGAGTCAAAAGCCAAAAGAAGAAGAGCTAAAAAGTTGGATGGTTATGCAAAATCGATCCTAGAAGACGAGAAATCTAATGCCTCTAACGCTCAACAGACGGATACAGGCTCAAAATCAACCTCTCCCGTATTGTTAAGTCACAAGCAAATGGCTGTGGAAGGATTTAAGGCTCAAAGTGAAATGGTTATTGACAATCTCGACAGGCTCATCACCGCATGGGAAGAAAGAAAAGAGTCTGTTGTTGTTGAAGGTGTTCATCTAAGCCTTAACTTTGTGGTAAGCCCCCAAAAACACATTTCTATTAGGAGTTGTGAGAATTTCGAAATTCTCTTAACGTCTTTCTACTGGCTTTTGGCAGATGGGACTGATGAAAAAGCATCCTTCGATTGTTCCTTTCATGGTGTACATCTCAAACGAGGAGAAACACTTGGAACGGTTTGCAGTCAGAGCCAAGTACATGACACTTGACCCAGAGAAAAACAAGTACGTCAAGTACATACGCAACATCAGGACCATACAGGACTACCTCTGTAAACGAGCAGACAAACACCTGGTTCCCAAGATTAACAACACCAACGTCGACAAGAGTGTCGCTGCGATCCACGCCACGGTCTTCAGTTGCCTGCGTAGGCGAGAAGCAGGGGAGCAGCTCTATGATTCTACCACGAACACCGTCTCTGTGATCGACGACGAGTACAGGAACCAGTGTACAGCCAATTCTTTGAGCTCCAAAGGAATGTTTCAGCTGATCCAAAGAAAAGGCTCTTCAAGGCATCTGATGGCTCTTCTCAATACCGATGGCACTTTCGCAAGGACTTGGCCTGTCGGTGGTAACGTTGACGAGACCGGGAAGCCTGTCTCTTGTAATGAGATAATGGAGGCGAATGGTATGGAGCATCCTATTTATGGATACTTGCAGAAAGCTGAACCGGTGAATCTTCAGTTTGGTCTGTTTGGGATCAGTGCTTGGCCTAGTGATGGAGCCACGAGCCGTGCTGGGAGTGTAGATGACTTTAGAGCTGACTTGGGTGAGAACGCCAGTAGGCATTACTCTTCTTGCTGCAGCTCTCCTAGGATGTCTGAAGGGACTTCTAAAGAGGTACCTTCAAAACTTTTTTTTCTTGTTTGATTAGTAATGTGGAAAGGTTGTTTTGATGATTCTGTGTTTTCTTCTATGTGGTTTTACTTCAGCTTAAGGAGGAGCAGTCCGTGAATGGTAGCGACGAAGAAGTCGAGGATGATCCTCCTGAGCAAGATACAGACTTTAGCGATGACGATAACAAGAGAGACCATGAAGAGGTAAAAAGAGAGTCTTTTTTTGTAAATGGTCTTCTTGGATTTCGATGGCGTTTTGTTTCGATATCTTGAGTGTTGTGGTGGTGATTTTGGTTCAGGTGGGATCTGTTGATGAGCAATCGACAAAGTCAGATGAGGAGTACGATGATCTTGCAATGGAAGACAAAAGTTACTGGACAGATGACGAGGAAGAGTCGCGAGATACGGTTGCTGTAATGTCTGAGAAAAACCACAAGCCGGAAACAAAAGATGACAAGTACATACAGAACTTAGACCTTTTCCTTCGGACCGCGAACCAGCAGCTGGTCGAGCCGCTTGAGCTATGCGCATCGCTGCTCACGTGCGAGAATGGGAACGCAAGACTCTGGTCGGGTAAAGAAAAGATGAGGAAGCGTTCTCTAAGCATCTCGGCCCTCGGAAAACACGGGTCGGGTTTGGGTGATCCGATTCTCTTGGGTGCCCCATGATCCTTTTGTTTTTTTGGTTGTTAGTAAATTCCTCTGTTATTTTCTGGTTTAGTCTTTAGTTTTTCTAAGTTTCGTGTTTGTGTGTGTGTATAGTCTTTAACTTGTCTCAAAATTTGGGGTTGTTTAAAGTTCATTTTTTTTCTTCTTATGACTTAGATTCTAACGTCGATCTCAACTTTCAAGACTTAAGTATCTTTGGGTTCTTGACACTGACACAAATAAAGTTGGTTCAGAGTTCTTTTGACGGTTAAGTAAGAGACGAGTTACACACGGTCGATAGAAGTGGTGGAGCAAGAAAGTGATATTTTTGAGGAGTTGAAAGAAGTGGTTTAAAAATGATTTTGACGGTGATAGTTTTGTTTTTTCTATAAATACTAAACATGTTCATTAAATCCGACAAAGACATTCATTACATCTCACAGTTTATCGATCTCCACAATTAACTCGGAATATTACTACCAGAGAGGCACGATGTGTTATTTTGTTCGCTCCACGATTTAAATAGTTTGGACGTCTATTGATAATTTTTTCGTCATTTTGTCGTTCGTGTATATATGTTCTCTTTTTCTAAAACCGTATTACTAAAATCGGCGTCCAAAATATTGTTAGTATGAATGAAAACTCATGCTAATTATAAATGAACAATTTTACGGTGGTCCAATAGTTAAAAAGATTCATGATAATGTTTGGGAATCAGAGTATAAATCTTCCGGTTTTTTTTAAATGTTGAGCAATAATCCTTAAAATGGACAATGTGTCAATGATGCTGAGGTCAAGGAATGTATAGAGCAATGAACATAATGTTGTGTGGATTTAAAATTCACATCCTTCATTGACAATTTTGTTTTGAAAGCTATTTGGACATAATTTTTTGTTTATTTAACTATCTATGAAACAATTTTGGATTGTGATGGAAGAAAAGGAGTCAATATCCGGACAATTTGGATTTCCTTCAAACGCAGTGGCCAAAATAAAATTACGTAATTGATTTAATATTATATACAATGGCGTTTAACTTAAGATGACCTCGATAACCAAATAAATAAAATATAAGATGACATCATCAAATTAAATTCCATAATCTAATGGAATCCGGAGAATTTGACTTGCAATTGTTGGACCACTTTTAGTCTTAGAGACACGTATAATTCACATTTTGGTATATATAACCATATGATTGTATATAATTATCTCAATGAGCCTGTAAATCTGCTGGCATTCTAACTAATTAACCAGCATGAGCATGTTACTACCTCGCTACACTTGGCATTCTTTTTTCAGTGTTTTGCCTCTTCTATTTTCCCTTCAGAAAATAAATTTCTAATCCAACTTAAATATATCTATTATCTATATGTTATAATGTATCATAAAAGGCGAACATACGAAAATATATTTATTTTAGTTAAGATTTCTTGAATCTGAAACACAAAATCGCTAAACAAAACCAAGTTTTCGGTCACAAAACATGAAATCATTATGAATTCACAATAATAGGCCTAATATAATGTTTCTATCTCTAACTAATATGAGATCAATCGTTCGGAAAAAATTACCGACGGATTTTCTGTCAATTAGATGTATATTTTGTTACAAATTAAATGATCTATAGAATTATCTATATTTATAAAGTAAGTTTTTCTCTTCTGGTGCTGCCACTTCAGCAACTACATTATTAATTATTTTTATTTAATTTTTTTAAAACATAAAATAACATTAACATATATATATATATATATATAAAGTAAGTTTTTCTCTCTTCTGGTACTGCCATTTCAGCAACTACATCGTTAATTATTTTTTATTTAAATTCTTTTAAAACATAAAATAATATTAACATTCAATATAAAAATAAAAAAAAATAAAAAAATAATTATAATATGTTGTCAGAAAATAAAACAAAATAAAACAAAAAAATAATTATATACATTAGCTTTGAATATTTTAAGATTTAAAACCGAAATTTTATAAATGTGTGATGGGAATTGGTAATCAGAAAGACGAAAAATAATAAAAGTTAACATTAATATTCAATATAAAAAATAACAAACATAAAAATACAATTATAATGTGTAGTCAGAAAATAAAAATCAACAAAGTACAAAATAGCAAAATAAAAAAATAATGATATACATTAGCTATGAGTATTTCATGATTCAAAAAGAAAATTTACGAGTGTGAGACGGTAATTGGTAATTAGAAAAGTAGAAAATAATGAAAATTAATATTAACAATCAATGTAAAAATTAGCAAACATAAAAAGACAATTATAATGTATTGTCAAAAAATAAAAGATCAACAAAAAACTATAAAAGAAATAATGATATACATTAGCTCAGTATTGCAAGATTCAACGCAGAAATTTACGTCTATGTAACAGAATTGGTAATTAGAAAGATGGAAAATAATAAAAATTAATATTAACATTCAATATAAAAGAATAGCAAAAATGAATAATGTGTTATCAGAAAATACAAAAAATCAACAAAATATAATATAATAAACCAATAAATAATGATATACATTAGCTGTGACTATTTCATGATTTAATGCAGAAATTTATGAGTGTGTGACGGACATTGATAATTAAAAAGACGGAAAAATTAATATTAAAATTCAATGTAAAAATAGCAAGCATAAAACTTTACATTATAATGTGTTGTAAAAAAATAAAAAATAAACAAAATACAAAATAATAATAACAATGATATTTCAAGATTATATAATGATAACAATGACATTAGCTTTGAGTATTTCAAGATTAAAAGCAGAAATTTAAGAAAATATGATGGGAATTGGTAATTAGAAAGACGGAAAACAGTTTCCAAAGAAAATCCAATAAAAGTGGAATAGAAAATTCGGGTAACGAGACGGGTTCGAGAAATTGCATTATCTAAAATCTATTTACAAATTCTCAATATTTTGGATGAAAGTCAACTTTAAAAAAATATTTTGGGAAAATTCCGAAAAGTCAAAGAAATTAAAAAAAAAACTATATAATTTTTAAAATTTTAATTCTTAAATAGATAATTTGGATATCTAATATCATACATGTTCTCTTTTCTTATTTGTTTAAGTAAATCAAATAATCTTGAATGGATATATTTGAACGAAATTGAGATAAGACAAAAAAAATTCAAGATGAGTACATTGAAAAAAATAAACAACCTCAAAATATCCAAATTCACGTGTTGCGCGGATCACAAACTAGAAATTAAAAAAAAAATCGAAGAGATATATGTGAGAAACAGAAATTCATCTTAAAATTCTTAAGAATATACGATACAATAAATTGAATATAAAAAAATATAAAAATGAATCACATAGTCGCGCGTAGCACATATCACCAACTAATATTTTTATATAGTATTATATATTTGACGTCTCCTCTGGATTCTCCTAATTTGTTTTTATTATTTCTGTATAAGTGAAACGCATGGTGTGTCTTTCTTTAGGAATAAAAATACAACTGTTATTCTGCTGTTACAATCTTTCCTAAGCATATTTAGGGATCTGATTACATCATCCTCACAACTATATTTTAATAAGTAAGAATCCAGATATTTGTTTCTTACAATAACACTAATATGCTAACAATTTTAATTTAACCCCATATAAAATAAAACTATATATTATCAAATGGAACCTTTTAATGCATGCAAGGCATAGTCACGTAGAGGAAGGACCCAGGACTCGTCCCCATGTATGAAACTATGAATAATATAACGTATATACACGTTAACAATGTTACACCGTGATTTTCTTGGATTATTTATTGCATCCCATTATGTGTAAATATTCCTATTTTACCAGCTTACTCACCTCATATCACAAAATTTCAAGGACTTGTAAAACTCCGTGAGCAAACTCCATGACAATTAGAGCTATAAGTATGAACGTATAATCATACACGTATCCTCAAATAATATTTCTAAAGCAAAATTAAAAAAAAAAAAAATTAAGAATATAAAATGAATTTTTAGTATGTAACTATATACTCCTTCCGTTTTTAATTGGTAAAGAAATTAGAGTTTCTACACATAAAACTAATGAAATATTATGTATATTAACATTCATACCAAAAAAAGAGAATGTTTGGTACAATTAAGTTGTGCCTTTATAAAACTAGATCAATATTATACATGTTGTGCCTTTGTAGTTTACATTACAAAATTTAGTTGTAGTTTTAGTATATAATCTCTGCAAGGGCTGTCAAAAAACTATAGTTGATCTTCATTTTATAACGGGCCGGGTATGACTCATTAAGTCAAAGAAATACACAACAGCAATGAAACTCGAAAATAGTAATTCTGAGAATATGGACAGATGTTGATAAATACTAAATTGGAATCTAAGTGAACCTTTGAGACGTAGGATGAGGCTTAATTCTCGTTTATGCATGCCCGCGGCGGAACTGAATATTCCATAGTAATATTATAAAGGCACAACTTGTATAATTGTAATCAATCTTCCATAAACAATTTCGAGTCATTAACTATCGTAAAGAACTATACTAATATAGTATTATATACGTAAAACGAATCCCACTTATAGCCTTTTCGAATCTCCATCGGCTCTTACGAAGTCAACTTTCGTATCTCTATATAAACCAACCTTCTCCTTTTTGTTCCTTAAACACAAGACCACAAGCAAATATCACATATAAAATGGCTGATGGTTTCGGTGAACCGGGAAGTTCAATGCACGGAGTCACCGGCCGAGAACAAAGCTATGCATTCTCGGTTCAATCTCCGGTGGTTCCTTCCGACACATCAGCAAAATTCTCTCTCCCCGTGGACACCGAACACAAAGCCAAAGTTTTTAAACTCTTTTCATTTGCAGCTCCACACATGAGAACTTTCCATCTTGCATGGATCTCATTCTTCACTTGCTTCATTTCCACTTTCGCTGCTGCTCCCCTCGTCCCCATCATTCGAGATAACCTTAACCTCACCAGACAAGATGTCGGAAATGCCGGTGTTGCCTCTGTCTCCGGAAGTATCTTCTCAAGACTTGTTATGGGAGCCGTCTGCGATCTCCTTGGGCCACGTTATGGCTGCGCTTTTCTCGTCATGCTCTCGGCCCCGACCGTCTTCTCCATGTCTTTCGTTGCTGATGCCGGCGGGTAAGCACTAAGCACATGCTTGTAAATTTTAGAATTGCGCAAACCGTAAGCTTTACTTCATTTACTTTAAACACGGTCTTATATCAGCCAATAAACTGATTCTAAGAGCATTTTTGTTATAAAAAACTAAAATCTTCAGTTTTCATCTCAATTAATTAATGATCAATAATTCTAAATATTGGATGAATTTTCCACGTGGAGTTCCTAACATATTTTTGACGATAGGTACATAACGGTGAGGTTCATGATAGGGTTCTGCCTGGCGACTTTTGTGTCATGTCAGTACTGGATGAGCACGATGTTCAACGGTCAGATCATAGGTCTAGTGAACGGGACAGCGGCAGGTTGGGGGAACATGGGCGGTGGGGTCACACAGCTGCTCATGCCGTTGGTCTATGAGATCATTCGACGGTCGGGATCCACTTCCTTCACCGCGTGGAGGATGGCTTTCTTCGTCCCCGGATGGATGCATATCATCATGGGGATCTTGGTCTTGACTTTAGGACAAGATCTCCCTGATGGTAATAGAAGTACACTTGAGAAGCAAGGTGTTGTTACTAAAGACAAGTTCTCAAAGGTAATTAATATAATAATTGCTAGGGTCTTCTTGGATCCTCTGATTCTGAATATACTATATGATAGTAAAACACTAAAACTCTATCGATCGTTGTCTTAATTACATATGTTTCATGGTATTAGTATATGTATTAATGACTGTTCTGATAGATCTTAATTAGGGTTGTATATTATAGACAAATAAATAAATCTGATTGATTTAGCTAAAAACAAATATTAAAAGCATCTAGTTAAATACGTTTATATAGAAAAATCGAATCTTAATTAATTGTAATCATTTATATATCATCTCTAAATATTATACTCTTTTCATACATTTTCTCTTCTGTTTTTTTGTAATTAAAGATCTAGTTTCTCCTTATTATTTTGGTTAAGACTCATAATTTTCTCGTGGACAACTTTGCCAGGTTTTATGGTACGCGATTACAAACTATAGGACATGGGTTTTCGTGCTGTTATATGGATACTCCATGGGAGTTGAGCTCACAACCGATAACGTCATCGCCGAGTACTTTTTTGACAGGTTAAACTTTTTATGACTAGTATTTTTTTGTAGTTTCAAAATATTGATTGTAGTGTACGTCCATGCGTCATGTTAATATTTATATATAATAGCCTAGCATGATCATATGGTCGGCTTAAATTCTATCACATGCATAATTCTTTTTTTACCAAAACATAAATTTAAAAAAAAATTTACTCTACTGAAAATGAGTTTTCTCTATAAACTAATATTACCTAAACGTTTCTATTTTTTCCGCTAAGACCATCCATATTGGAAGTTTTTCATGAGAAACTATATATTAATTAAATATAGATCAATATATACATATTGATTTAATTCATATTTTATTCATGAGTCTCTCAACTTCAAAATCTCAAAAATGATTATAAATAGTCCTTAAAAATATACAAATAACGTCTATGGATAACATGACTTAATATATGGTGATCCATTTTTTTTTGCAGGTTCCATCTCAAGCTTCACACGGCCGGTATAATTGCGGCAAGCTTTGGTATGGCAAACTTCTTTGCGCGTCCTATTGGTGGCTGGGCCTCAGACATATCGGCTAGATACTTTGGCATGAGAGGCCGTCTTTGGACCCTATGGCTCATCCAAACACTAGGCGGTTGTTTCTGCGTATGGCTAGGCCGAGCCTCGACGCTTCCAACCGCAGTTTTCTCCATGATCCTCTTCTCACTCGGGGCTCAAGCCGCTTGTGGAGCCACCTTCGCCATCATACCTTTCATCTCACGCCGCTCCTTAGGAATCATCTCTGGATTAACTGGAGCCGGAGGAAACTTTGGCTCTGGTCTGACTCAGTTAGTATTCTTTTCGACTTCCACGTTCACGACGGAACAAGGACTGACGTGGATGGGGGTGATGATTGTTGCCTGTACATTACCTGTCACTTTAGTGCATTTCCCACAATGGGGAAGCATGTTTTTGGCTTCCACGAGAGATGAAGTGAAATCTACGGAGGAGTATTATTACATGAAAGAGTGGACGGAGAATGAGAAGCAAAAGGGTATGCATGAAGGGAGTTTGAAATTCGCCGTCAATAGTAGGTCGGAGCGTGGACGGCAAGTGGCTTCTGCGCCGTCTCCTTCTGCGGAACACGTTTGAGAGTTAATTGTGTTTTAAATATGTGTTATATCAAATTGCTATTGCTCTAGATGTGTAAGTAGTTCATCGATATGTTTAGTTTTTGTAAGAGGTGTTATACTACTCTTTGTGTAATTTCATTACCGTTCTATTGTTTTATAATTTTTTTTTTATGTTTTAGTATCTCTTCACGTAATTTGTTTGAGCTACGAACTTAATGTGTTTTCCATTATTTATTAATGATTTTCGTTGTCACGGATTTTTCTGTACCAGAACTAATTCGTTAGATGACGCATATCTTGATCATGATATATATGAATATGACGTGTTCCTAGCTTTTTTCCTATATATACCAACTATTTGAATGATTGGTAATTCATATAGTTTGTCATACTGTAATTAGTAAAATTAGTTAGCTAAGATATCAAAACTCTTAAATCTTAACAATATACACATGCTCCTTCTCAAAAATAGCCCATCGAACCGAATCAGATCACTTGGTTAGCTCATGTACCATTTTTTTTTTTAATAAAAGGCTAATGAATATGATAGGGTCTGAATGATATGCTCATCAAGCCCAATTAAATGATCAGTTTCTTTCTCATAATTTGCCTAACTTATTGCCAGCCCATATTGATATAAGTTGGGTCCTTAACTTCATTATTCCACAAATATTCCACTATTTTCATTTAAAACGTGTAAACCATAATTAAAACTAGTTCCTTCAAGCATTTAGAATTTTTTTTTTTTTTTTAGCATTTAGAATTTTGGACTACGATAAATAGGTGGTATTAGATCTAAATTCAAACTAATACGAGAGTTTATGGCTGTCGTGTAAATTTTACAGTGATCAACAGAGTTATTGTTTGACCAACAAAGGCTTTTTTTTTTGCTAAAGGCCAACAAAGTTATGTTTAGATTATTATTACTTATTACAAATTTACAGTTAACTTTTTTTCCAAAAGAAACGCAGAAATGAAAATGATGATCTTGTTTACATTGTTTTGTTTCTTCTTATCTACTACTCCTTTTGCTCACCTCGCATATGATAAGTTTTTTTTTGTTAAAGGGCCTTCACGCATATGATAAGTCGTCTACACCTTATCTGATTTACACTTTAAAAATACTATTAAGATCTTATTGTACGCAGTTCAGTTTTTTGTTTATTCTTTTCTGTTAAAGATAGTTATTATCAAATCAGAACTAAAATATTTATAGGCCATTTAATTGGATTAGCTCTATACCCAAAAACATCCGATTAGTAACAATCTTTTTAAAATACTACAAACGTCTTAAGAAAACACTTGTCTAACGAGAACAAGTTTTAGTAGATGACGTGTAATTCAATGGTTTGAATGATGAGGATTACAGTCAGAGAGAGGAGGCCGTACTTCTTCCGCATCATAAGGACAGAACCCCAATGCTGTGATCTGTACGGTTGTAAAAAATAGTATATAATATAGATAAGTCAATTGAATTATCGTTAGTGTATTTAAAATAGTCAATAATTATTAGCACCTATTAGAAAATTTTATACGAGCACGATAAAGCATCAACCACTTTTCTGGTGAACAAGCTCCACGTTCATTGTTACGTGAAAGTTGCCATCATTCGAGCGACTAGTCTGTATATATTAAGAAAACTTTACGGAAAATTAAAAAGGAGTCCAATTTTAACCACGCTGAACAAAAAGTAAATATCTTTTTAACCCACAACTTTTGACTCTAATCTATTCACACCGTTTACTTTTGAACTGAGCCACTCGAAGTCTATACTAGTGTTTTGCTTACTCCAAAACCCGTATCTACGCAATCCAAATGAACTGAAATTCCAATCTATAAACGTATCTGAATCTTTCAATTTGTCTGATTCGTTCTATTTTTCCTATATTCGACCAATTATAACCTGAACCACACAATCCAAAAGGAAAAAAATATTATGGGATTTTAAAAATTGAAATAAAAGTATTTACAATTAAAAAGATACTGAATGTGACCTATTCGAACACCTTCAACAAAGAACCAACCCAAACTAGTTTAGGTTTCAGTTCATTTTGTATATATCTTAACTAAATCGAAATAGAAAAGGTTATTTTATAATTCTAACGTAAGAAATTCTCAAAATTGTTATTTTTATTTAACTTTACAAGATTACTATTTTTTTTTTTAAACGGAGTTCCCAAGGAAAAGAAAAACGTTAGGATGAATTGATCATTCAATTTTTCTAATGTTCGGTTAAATACAGATAAGATTAACCATCTTTAATTTGCTCAAGAAATAAAGCCTACGCTGTTTGCATGATTAATTTTACATAGATATGATGCTTATAAGTCTACCAAGTTGCAACTAAGATAAGCCATGAACATTAAATAAATAAATATGATTTAAAAAAAACATTAAATAAATATAAGAAGTCAATGAGCCATTACTTTTCTGAAAGATTGTTTGAGAATTTTTTTTTTTTGTTTGACCTTCCCACAAGATTTGAATTTTATAACCTATAAACATTGGACTTTTGTAGTTGCCTTCCCTACATGTGAAAATAATAAAACTAAAACCATCAAAAAACAAAATTCGATTTAACCATTTTAATAATGGTCAATTCTAAAACCTTTAAGTCTATAAGAAGACTAACCACTTTTTGTTTTTGTTGTTGGACGGCTATAAGACTCACCAATTAAATTTTATATTTGCCAAAACAAAATGTGACAGAGTATAGAAGTTGTACATTGAGATGATACAAGATTAAGGAAGATTTAAGAAAGTCAACTTATCATTTCGTTTCATAGTGAGCAATGAGGATATGCGAATATGCGAATATCATACGCGGAAAGTTAATAATAAGTAATAACCTCTAAACAATTTTGGGAAAACTTGTTTTAAGATAATAATTATTCCATTTTGGTGACCCGACCACATAGAATGCTCAAGAGACATATTATAAGTTATTAAAGAATTTTGACGCTTTTTGCCATCATTGATATGTACGGCCTCTTAGGCCTTTTAGCTACTGCCAGTGGCATACCAACTGTCAACTTTCGTATCTCTATCGCCATTTTAGAGAAATTCCACACAGAAAATAATCTTAATGCATAACCTGCCAAATAGATTTTACACGTATTTTTGTATATTTCTTTTCCAATATTTTAAATAATCTATCGAAGACTCTTCTCATTTCTTTGCCAAAATAAAACGTTTTTCTTATGCATCTTTTACTCAAATCATTTTTTTCTTCTATTAAAGCATTTTACTTAATTTACAATAGTATATAAGTTATTATTGAATAGGAACTTTGTCAAACAGACTTGATTTTCTCATTACAAAATCTTCAAACTTTACGGAGGTTGTTTGAAATTTCTATAGAAAGCAATAAACAGCAAGACTTCATAAAACCTGGCAAATTCCTAAAATGCATATTTAAAAACTTTATTTGTCTTATCAAAAATCAAAATACCTAAATCAAAAACCAAAAGACGATTATAAATCAGAGGAGGTAGATCTGTTTTCGGGGTAATTCAATGCTCTGAAAAACACTTGCATATATCGCATATGCCATATGTGTCAGCCAAAACTTAAAACACAAATGTGGTACACGTATGAAACGTACGTAATTTATTATCAAGCACGTATTAGTAACTACATTATGCAGGAAGAATATGCTTAGAGTTTATTTCTCAAATTCTAAACTGATATGCCTTTTCCCCGCCACTAATAATCAAAATTAAAAGTCACATAGGACTTGATTAGTTGTTGTTGTTGTAGATGTTGTACACAACAATATTTATGTTTAAAATTCTAAAACATACTAATCATGTTTTATAAACTTTGTCTTCATTTATCTGCTCACAACCAAAATATTTTCTTTTTTATTTTTTTTGCTGTACAAAGTATTATTCTCTAAAGCACATAAATTTATGCCTTTCAAATTTTACAATTCCAAATATTTAAAGAAATAAAATCTACAGCTACAGCATAAAAACCTACAGTAATATTTCTATAGCAAAAACGTAAAACTACAGATGTAACTATTACAATCAAGCTCATAATTAATATATAATGAAATGCTGTTATCATTATCAGTTAATAAAACACTTTTTTCCAAATCACAAATTGTTACTAACTTTGTATTCTATTATTCCAAAACTCATCGTTGGACCAACCTAACTCTACCCACCATATATATGATACTTTATCCCCTCTGGCTCTATATATAGTTTGCATTTCACAATCTCACAATCACACCAAAACACAACCAAAAGCAATAAACCTTCTCTCCTCCTCAGAGTCTTTCATCTCACTCTCAACCTTGAAATGGCTTCTAACGAAGAAGGCTCTATCGGAACCTCCTTGCATGGAGTCACAGCAAGAGAACAAGTCTTCGCCCTCTCCGTCGATCCTTCATCCCAAACTGTCAGATCGGACGATCCAACGACTAAATTCGCCATTCCGGTTGATTCGGAACACCGTGCCAAAGTGTTCAACCCACTCTCATTTGCTAAACCGCACATGAGAGCCTTTCACTTAGGATGGATCTCATTCTTCACTTGCTTCATCTCAACCTTCGCCGCGGCACCGTTAGTCCCCATCATCCGTGACAACCTCGACTTAACCAAAACCGACATCGGAAATGCCGGAGTAGCCTCCGTCTCCGGCGCCATTTTCTCAAGGTTAGCCATGGGAGCGGTTTGCGACCTCCTCGGTGCAAGGTATGGAACCGCCTTCTCGCTCATGCTAACCGCTCCAACCGTCTTCTCAATGTCGTTTGTGACCGACGCGGGCGGATACTTAGCCGTCCGGTTCATGATCGGTTTCTGCCTCGCCACGTTCGTGTCGTGCCAGTACTGGACTAGCGTCATGTTCAACGGGAAGATCATAGGACTAGTCAACGGCTGCGCCGGTGGGTGGGGCGATATGGGCGGTGGAGTGACTCAGCTACTCATGCCAATGGTCTTCCACGTCATCAAGCTCGCCGGAGCCACTCCGTTCATGGCTTGGCGCATAGCTTTCTTCGTCCCTGGCTTTCTTCAAGTTGTAATGGGCATTCTCGTCCTCACTCTCGGCCAAGATCTCCCTGATGGTAACCTCAGTACCCTTCAGAAGAGTGGTCAAGTTTCTAAAGACAAATTCTCAAAGGTACTTTCTATATATATACTTCGTCTCATTTAATTAATAAATTTAGATCAAGAACAATTAATATTGCTCTGGTTAAAAGAATTTAACAGTAAATTTTAGTCGTAGCCAATTTTGTGACTCTATAAAAAAATTGCGATTTAATTTAGTGAACTGCCTACATGCATGTGCTTCTGGTAATTGCTAATTGCCTAAAACAAATGAAGGTAGCTAATTGGCAACAAATTTGATACGACACATTATTAAGAGAATTTGTTTAAGAAATTTTCTAGTGTTTAACGATTTTTAATTAATTTAATTAATATCTTGTTATTATGCAAACTTGTTTCAGGTTTTCTGGTTCGCTGTGAAGAACTACAGAACATGGATTTTATTCGTTCTTTATGGATCTTCCATGGGAATTGAATTAACCATCAACAATGTTATCTCCGGATATTTCTTCGACAGGTTTGATTTCGTCTTGGTTAAATCCAAATGATGATCTTTACTTACTTCTACCACAAGTATTAACAACCATTATATTGTTTTCTTGTTCCCTACGTATCAGGTTTAACCTTAAGCTTCAAACAGCCGGTATTGTCGCAGCCAGCTTCGGAATGGCGAACTTCTTCGCTCGTCCCTTCGGTGGCTACGCCTCTGATGTAGCGGCTCGAATCTTTGGCATGAGAGGCCGGTTATGGACCTTATGGATCTTTCAAACCGTAGGAGCTCTCTTTTGCATCTGGCTAGGTCGTGCTAGTTCACTTCCCATAGCAATCTTAGCCATGATGCTCTTCTCAATCGGTACACAAGCTGCTTGCGGAGCCCTCTTCGGGGTTGCACCTTTCGTCTCGCGCCGCTCTTTAGGGCTCATATCGGGACTAACCGGTGCGGGAGGAAACTTCGGGTCCGGTCTGACTCAGCTGCTTTTCTTCTCATCTTCGAGGTTTAGTACAGCGGAAGGACTCTCTTTGATGGGCGTTATGGCAGTTGTGTGCACGCTCCCGGTTGCATTTATACATTTCCCGCAATGGGGAAGCATGTTTTTAAAACCGTCGAGTGATGGAGAAAGATCCAAGGAGGAATATTACTACACTTCTGAGTGGACGGAGGATGAGAAACGACAAGGATTGCACGAAGGAAGCATCAAATTTGCTGAGAACAGTCGGTCTGAGAGAGGCCGGAAAGTAGCTTCGGCTGACATGCCAACTCCGGAGACCGGAACTCCGATTCATGTTTGAAGACAAAATCACTAAGAGATTTTCCTTATATATATGTAGAAATAACACTTTAATTAGTTTTATGTTCCTGTCATATGGGATAATGTATGTAACTAAGCAAGATCTTGCTGTGATAGGTAAGGTTCGATGAGCTCAGTACTTAAGCATTAACTATTGTAATGTCATTTCGATGAGCTTTTTCTTCAATCAGATTTGTTATATGTCAAACGAAAAAAAAAAAAAAAAAAAAAAAAAAAAACCAGATTTGTGTTGAAGATGCTTGAAATGCCAAGAAGAGGCCACATGAAGAAAACTTTATGAACAAAGACTACGGAAGAAGCAACTGTTCAGATCTAAGAAACAGATACACATCAAACGAATCTGAGCAGTGTGCGAAAAGGTAATAATTACTATTATAAACCTTTTTCTAATCGAGTTTCAGAAGATTGAGAGTAAGCTCGTGATAGCAGCTAGTAGATTTCAGAAGTAAACTGATTCAATTTACCGAGAACACGAACTTCAGCTTCAGTTGGTCTTTCTTCCCGCAGAAAAGAGTGAGAAAACTATTAAACGACTATTTAATTGATTAATCATCATCCAAAAGAATAAAAATGGGTTCGTCAACTTCTCAGGATCTAAAATCCACTGGCAAGAATACAAAATAATAAAAGTTTCTCTGAGCAACTCTGTTGAATCATGATTCCTTCTATTGATTATAAGGACAGAATATTCGGATGCTTGTCCAACGAGTATTCGAATCTAATTAACGAAAAGATTCGCACATTTATATTAAAATAATACCATAATCGTCAACATCTCAGTCATAAAAGAAAAATAAAAATTCTACAATACCACCAAAAATATTACTTTTTCCATGTCTCTCTCTCTTTCGCCTTTCAAAAAAACGTTCAACCAAAAAAAAAAAGTGCACAATGATAATAAAAACTAATAAAGAAGAATCTCTGACCTCTTAGTGCCTAAGAAATCCAGAGATTATGAGTATGGTTCGTCTCAGGTGCGGCTTCAGAACTCGTTAAAAACCATTCCCAAAACCATCATCCTTCTCGCTCTCTCGGGGGCATGACCCAATCGAGTCTTGGCCATTCTTCCTTCGAGAGGAGACAGACTTGACTTTATCTTCAATCCTCAAGTCCAGCTTTAGCCTTGAGGTGCTTCTTAAAGTCCATAATGTCACCGTTCCATTTGGTAATGCACTGCTTCTCACAAACCCATATTTCATGAGCCACTTGGTTGATCAGCCTGAAGTCGTGACTCACCAGAACCAAACCACCATCCCACTCGTTCAGTGCCTCGGCAAGAGAGTCGATAGTCTCAATATCCAAATGGTTAGTCGGCTCATCCAGCAGAAGCATGTTAGGCTGCTTGTAAGCCAACCAAGCGAATATCACACGGCTCCTCTGTCCGTCAGATAGATTCTTCATCGGCATTACCTGAGCCTTGCCCGTCAGACCAAACCTACCAATCGCAGCTCTCATCTTCTCCTCTTCGTTACCTGGGAACTCCTGCATCATGTAGAGAAGTGCAGGCAGCTCCAGGTCTAGCTTCTCAGCCAGATGCTGATGGTACTGAGCAATCTTCAGATGGTTGTGACGACGCACCATTCCTTCAGTCGGGTGCAGTTCACCAGTCATGAGCTTCAAAAGGGTACTCTTTCCAGCTCCATTGGGTCCAACAAGAGCGACCCTCGAGTCCAAGTCCACACCAAAGTCGAGGTTTTTGTATATGAGGTAGTCAGGTGTGTACCCAAAGGAGACCTCCACAAACTGAAGCACCGGCGGTGGCAGCTTCCCGACATCAGCGAAACGGAAAACGAGAACGCTATCCCTGGCGACCTTCTCAGTGAGCCCACCTCTCTCCATCTTTGCCAACGTTTTCTCCTTACTCTGTGCTTGACGAGCGAGTTTGGCTGAACCGTGACCAAACCGAGCAATGTACTCCTTCATGTGGGAGATCTGCTCCTGCTCCCATCGGTATTGCTTCATCTGGTTCTCCTCGAGCTCAGAACGGGTCTGGCAGTACTGATCAAAGTTGCCAGTGTAGTACTTGAGCTGTTTGCTTTGCATGTGGATGATGTTTGTGCAGACACCATTCAAGAAATCCTGTGAGTGGGATACCACAACAAGGATGCGATCAAAGTTCTTCAGACTCTCCTCTAACCACACACAAGCTTCCAAATCTGTTTCAGGAGAGAACGTTAAGAGTCAGCATAAAAAAGTATACAATAATAAAAAAATAAACATCTGAAACAAGAAGATGAGAAGAAAAAATCACCAACCTAAATGATTTGTCGGCTCATCAAGCAAAAGGATTGTTGGCATTATGAAGAGAGCTCTTGCTAATGCAATTCTCATCCTCCAACCACCAGAAAAGTCTTTAGTTTTCTTAGCCTGCATCTCCTTGTCGAAACCAAGACCAAACAGAATCTCAGCAGCACGCTTCTCTGCGGTTGAAGCATCCATGGCTTCTAGCCGCTCATAGATGGTGTCAAGACGCTCTCCGCCTCCATCGTCCTGGACAAAAGAAAAAAAACGCAAATAACACACAAGCCCAAAATTAGCATCCAGCACAAGAGAGCGAATTTAGCAATTAGCATTCAGTCTACTGTTGCTTGTACAAACCTGCTCAACCAGAGTTTCGACTTCCTTCTCCAACCTCAACCTCTCCTCGTCACAGCTCATGACAGCCTCAAGGGAAGTCATGTCAGTGGCTTCAATCTCGTGGGAGAGATGGTAGATGTCCATGTGGTCAGGAATCGGCAGCTCTCTGAGCCCAATTGCAGTTAAAAGGGTGGACTTTCCACACCCGTTCAACCCAAGCAGGCCGTAACGTCTTCCATAGTTAAGCTCCAACATTGAATCGACAATGAGGTCATAACCATGAAACGTGACAGACAGAGATTCTATCTGCAAAATGATATTAAAAAAAAAGGTTGAAAATCCATCAATCGAAATCTCTCAGATCGAAAGATATAAACATACAAAATCTAAAAACGCTGATTCATAAGAACAACCAGCCAGCAGAAATATTCACATATCATCATCACAAATCAAATTAGAAAACAACCCTTTTCCAAAGAAACCATTAAGCATCGAAATCGAATAACTAAAGCTCAAATTAAAAAGTACTTACCCTAATATCCCTAGACTGTGGATGAGAGCAGAGAATTCCGGTACAGGTCCGATCAGATATCTGAAGGGCCTCGACACCACTGGACAAGCTAGCAACTCCATTGGAAGAAGTACCGGCGGATTTAGAAGCGGCTGCAGCTTTACCGCCTCTTTTCGCGGCGGCGGCAGCTTTCTTCTGAGCAGCCTTCTTCTTGCTAGCGTCCGACACCATCTTCAAATCTCCCTGAATCAATCCATGGAAGGTAACAAATACAACATCATGAAACCATCGTCGGAATAAATAGATCGAAGAATCGAAAATCCTAAGAGAAGAAAGAATAGATTTACCTGTGGGATTGGGGAGATCGAGAGCTCGAGAGATCTGTAGATCTAAAGGGTTTCAGAGTTTGGCACAGCACCTGTTCGGCAAATTAGGGTTAATGATGGTTTCTGTTGACGCGAGGCGGAAGAATCGGTTTTTATAGGAGGTGATACTTTTTGGAGTGCCACGTGTACGGCGAGACTGAGTTAGCTTCAGACTTCAGTTGCGTATCGGAATACAACAGCAACTCCATCTGGTCGGTCCCGAATAAGGTGCTGTTAAATATGGGCTTCTTAATGTAAAGGCCCAATATCTAAAAGATCCAGAAGTGAAAAAAATAGAAGCCCAAATTTCTTATACCTGTTGATATGATGTCCAAGTCCAACAAAAAATTGTATCAGTTGATATGAGTTTATATATTGACAAGTGACGCTATGCATTTTTTTTTCCTTGAAAGGACGATGAAGGTGAAGGAGAATTTTGGAAGTGAAGAACGAGATGCTTGGCTTCTTGAGGAGGCATGCGTCTGGGAGAGTCATGAACAGTCTAGGGATAATGTTGATAATCATATATAGACAGTTTAAGAATTGGATTATCAGTTAGCATGCATAATCTAAACATATGTAATTTATATGTATCAAGTATATATACAATCTCTCTGACATGTTTAGATTTCGGTTGAATGTTTTGAAATATGTGATATAGGGAGTTGGATGGATGAATATGTGATGTAATTAATGTGTTTGCTTCTGCGTTTATGTGAGGGGAAACAAATCACATTTTTGAAATATATAGTATTTTAAAATACATTTGCAACTTGTAAACCAGACATCTTTTCTGTTTGCATTTAACATTTAAGTTTACATTCAACAAAGAAATATTATGTTAGAAGGTTGTTGATTCATTTTTTTGAAAAAAGTAATGTAAATACACAATAAAACAATTGAGGTATATATATATATATAATAAGAAGTATACATAGGAAAACAATTGATCTTTATTGTTTTGACGGATTAGGCGTTGATGTTAGTTTGATATGACCTTTTTGTAGTCTAAGTAACGCTTTACAGTTTTGCTTTACATGTTTGATGCAATCAAGTTCCGTTCTATATATCAATGCAATCCAAAATTTTGAGAATCGGACGCGAATGTAAATAAGAAACTAATATTCTTGAAGATGATCGTGATGATTGATGATGAACATGATAGGTCTTGTCCAAATATTCCGTCAGCTTTTGTATTCTATTTCATCTTGTAGATAGACTGTAGAATGTAGTCAGATTCACGAGTAAGTGGGAATAGTTATCCTTGTCAATAAATAAAAGCTGATTCTACTTGGAAGTTGAAGACGCCCCCGTACGAGTAGATGGATTGTTGTTCATTTGATAAGATGTATCATCAAGATCTTCATCATTTCTTTAACTTTGTTATTTATCAGATATACATATATATACATGCTTATGTGATTTTTAATTTTGTAAGTCAAATATGTGCTTTTAAATTTGTTTTGCTATGTGCAAAAAAGAATTGTTTTCTTAAAGATAAATGTGTCACTTACCTGTGAATCCCCCTAAATAGTCGAGGTTGGTTCTGAGCTTTGCTTTGAGAAATGGGTGACTTTATAACCGATGCTAACCTAAAAATAATTATCTTAAGATCCTATCGTTGGTTATAGGAGCATTGGGCATGCATATAACCAAACCGAAGTTCACTCCGGTTGAACATAATATGTAAGAAATTGTAAATGAACGCGTTCGGAAGTTAAGACTACTGTTCCTATTTTATGTCTTATAACTTGAACGTGATACAAAGTTGTCGACAAAATTAAATTTATTTCCCGTATCTATATATTTTTTTAATTTTCTTCTTCTTATAGTATGTGAACTGTTGTGTTTAATCGAATTTTAATTCCCAAATAATTTGGGCTAGTTTAATTCTCATGCATGCTTTGTATTGAACTTTTTGTTATATGGAGTTGTTAGATTACTGGATTCTCGTTCGTCTTAATCTCTGGTGTTATTTAACTATTTACTTAAATTGTCTTCAAAGAAAGAGTTTAAATTTGAATATATGTATTGAATTCATATTGTTTAGAATGTTTTTGTAATGTATTGGATCATCTGCTCGTGTTACCACCACATCCACGTCACTATAATTCTATACAACATAGACTAAAATACAAATCAAAAACTATACTATTGACCCATATTAGTCAAGTCAATGATTTCGTCTGGTCTGGGAGGAAGATTCAACCAAACCGTCAATTGGGTTATGTCTCCGTAAAATTTATTGTCTTCCTATTAGATTTGAAATGTCAAATGTTTATCCAGCGAGGAAGAAAGTTCGTCGTCCTTACCAAGTTACAATCATTCACTCATTGCAAAAGAAGTTTGGAAATTAGTGTGTGGAAAGAAATCAAATCAAAATAGAAATTTTACAAACTACCAAAATAGAGAAATATGTGAAGATGAAGAAAGAATAAAGGGCAAAGCATTGACTCCTAGAAAGGCTATATGTCTTTCTTTTTCTTCTTTAATTTGATTTTATTAGTATTTTCTCCCATTGTGGGCCTCATTATTACCTCCTTGTTCAAGAAGGCGTTGTTGTGAATACTGAAGAGGGCCTATCTATGTTTTTTTATACGTGTGTTATGTGTTATGCCTATAATCTATACACATCGCTCAACATCATAATAGTTTGGGTGCAATAATCCAAAAAAAAACAAATGGGACATGTAATCATGTATGTGAATGAATACGTTATATAATAGTAAAATACTAGCTTGTATCTGGTAAAAAAGTAAATGTCGTATGTTTTTTTCCCCACAGTACTACATTTTTGTTACATACAATACTACATGTTAATAATAATGTAAATGAAGAAAGTGAATCATGAAAACAACAATTTATATATGTGTTATAAAGAATCCTCGAATATTCTGGTTACAGTTTTGTTTTACTTTTGTATTATCCGGATAATGATGTGCATTATATAATTTATAACATCTTCCAATGTATTTTTCTCTCTTTATTTACCTTTTTTCTTTATCTTTTTTTTTCCCTCCTTTTTTTCTTTTTCTTTTATGGTCTTTTGGTCCACTTTTCTTGGCATGCCCCCACGTGGTAAGAACCAAAGACAATCATCAAGCCTATGAAAAGAAAAAAAAAACAAAGGGATTAAAAAAAAAGGAATCATTTTGATCTCTTATTTGATATCAACTTCACTAAATAATTTAAAATTATTCTAACATTTTAATCATTTTTACTTAACCAACATGTATTAAGAACAACCTCTTGTCTTGTAAACCAACTTAAACTTTTAATGAAAAATATAATGAGGAAAATCGTGTGCCTTCTTCGTAATGTATTTGTAAATCTTCCTCGACCAAATACTTCTTCAACAAACAACGATGGGTTTAAATTTAATGAGTTAACACTCTTTCTTGTTAATTTTACCATTTTTTCCTTTAATCTAGTAAAGTTTTATTTCCTATCCACCCCAGTCCATAAGTTTTGTATAATAGGGTTAATCTTCCTGGATAGATTTTGAGTACTTCATCGTATATAATTAAGAAAAACCAATGCACTTTGGAATACAAATAAAGCTTCTCGACAAGTTTATCTTTTGGACAACTATAGTTAAATTAACGGAATATGAGAAAACTTTTAATTTTTGTAAAGTGAAAAGGTTTCTTACAAAGAAAATATTCCAATTAGTGTTTGTTTATAAGGAAAAGGATAAAGCGAGTGAAATTTATAAGCGTGTTGAAAGCTTTTGTTAGTTACTTTTGTGTGATTTATTTTTCAATCCTTTAGTTTCCTCGAACTCGAATGGAACTTTCCTAGAAAGGAAGTTGGAAACTTGGAATTGGAGAATCAACATGTATGATGATGATGGTTGCATTATGCATGAAGCACCCCGCATCATGATCCCAAGTTCCCAACACATGTTCATGCATGTATAATTATTTAACTGTTTTTGAATGAGATGTCGCATCAAACGCACATGCACAATAAAAACATGAATACGACGACCATATTGATGTTAGTTTAAATTTCTTTTATTAATGACTATTTTCTACAGAAATAAATAAACAAATTTTGGCTTTACGTTACCATAAAAGAGTAAAAGGAAATAAATAGTAATGTGAGCATTGATGTCATGGGTTGGCATTCACTACTATATATTGACTTACTACCTATTGAATTCGCAAACTAAACTTTGTTTTTGACAAAAACAATAACTACTAATTTATTTCGCCTTTCACTTTTTTTTTTTGGGCCAATTATTTCGCCCGTCACTTATTACCAAAGAAAACCAAACCGTAACTTTACAAAGAACAAGAAGAATACATACCAAAAATGATCAGTGCCAAGTACGTGTATGCCTAAATCTATAGATAAACTAATAGATCTTCATCTCATTATAATCGGTTTAAGATAATTTTAATGTTAATAAGAACTGAACAAAATTAGGTATTGTTTCTTGTGGCAGATAAAAACACTCTTGATATATTTAAAAATATTTTTCATTTCCATTATTTGGTAGTTGCTTGTTTCACTTGTTTGTTTTTCGAGTAAGCAATGGTTCGATTCATATATTCTCCCCCGTTGGTTTCGTATACAGTTTTAATATATGTTGAAAGTTGTATAATACTATAAAAGGACATGCTGTACTAGTTCAGTTTGATATATATATTTAATTATTTATACATATGGACTCAAATGTGTCCAAAAATTTAAGGAATAATATATTCCAACTGTTACAACTTACAAGACGGGAGAGAGCATGAAGGAGAGGACAAGAGCATTCCCATCCAACTGGCTCAAAGTTTTAGTAGAGACACCTAATACCGACACCATTTCTTCAAATCCAAATTTTATCTCCAACTTGAAACAAAACTATATAATAAGAATTATTATAGTTCGATCGATAAAATTTTATGTAATCAGGAAAAAGGAAAATAGAATATAAAGGGCACATTGGCTTTCAGATTTTCCATTTTAATATGTGGTGAAGTTGTATTTACATCTCTTTTTTTTAAAATGAGAGTTGTACTTACATATCAACGTGTTATTGTTATTACCACTGGTGTGGTGGGCTAGTGGTTTAAGTGCAGAGGTTGGATCTATGTCCTTCCTAGTTTAATTCTCAGTGGGAGGAATGCTTTACGCCATGTCATAAGGTATTAGCAAAGGCTGGTCCCAGATCATGGAGGAGATTAAGGCACAAGCCCGAACTCCTCCTAATTAACAAAAAAAAAAAATGTTATTATTATTATTATTATTTTCTGACTGCATTAATGTTGTTATTGTTAAAACCACAGAAAAATGTGCAATCCAGACGACAGAGATTTCCAATCAAGTGAGTGGTGGGAAAGAAGAAACTACGTAAGCTAATTTATTACAATGGAAAAAAGAAGAGAATGGTAGTTATATAATTATGCATTTATTATGTAGTTTTGACTGAGTATTTATGGACATTCACCACTGCGCTTTTAATTTTAATGAGTATTTTTTTTTTGTAATTATTTTCCTTGTTGTAAAATCAAATTTCAGTAACTCTTATAGACAAAACTCTTTTGCATGTTAGAGATGCATATATGTAAATTAAACGCTTTGGTTCTTTATAGTAAATTAGTAAATTACATGTAATTGACTAGCTTGAATTGGTGAACGATATTAATGCAGTGAATAAAAAAGAAAATCTAGATTTTTATAGATGTTATGAACATTGAACCTGGATATCAAAAATAGAAAAAACACCCAAAGGAATTGTTGACAGATTGTATCATTGTGTTGCTGTTTTAAAACATTTTTTCTTCTTCTAGATAATTGTTTATATTATTAAGTAGACTTCAACAATATACAATTTAATACAACCGTTGGTAGCTTAGTTCGGTGGATTGGGAGAATTTTGTTGAGATTATTCCCAAATTTCAACTTCACTTGGAGGGGACTGAGGAGAGCCCTCAATTTATAGGATTTTACAATAAAATATATAAGGCTCCAAGATATCATTATTTTAAATCGAGATTAACAGTTTCTTAATAGTTTTGGTTTGTATTGTCAACATGTCACCATTTGAATTTTAACCAATTGCTAGACCTTTATGTTTTGAATGCCATGCATGGAGTTGAAACCTTTTTTTTTTTTTTATTATATCGAGTTAGTACAATAAAGCTCTAGCAAAAACTTACTCGTAAATGAAAACTTTTTTTGTTTGTACTGCTGCCAAACTCGTTTCCATGAAATTGACGTATTTGTTAATTACATTTTTCATCATTTATGCTGCCATTAACCTGTTTAACTTGGAACAGAGTTTTAGTCTTTTAGAATATTTGCATTTATAGATTATTTGTTTGCTGTCATTTTCAGATTTATCTTTTAACTTAAATGACAACAATTATTCTCCTTTTGAATAAAATACAGCAGGTTGGTTTGATGAATAAAAAGCAAGAACAAACAATTGAACTACTTCTTATATTATTTCCAACTGAAATTAGACTAGAGAAAGAAAAAAAACAATATGAAATCTATTTTCCATTCTTCGTCGTAGAAAATATTTGCATGTTTAACTTAAGAATTTAAAGTGCCCATAAAAAAAGAGATTCAAAATTGAAATTGTACTAGAAAACCCAAAAAAAAACTAACATGCAAGAAAATAAAAAGTAGTCTTTCTCGAAAGTACCCCAAGGATTATAAGCATATTTACGTCTCTACCACCACAGTCCAAATTTCCTCCGCCGCCTCACATAACGACGCAAGCATTCGGATTCTCATCGCTGAATATCTGTGGCGCGTGGGCTTGAACCGGATAACCGTACGGCCCACCCGGATAATATCCATACCCGTAAGCAGGCTGAGCCGCCACGTACTCCATCATATTCACTCCCTCGCCTCCTTTATTACCGGCATTATCCTTTCCTCCGCCGTCTCCGCCTCCTCCTTTCTTCTTATCGCCAGATTCGTTCTCTTTTCCGTTACCATTCTCCTTATCTTTCTTCGCCGGCGGCACAATCTCCACTGGACGCTTCAGCTTCTCCGTCAAACTCGCGACGAGCTTTTTCACATCCATTGTTCCTTTAACCGTCACCAAATTCTTCTCCTTGTCCATTGTTATCCCGTTTACACCTGCGATTCCAGAACAGAAACAGTGTGAGCGTTTAAACCAAAACGGCGTTCTCAAAACGCGATTAAATGACACCACTTTGTCTCCTAACCTTTGGTTTTTGTGACAGTCTTTTGGATTTTCCCAACACAGCCTTGACAATGGAAGTTCAGCTTCAATACCGCCGTTGTTACCGGAGCCTGAAAGATTAAAAAAAACACAGTAATCAATCAAAAAGTTATTAAATTTATTAGCTGTGATCAGAAATCGAAAACATCCTCAGGATAACTAATAGAATACAAAGAACGTAACAAACACTCTCAAAATCAGATTCTTGCTGTTGTGATACGAACAGATAAAACAATTTAGTAAAACAATTGAGTAAAGCGAGAAGATTTTCACCTCTTTGGGTTTTTTCTCGTTGTCTGGCTTCTTCTCCTCCGAATTCTTTTCCTTGTTTTTGTCTCCATCGCTTTTGTTTTTGTCCTTATTGTCATTGTTGTTGTTCTCTTTCTCTTTCTCCTTTTTGGGCTGAGGAGAAATCAGGTCGACTTTCTTCTTTGTCTTCTCTTCAAGTCTCTCCCGGAGTTTAGCCGGATCCACTGCTCCGGTCACCGTTAATTTCCCGGACGCCGCCTCCGATTTCACAGTCTCAACGCCTGACAGACATTATTGTTCTTTTCAGTAATATAAAACCAAACAACAAAACAGGGATTATTGAAAGAACAGAAAATCCAGTTCAGATTCCGGGGAAGTAGGACCATAACGTTCGATTTGTTCATACGAAATCCGAAAAAAACTTTAAAGTTGGAAACTTTTAGTCCCACGCGCACAGAGAAATCGAAAATCTGTTATAAAAATCAAACCTTGGAAATCACGAACGCATTTAACGATTTTGGAAGCGCAGCCTTCGCAATGCATATCAACCTTCAAAACGACGGTGACGGACGCCGGTTTCTTCTCGGCGGCGGAATCATTGTTTTTCTTGGCACCACCGTCTCCTTTGTTCTCGTTGTTGTTAGTCTTCTTCTGGTCAGAAACAAAACAGAGAGAGCAAATAAAACCCATTAGATATGCAGAGAAAAGGAAACAAAAAAAGGGGAGAATAAGAGAAGAATCCGATAAGAACGAGAGAAGATTCGAGAAAGTTAGGGAAACGGTTTGACTCAGTTACCTTGGCCATGGTGACTCGGTTTAGTGAGAAAGTAGTGGGAGAAGGAAGTGGGTGGAGACAGAGTCGGAGGAGTGAGAGAAAGACGAGACCTTTCGTCTATATTTATACTACGAAATTTTATTTTAGAGTCTGTTTTGGGGTTTATGATGATGATGAATGGTGTTGGTGTGAATAAATGATCGATCAATCATGATGATGCATGGTCTATGTGTATGTATGTCTATGGTCGACATACCTTTTTCTGTTTTTCCATTTCTTTTTTGTTTTGGCTCTCTGTATTCCTTTTTTCTTGTTTTTTTCTGTTATTACGATTTCTATTAATGCCTATGTGTACGTTCGTTCATTGCTTTGTAATTTCGGCGTATATGTTGTGACGGTCGACACTTTAATTTATTTTAGTTAAAAATGTACGTAGAATCAAACAACTCTTAACCTTGTTTAAATAATCATCGAAATAAAAAAGTGTAAACCAAAATAATTCAACCCATTTTAACTCCCCAAAAAAATTCAATGCATATTTTTTTTATGTTCGCATTGTTAATATACGAAAGAAAGAATATAGAAAGTTTGACGGCACCAATTTTTTTTAGCAGTTTCTAGTCTTACAATCTTCATATTATTTCTTAAGCGTTTAAAACTCAAGAGCATTTACTTTAGCGTGAGAAAAATTAAATCTAGAATATACGATTTAAATTATTAAGATTTACTAGTAAATGCAGTAATTTCATATTTTTAATTATAACTACATTTAATACTTTTAAAAATAATGAGTAAAAAGATCACATCAACTATTTTTCTTTCATTTTCTTTATCTTGATTAACAGGAAGGAAGGGCTACACAAAATCTGTTATATATATATAGAGAGAGACATATATAGTTATACTTTTAGGTGGGATAGATCAATCCGGTGTGAGGTAGGTACAAACAACTTTAGTTTTAAAAAAATATTCAAAATTTGAGTTATCTTGCTGAATAACATAAAAAATTAATTAATATTTAGTTAGTCGCATAATCTGAAAAAAGATAAGTGATGGGTTAATAATGTTGTGCGTTTAGGCAGCGTTTAAACCATATTTTTGGTCAAATTATAGAACACGTTTTTTTTAGTTTTAACAAGATCACAATTAAAATATGAGAAGATGCGATGATTATATATTTGAATTTACTACGCAATAAAATATATCAAAATGTTAATATAACTAAATTTATGAATGATCTTACAATATTAATCTAATCTGTGCATAGAAACATCACCTACTTTGAGAAGAAACATTACAAAAAAGTGAAGGTTCCTTTTTATCTTTAATTTGTATACAAGTGAATTGCAGTATCTCAATTTAGGAAAGATAGGAAAAACGATAACTTTCCTTTTCATAATGTTATGGACTTATGGTCCTTTTTATATATCTATACATGAATTATGTTGAAAGATGTCAAGTTTAAATTTAAAGATGCAATTGTTTAACATTCTAAAATAATCAATGATCTTAGTATTTTAATTACATAGCTATATTGTAAAGAAGAAAAAACCTATGAAAACATTAACTAGTACGTAATTCTTTAATATCTTCGAAAAAGAAGCTACATTGTCTAGATTAGTTTACAATGATAGATAGAAAAGATGTAAAAATCTTGGCTCGCCATGGAAGCTAAATTTTCAGCAGCCATATATATTTTCAGCAGCCTTCGAGTCTAGCTATGCATGAGGTGGTTTTAAGCCTCATTGTGAATAAGGTGGTGAAAAAGTATCACTAGAACATAATTATATGATTCTAACACTCCGAAATGCTCTATAACTTTCTTTTGCTAATGTATTTATACACTTACGTAATACTTTTTGTAATCAATACAACAATAACACCAATGTCTCTACTAGAGATGATACATCAGCATTTTGGAGTTTTCTAGAAGATGACACCTTAGCAAAAATATTCACCAATAAAAACATTTTATTAATACAACTCATTTACTCATTTTAATTTTTAAATTTAAATCTATTAAAAACCCAAATACTTTTTCTATTAATCTTTATTTTATTTTTAACCAAACCCAAGCCCAAATAATTAATAACAATAAAAATATATATTTATCTTTTACCAAACTCAAGCCCAAATAATAAATAACAACAAATAAAAAAATCAAATCTTTGTTTTTGATTGGCAACAAAAATTTCTGTTTTTGATGGATAATGCGATTTCTTGGTTTTCACAAGAAGATACAATTTTACAGTTTTTGCGAAAAAATGCAATTTGACGATTTTGGCGGAAAAAATACAATTTTTCAGTTTTTTTTAGGAAAACACGATTTCTCGGTTCGACGAGAAAATAATGTTTCTTGGCTTTGCCGGGAATAATGAATTTCTCTGTTTTGCCGGGAATAGGGGATTTCTTTGTTTCAGTAGGAAAATGTGATTTTCAGTTTTGGTAGCAAAACATAATTGCTTTGTTATGGCAGAAAAAAACGAATTCTCGGATTTGGCGAGAAAATGTGAATTTTTGGTTTTGGTGAGAAAACAAAAAAAAATTAATTTTAACGGGAAAATAAAATATCTTAGTTTTGACGGGAAAATGCTCGGTTTTGATGACAAATACAACTTTTCAATTTTGACAAAAAATGTGATTTCTCAGTTTTAATAGAAAATGCAAATTTTCGGCTTTTGACGGATAATGCGATTTCTTGGTTTTTGCGCAAAAGTGTAATTTTTTAGTTTTCTCGCAAAATTTGACGATTTTGGTAGAAAATGCAATTTTCAGTTTGATGGGAAAAGAAATTTTCTCGATTTTGGCGAGAATAAGCAATTTCTTGGTTTATATGGGAAATGCAAATTTTCAGTTTTTGACGAATAATGTGATTTTTTTGTTTTTGCGGGAAAATACAATTTCTTAATTTTAACGGAAAAACATATTTTTCGTGAGATAATGCAATTTTTGGTTTTCGCGAAAAATTGTAGTTTATTTGTTTTGGTAGGAAAGCGTGATTTTTGGCTTGACGAGAAAATAAATTTTTGGTTTTGGCGAGAAGATTTCTCGGTTTTTGCAAGAAAATATATTTTTCGGTTTTGATGGGAAGATACGACTTTTTTATTTTTGTAGGAAGATGAATATTTTTGGTTTTGGTGAAAAAACGTGAATTTTTTGGTTTTGGCGAGAAAACATAGGTTCTCGCAGGAAAATAAAATTTTAGGTTTTAGGTTTGACGAGAAAATAAAATTTTTGGTTTTGGCGGGAGTATGCGTTTTTTCATTTTCATGGAAAATTGAAGTTTTTTTGGTTTTGATTTCTCGATTTTTGTAAGAAAATGAAATTTCTCTGTGCTAAATTTACAAGTTAACGTATGTTTACAATGACCAAAATTTAATTATTTAACTTCAACTACAACGATATTTCAACAGTTCAAATATAATTTTCTATTTAGTTCTAGAGCAATAGCAATGATTTTAATATGAATGTTATTGATTATAGTTTGGTAGTTTTATAAACATATGTTTATAATAAATATTTGGTAAATAAATAAATTTTATAATTCAAGATAATCATATTAATTAATAAATCTATTTTTAAAATGACAATTTGCTTTATATAATTACAAAGGAGAATCAAGTGACAACTTATTGGAGAAAATAGATAACATTTGCCATTAGCATGAAGGTACTAAAAAATATATTGATTTATTCTTACATATACATATATAATTAGTTAGCTAAACAAATTAATAGTAAATTATAATTTCAAAAAATAGGAAAAATAAGGATATACAATGTTTATTCAAATTTAAAACATGTAAATACATAACTTAAGCTAATAAAAAAATATAATACTCATTTTTATTATAAAAATAATTTTATTATATTAAAAATATATAGAAAATTTAGAAAAATATCTTGCAGCGTAGCACGGATAAATACCTAGTACTCTATAAAAAATGAACTTTTTGAGTTTTCTATTACGTTATTATACATTTATTTAAAAAAACTTGGAAGTTTTTTTTTTTTTTTGGGCAAATAACTTGGAAGTGTTTTAAGCTAAGATGCTTACATGTATTAAGAAGACTTCAATGAAATCAATTAACTTGGTTTTTCATCATTTCATAATAAAAGTGGTACTACGTATAGGGCCTAGATAAGCCCAAGTAAAGATAGGCTTTTATTGTAACTATCTAATGGGCCGTTATATATTGTTAGAACGGAGAAAATGGCCGAATTTACTTGCAGGTGAATAAAACAATATTGATGCGGGTAACAAAAATTTGTGGGCACATTACAGCGATCAATGAAGCCATCAAACTATTTTTCATGTGTTTCCAGAAATTTGGACGAAACAAAAAGCATAGCTTTATCCACTCGATACATCTCTCTAATTGTACAAGGACACTCTAATATCGAATCCGGTTTTTATTTGTTAGTTACCAATCACATTTTAACCTTCTTTAAATCTCTTAAAGTTTTCAGAATCACTCAGTGTCCATTTTTTTGGTTCTTCCTTTTGTTTTGTTTGTTTTCTAATTAAGTCAAGATAAGTGACTTTTATATTTTTATGTCACAGCCACAATTAACAAAAAAAGAGGTCACAATCAAATCTTTACAACTAATTTTCCTGCAACAAGAAATTAACAACCCTAACCAACGAGCTCACAAGAAAAAAAAAATGAATTCGTGAGTCGTGGTTACCAAACAAGCAGTTAGATTTATGTATGGATATTTTTAAGTATTTCTATTTTTATTGTTCTTCTATAATTCTTTAAAATACTTTCTTCGCTTGTGACCAATCACAATCATCTTAGAAATTGTAGAAACTCTTGGGGCTTAGAAGAAAATGAAACTTAATGGAACAGCTAGCAGAAACGAACCGATCATTAGATTATAACTCTCAAACAATACTGAATAGTATAGATGATAGATCATAAAAAATTACTTGTTCCCATTTTAAACCCTCACCACCTTCAGTAAAATACTAGTACTAGGTAAAGTTTCTACTTTCTATTAGGCCGGCGTGTTACATTTCTGTCCCTATACTTTTTTCTGTTTATATTTTCCATAGAAAAGAAAATATTTCTTATTCGAGGGAAAAGATAAACCAAAAGGTCCAAAACCATCTGGCAGGGGTATATATGTCATTATGAACAGATGAATAGTGTATGTATTTCCATCAATCAATTTCTCCTGGCCGCTTGAATCACTGACCAAAGGTGATGACTTTTATACACAATCCTTTACTCTCTCTCTCCCTATACTATGGAACTCAACCTCTACTATAAATTAACAAGGTCTTTTAATTCAAAAATAATTCATAATACTTAATAACCATATTATTATTATTATTAGCTGAAAATAAGTTCGACAAATTTTAATCCTCATTCAAAGATTTAGAATATCAGGAATAGAGTTGGTATGTACTCTCTATAAATGACATATATCCTTGTGAAAATAATATTTCTTGCAAGTGGTCGGTCCCTTGTCAAAATTTGTATAGTGGAGGAGTTTTGAATTCATGAGAAATTGTCAAAAAAAGAAAATATTGAGAAGAAACAACGCCTTTCCTTTGACTTAATTTTGGGTGCAATCTATCGGACACTTCGTTTTCCTAAGTGTTTTCTTTTGAATTATCTTGAACATTTTCTGTATCATATATAGACTTAAAATAGTAAGTAGCACATAGATTTTAGAACTAATCAAAATAATAATAATGCTATATATAGATCATATACTTTGTTACAATGTCTTTCTAAAAAGCTGATATGATCTTACTCTTCACGACAAAAAAAAAAAGAAGATCCACTCTTCAACTATAAATACATCCTTTTGGGTTTCATCAAATAATTGTCTCTTCTTAACTAGAAATCTATGGAATCGAAAACACAAAATCCCATAAAAACTGATCACACTGTCTCTCCCTCACTCTCTCTCATCCCATACCCCATCAAATCTTTGATTTTACTAACAGTCAGTCCAAGATATATTTATATAAGAAGACAAGAGAGTCTAGAAGAGCTAGGAGTAGAAGTAGGGCAAGCACTTGTGTTGTAGGAGGCTACTACTGCTTTTGTTCTCAGCTAGGTTGCTTATGGAACTAGAAGATGAAGCCGAGACTGAACCTGAACCACCCATGTTTATGTTAGAATTAGTGCCTGTGCCACTAATCATTTGCTTCAAATCCCCATGTCCATTAATGTAGTTATTGTAATACCCTTGTGTGAAATCCCCAATGTACCCTTTTGTCCTCTGGTCAATGTGGTGGTCTATCATCATCATCATTATGATCTCTTCTTGCTTAAGCATAATCTCTGGCGTCTTTCCATCGACGTGTGAGGAGAAACTGTTGTGGTTGTTGTACTGATCACACATATTGTGGTTTTGCAAGAAACCAGTTGTGCTCGAAATGTTGTTATTGTTGTTGCTGCTGTCCGAGAGAGAGAGGTCTTGAGGATAATTAGGGTTAATAAAGGGGAAGAGTTGTTGATCAGCTTCAAAGCCATTGATGTTGGAGATGAGAGACTTTGTTGGGTTCTGATTAGGGTTTTCAACATATGGATTATAGGAACAAGGTTGGATTGTTGTTAATGGGGTTAATGGTCTTTTCACAACCTGAGAATTAGGGTTTAAGAAAGTAGAAGCCATGGCTGAGGATGAATGAGAGGAGGAAGAAGACACGAGTTTCTTCCTAAGCTTTGTGTTCCAATAGTTTTTGATGTCGTTGTCTGTTCTTCCTGGTAGATGAGCTGCTATTATTGACCACCTACAAGTTTCAATATATATATATATATATATATATGTCTATTAGTAGTTAATGTCGGAGGAAAAAGTTGCAAATCTAGATGAATAAACGTTGCTCGTACTTTTCACTACAGCTATCATGTTCGTTCTAAAATATATCCAGGTATAGAGTTATTTTGACCATTGTTTCCAAATAATACATAAACTCAAAAAAGTTTTGGAGATAAATTTTTTAAAAAGAATAAATTAAGGCGAGGGAAATAATAACATCTTTTAACCTATATCAGTAGATAACTATTCAAGGGACCTTCATAAGCAAGTTGACAACAAATTGAAAACATATATATATATATATATATATATTTAGTGTGGAGCTTAATAATTTTCTGATAAAAAGAAGAGAATTAATTAGGGAACCTGCTTCCGATGGCAGCAAATAGGCTGAAAATGATCCTGTCTTCTTCCTCAGAAAAGTCACCATGTTTTATGTTTGGTCTCAAATAGTTTAGCCACCTCAATCTACAACTCTTACCACATCTCCTCAACCCTTAAACAACGATAACAACAACAAAGAATGGCACATGCTCTTGTTTGGGTTTCGAAGTTCAAAAAAGTGAAACAGAATAAGAAATTGAGTTCAGTTAAGAACTTATATATATACTTACCGGCTTTGAGAGGAAGAGAGATCCAATTTCCACCATTACCATACTTCTCAATGTAATCTCTAAGCTTAGAGTCCTCCTCAGGTGACCAAGGCCCTCTCTTTACCTTTGTCTTGTCGCAACATGGAGCTCTACCCATTTTCTCTCGTTAGTGTGTCGCAGATTAGAAGAGAAGCAAAAGAGAGAAAGTGTTCTGTTGCTTGCTTTTTTCAAATGGACCTTTTGAGTTTCTGGAGGAGTGGTTGAATTTGTGGCCTTTTAATAAGAGACTTGGATTTGGACTCACCCTATCAATTATTATTATTATTGAATTATATAAACGAAATTAATTAATATTTCATTTTGTCTCAAAAGCTATTGGGGTGAGAAGTCAACATGATTGACATGCATGCATATTCATTGTGCGAAAAAAGTAGATTTCCAATTATTCAATTGTTTTTATTCGGGCTTCGTTTTGATGAAATTACATTATAAATGAAAAGGCAAAAAAGAAATTTATGTGACCGTTCCTGATTTTTGTTTTGGTATAAACCCTCCCTCTCAATTATTTCTTGGCCCTAAACTTCAATTTTAAAATACATATAATTTCCTTTTTATCTACGGTTATATACGTATTGCACATACATATGATTTCTAAACATCTTTAACAATCCACACAGCTTAATCGCTCATCTCTTACGATCACCAGTTTCGTTGAAACATTCCATTTCCTTTGGTAAAAATAAAAACTTTTAACCTAAAAATATGTGTATTCTAAACATGCGATTTAAATATTTAACAAACCAGGCGTATCCGAAAAGTATATATTTTGTAGATGAATAGTCGTGGAGTTGTCAAAATTATGAATTGAAGTTACAGTAGACCAATCCAAACAATCAAATTTGAACCAATAATTTTCGTTTTTTTCTCACGAATAATGGAAATATTAAAAATTGTATTTGCGCTGAGTTTGATTCAAACTAAGAAAAAAAAAGAGAAGAGAATCATTAACTGAAAAGTTTATCTGCTGATAGCTTTGGTTGCTTGATTTGATCATTCGTCAAAATATATCTTCATAATTATGCTTATTGACATTTAATTACTATTCAACTATTCATCATGAATTTCAAATACAAGGAAAGAAAAAAGTTCCCAAGCGGTGGTGGTATTACACGGATAAAAGGAGGAAAACATGTAACAAGGAGACTGCATTGGTCGGACCAGTGAACAATATTGAACTGTCTGATTATAAAGTGACAACAAAACAAAAACCCTTTTTTTGTGAAATCTCATTAACCCAAAATTTATCATCACGAGTTGACTTGCCAATGTTGTTTTCATTATTACATTTAGTAAAGTGCCAAAAGAACCCTTCATAATTATTCATATCGTACTACTTTGATGGACACCTGCATGCATGAATAACTCTTCTTTAATTAATTTCACACACACGCACACACACATATATATATAAGATTATGTATGTATGAGAGTTTCATGATGATCAGGTGTATATTTGGACCGACTAATCAACTTCAGAGCTAATGACCCATCGATGGGTATGTATCCATATATGTACAATTGATAGATCTACTGTTTACATCATTTAAGGTACATGTGTTGATGAACATGTTTTCACACAGATACAGTCTCACACTCCTTTCCACATTTGTGTAAGTAATATGTATCGATGTATGTATGTGTGTGTACAAATGGCCAAACAAAAGTTTCCATATCCATGATGCACTTCCTTAGATTTTCCAACAAACTTTTTGCTATATGTGTTACAAAAGGAACTAAAATGTATGTGTTAGTTACACTTGTATTATTGGTAAGTTGTTATTGTCGAAATGCTCTTTTATTAGTCTTGGAAGATCAATACGTACACATTTAAGGGTTTAAAACCTCCAAATTGGGCTTCAAATTCACTTAAGCCCTAACAAAGTACACGGTTTAGGTTGATGTGTTTATAACAAGAAAAAAAAACAATCAATATGAAATTACAATATTATAATAATTGGAAAATTTGAACACGGTAAATAACATATCATTGCAAGTAATTAATCAATTTACGTAAAAAATTCAACCAATTCCTCTTTTTGTGCAAAATAGCAGATGAATGCTGTTCTTCCAAAATTGTTCATTTTTAAGCGTTAGTGAATATTTGAATTACTTTTACACAATTTTCAACTCAAATGGTAAAATTTTAAAAATGCTTAATTTCACCAACTTTTGTTCCCGTCAACATAGAATTAAATTAGTGTTTTTCAACAGTCTACATTTTTCTCAAATATATTGTTTCATAAATAAATAAATATTTGGAATGATATGTACCACAGTCATTTGCGTTGAAATATATTCGTAAAATACTGTTTTAACGTGTAGTTGCATGCCTGTTTTGTTTGGATCACCCCGTGAAGTTGCATGTAGGAAATCCTTTTCATTTTATATCCAGGTTGCCTACTTAATTAATGTGGATTTCGACTATAAAATATATAGAAATCTTATTGGTGAACAAAATCTTGAGTGTGTATATAATATGAAATTGACGATGCTGGCCTTTAGTGGCAATGTTCAATGCATAATGTAGGAAAAAAACTATTAGCATATACTAGAGACAATTATTGTCTCAGTGATATTCCTTGGTTTTCAGACGTAACTAAAAAGGAAAAAAAAAAAAAAGATAACTAATAATTGCTTTTGTTCACCATAAGTGTCATTGAATAATTCTCATGCGTCACCTCTTAGACAGGCAATTATGATAATCTGGTCTGTTCATTATTATAGTTGCATTGCATTGCCTGTATACAATTATCAAAAATCTCATTTCCTAGAAGCGTGAAATATTTGCAAATAATCTCAAATGCGCTAATAAATAAATAAATATTATATATATACATTTTCTGTAAAAAAAGGAATTGCTTTACATTTGTTGAGAAAAACTTTTAATTTAAATTTTGTTGAGTCAAATGTGATTGGATGATGAATACCAAAAAGGCAAAACTACAAGAGTCTTTTTCTCGTTTGACTTGCAGTGTATTATATAGCTCGGCTTTTTCCTCAACGGTTGGCAAACTAACTAAGTGGACAAATTACTGAAGTCTTTCCCAGGCTGTTAAAACATTTTCTTTCTTTTTTTTTTTGAACATTTGCTTCTGTTAAAACATTTTCAAATTTCAACATATCATTTTCTAGAAGCAAAGTAAAATTTATACTTTTATTTTATTCAGCTAAAAAATTAGAGTTTATAAAAAAATTCAGTTTTTACGGGTCTTAATTTGTAAATCGAATATGCTTAAACTAAATCTAAAATTAGAATAAAAATAGAATGAAAAATGAAAAATATGAAGAAATTTTTCTTACACTAGATCCACGCTACATTTTGTGAGTAGGACAGAGTTGCGATGATCAACGAACAAAAATCCATATAATATTTGAAAAGCTATAGATTATATCTCTTTTTAATAGATTAGTCTGAACCCTTTCATAGTTATGAAATATACTTTAAGTTATAAAAAAAATTATATAATATTTTAATAAATTAAACCATTAACAAATAAATTTTATGGTGGGAAGTTGTTGAAATCTATTTTTTGTCTAAAGAAAATGACAACCTTTTTTCTTTTTAAAATCAAACATAATATTTATAAATCATAACATGACTACAAATATTATGTTAATTCATCTCAACAATCAGGCTTGGTTAATTAGCAGAGTATACTAAAGAAAGTGATAACAAAAAAACAGTTTTTTCCCCTTTTTTTAATAAATATTCTTCTGTTTTATCAAGAGTATATTGTTTTAAGTTTTTATTTTTATTTTTTAAAAATGTCGTCTTATATTTATATTTGTAATGAAGAATTTTAAATCCAACAACAAATATATTTGAAGAATACCTCATATGTCTTTTTTTTGTTTGTTTGTTAAAGAACACCTCAAATGTCATTTTATATATTGACAAAAGAAAATGGATAGATGTATGTACCTATCAAACCTGTATAATCTCTCATTAGTTAAAAATACGTAAATTTTTGTAGGTATTTAATTGATATAAATAAAAGCATAGATTATATATCTAATTTTTGTAAATGTTATATTTGTTTTACTCTGATTACTTCAAGTTTGGTTTGTAAAGGTGTTATCGCTGGAACAATGACAAGCTACTTGAGACATGATTCACCCGTTCATTTGGGTTTAATAATTCTATTAGTAATTTTAAAATCTACGTTTCACTTCAAATGTTAAATTTTCGTATAGTACTTATTGTTATTTGTTAACATTTGAATAAATAAGCCCATTAACAAATAAAATTTACGGTGGCAAGTTGTTGAAATCTTTTTTTTTTGTTTAAAGAAAATGACAACATTTTTTTCTTAAAGTTAAACATAACATTTATAAATATCATTACATGAGTACGAAGATTATTTTTATCCATCTCAACAATCTGGCTTAACTAATTAGAGTATACTAAAAAAAGTGATAACAAAGCAAACAATTTTTTTATCTTCTTAAAAAATACTCTCCATTTTATTAAGAGTGCTATTTTAAGTTTTTATTTTTGTTTTATAGAAAATGTTGTTTTATATTGTCAATGAAGAATTTTAAACAAAATTCCAGTTTTAACCTTTTAAGAGATAAAATAAAGCTTTAAATGATTTCTTATTATTTGTGAAAAACTGTCAAATGATATTTGTTATCAAACAGAGAAGAGGAAGTATTCGGCTTATACATTATATTAATTTGTATTATTGACCAATTGTTGGACTAGTCGGAGCGAGCTTTCCTTGCATCCAATTTTGAAGCATTTCCAAAGGCGCTTTTGGCTGATCCATGGGAACCATGTGCCCAGCGTCATGAACCTGTCCCCAAATTTGAAATTAAAAAGGTCTATTTTCAATAGTATATACATTGTTAGTATAGGTCAGGTTCACCTTCAGAAAAGTGAGAGAACCAATATTTTCCATCAGACCAGCTTATTATACCATCAACCAAAAACCGGCTTGTTCTCCATGAACAAATCAAGAGTGCTACTGCAACCTGGTCCACCGGATAGCTAGATCACGACCAGATTGGTAGTGTTATTCTCAGGTCCGGTTCAAAGTGGGTCAAAAATTTTGTGAGCTCTATACTATTTTAAAATATTTATTTACTTATACTTTATTTTATAAAATTTTAAATTTTGGGTCTTAAATTAGTAAAAAATATTTAAAAAAAACTATTGAGCTCTATGTTTTTGCACCTTCAGCACATGCCTTAAGCCGGACTGCCGAACCTGGTTACTCTGTGACTCAAAGAATAAATAGAACATCTAGTGAAAACCAAAATCACCAACATTACCAAAGAAAACATAATAGGTAGGGGTGTGCGTTCGGGTTATCGGTTCGGTTCGGATTGAATATTTCGTATTTCGGGTATTTCGGGAATCTAATTTTGTATACCGATCGGGTATTTTTAGAATTCGGATCGGATTCGGTTCGGTGCTCTTCAGATTCAGATCGGTTCGGGTACTCTATTTTGGATCCGTTTTGTTTTGGGTTTAACGAAATTCGGTTCGGTTCAGATACTTTTATTTGAAATAGCAATTGAGAAGAACCAAAAATAACCGAATATAACCAAAAGTAATTAAAAAACCCAAAATTCTCAAATTCAAAATCTATAGCCGAACCACCAAAATGTAGACATCAATATTCAGAATTTCAAATTGTAACTAAGAGAAGCAAAATGTAAACATCAACATTCAGTACATGAAGCATTGAACTGATATAACAAAGAAAAAAAACAAAGAAGCTAGATTGAAAGCAAAGTAGAATGTCTCAAATCTCAATGTGTAACACTGCAGTTTTTCCATGTCCCTAAGTCCCTGTTACAATAAACCAACATAAGAGGTTATTAGCATTTCACTGAATTTCTAAGTCCCTAACTTTCATGTCCCTAAGTCTCTAAGTCCTTAAGTCCCTAAGTCCTCAAGTTCCATGTCCCTATATCCCTATTAAACGATAAAGCAAAAAAAGAAAACAGAAGTCCGTTTTTACTAAACGCAGGACTATCACAAAACAAAGAGTTTACTAACGTAACACTTCACTAAATCGAGAAACAACAAATCAACATATTCTACTCACATGTTCAACAAAATAGAAACGCAATATAATGTATACAAAGAGTTAAAAAGAATACAAACCTTAAGGCCATCTTCTCTTGTAAAGTTAGTTGATTCCTCCATAGAACTCTGAAAATAGTTAAAATGAATAAAAAGTCAGATGTTAAAATTTAAAAGTGAAAAGACAAGCTAAAAAATAAAGGTTAACTAAAACAAGAACTCACTTTTTTCAAGTTCTGTGTGCAAATCAGCATCAGCAAGAAGAAAGGCGTTTGTAACAACTCTTTTCTCAGTCATTTTAATCTCACACTTCATCAATTGCTCTGTGCACATCAACACTTCAATCATGTAGTGAGTTAAACAGCTTCTATAAGGATCAATGATTCGCCCACTAGTGCTAAATGCACTCTCAGATGCAACAGAAGACACTTGCATTGCAAGAACATCTCTAGTTACTTCTGATAATATTGGGAACTTGCCAACATTAACCTTCCACCAAGACAAAACATCATACGCGGTTCCAAGCATAGTTTTAGGATTTTCAACAGCATCCTTGAGATATGTATCCAGCTCATTACGTGTCTCCTCACTACCTATTTCACTAACCATTTCCTTGTAAACAAAATCCATCCTCTCATATCCTAAATCATCATTCACTAAATCCATAGTTTCAGTGCTTGACACATTATCTTGGGCACTAGAAGATGAAGTCTGGATCGTCTGTGATGCTGACACAATCGGTTCCTTCTTTAACCGAAGACAATACTCATCAAACATAGATTTCAAAACATCTTGAGTTGACTGAAGCATTGCTTTACACTCTGCAGTATCTTTGCCATACAGCCGCTCAAAACGAAGCTTAGCAAATTTCAATTTTTTACTCGGATCAAACACACTAGCAACAATCAATAACCTATTGATGTTCTTCATTCCATCCCAATACTTGTCAAACTTAACCCTCATATCAACAGCCTTTGCTGCTAACTCTTTGTCTAGACTATTGCTCTTATTCATCAGATTTCTCTCTATAGTAACTATTTCACCATAGCACTTATAAGAGCAAATAGTAGTAGATGCCGAGACAACTAAAGTGGAGTTGTAGAAAATAATAAGAAACTGCACTAACCTCTCTACAGCTCTCCAATCGTGATAAAGAGGAGGTCCAATCCTTTTTACACCATGCTCCACTTCCATAAAATAGTCATTGTAGAGCTTGTCTTCAAGTTCCATTTTATCAAAAGCAGCCCTAAACTTAATAGCTTGTAGCAACATTAAATATGTTGAATTCCACCTTGTTTTGATATCGAAAGGCAAACTCCCTCGAGTTATATTTCCTGTCTCAACCCGAGTGTCAAACGAGTTTAACCTATTCGTAGATGATCTCACATATTGGACTGCATTGCGGATGGCTGAGACATGATCACCTAATTCAAGCAAACCTTCCTTGACAATCAAATTGATGATATGTGCACAACATCTGATGTGCATGAACTCCCCATCTAAAACCAATGCTTGGTTGTTCTGTAATTTAAACTCACTTTGAAACTTCTTGAGAGCCGATGTGTTCGCAGTGGCATTGTCAACAGTGATGCAAAATATCTTCTCTATGCCCCATTCAGCCAAACACTCTTGGAGAACTCTCGATATAGTATTCCCCTTATGATCAACAATGTACTTGAAACCAATAATCAGCTTCCTTAACTGCCAGCTTTCGTCAATGAAGTGCACTGTAACCACCATATAACTATTCCCAGTAACTTGAGCAACCCATATGTCTGTAGTAAGTGACACTCGTTGCTTCTTGGCGACAATATATTCCTTTAGAGCAGCCTTCTTTTTCTCAAACATCTTCACAATGTTTCTTGTAGCAGTTCTTCTTGACTGAGGTGTGTAGAGATTGACCTTATCACAGAACCATCTATAAGCCAGAGATTCAACAAACGCAAGCGGCAATTTTCCCAATACTAGCATTCCCTCGGTAGCTTCTTTGAAAACATCGTATGATACCTTAGCTTCTTTCATATTTCCGTCTTTAGTAACAACTCTTGTATCTGAAGCTTGACTCATTGCATATGTCTGATACTTCTTGCAGCTCTTCAGATGTTTAAGCAAGTTTGAAGTCCCTTTTTAAGTGGTACAGCCAAAAACTCGAAGACAGTGATTACATTAGCATTGGTCTTGATCATCCTCGAATCTTGTATAATTATCCCAGACAGGAGACCTTGTCGTTGGTGGCTTCTTTGGTTGAGAAGTAGTTTTACGTGCTTTTCTTTTCTCTCCTTTATCAGGCACTTCTTGAGGTTCCTGAGCTTCTTGAGTTTCAGCATCTGAACATTGGTGAAGAATCCATCTACAAAAAAAACAAAGTGCAGAGATCAGAGATTGTGACAAATTATTTTACAGTTCTCGAACAAAAGCAATAAAAGTACAGATCATATAAAAGAGTTGTAAGTTTCTTATACGAAGCAATTTGTATAGGTTGTAGCTAAAGAGTTGAAACTATATTGTTGTATGAAGTTGATTTCAGATAATGATCCAAGACTCCAAGTCTAACTAGTCAATTATTTGGAAAAAATCCAATTTAAACTGAACTTGAATCTCGTATATAGCTTCTTTAATTAGTGAATTTTTTGGCTAAAGAGCTTCAATCTTGTCTATAGCTTCTTCAACATAACCAAAGAGACACATAACAACATAACCAAACAACAAAAATGTAAGGAACAAAAAATCATGTTTTCTCCAAAAATTGAGATTCCGGAGCAATAGACAACAATGTAAAAAACTCTAAATTGAGACAAAGAAGATAAGCAAACAAAAAAAAAACTACAAATGAAGACAGGAAACCGAAATCACACAATAAAGTTTAAAGTCAAAAACACAGAAAATCGAGCAAAATGAGAAGATTCAAACCAAAACTTAAAGAACCAAAGTACCAAACACAAACACAAGGAGAAATCGAAATACCTTGATGGTGTAGGATAGAAATTCATACCTAAGAGTAGGGGTGATTTCTTGACGTCTCATAGGGAAGAGACTCTGCTGGTAAATGGTAAAAGTATTCCAGATTTTCGGATTTGAGAATCGGTATTTGATGATTTGAAGGAAAGGATAATTTCTAACTTTCTATGATCGTGGCTTCAAAATCGGGATTGCGATATCACGGGAAATATCCAAGAAAGGTAAGAGGAGCTTAGCTTAGCTTAGGCCTTGGGGGGTTGGTTCTAGAAATCGGATTCTTCGGATACCATCTTCGGATATCGCTTCGGTCCGGGTATTATCCGGTACCCGAAATCGATTAACAAAAGCATCCGATCGGATATTATAAGAGATCCGATGCATTGCGGATCAGGTTTTTTGGTTCGGATCCGGATCGGATCTTCGGATCCGGGTAAAATGCCCACCCCTAATAATAGGTTTGTTGCGCTAATGTTCTCTGTATACCAACTACTAAACCGATATACCAAACTATGATTTAAAACCACACTAATTTGAACTGGTTTAAAGTTTACTTGGCTGATTTTGTCTAGGGGTGGGCACTTCGGTTTTTGGTTTGGTTTCGATTTGGTTTTTCGGGTTTATCGGTTTTACGAAAATTCAAATCATATAAAAGCCATACATATTTCGGTTTGGTATGATTTGGTTTTTTACGGTTCGGTTCAATATGGTTTGGTTTCGGTTTTTTTGGAATTATACTTTTACGAAAAATTTTGATTCAAACTAATGGAAAAAATAATAATAGATATGAGTGAAATAAAACAATAAGTTCAAAAAATATAATCTAAATCATAAAAAAATCATCAATAAGGACATATTTCAAAACAGATAAACAAATAAACTATCAAATCTTTCATAATCAATAATTATAAAACAATAAACAAATCTAGATTAAAATTTAATACTTGTAACCTTGGAACTAGAACTAGAAGACATGAATGTGAAGAAAAATGAGTTAATCACGTTATTTTTTATTGAAAAATTAAGGTTTACTTTATTATTTATATGTAGATATTTTTTATAAATATTATATTTTAAATTTATGAGTTAAGTTAGTAAATTATAAAGATAACTAAGCTCAATAATAAAATATGTACCTAAACTAAATTAATAAACTAGGAAAAAATAAATTATTTAAAATTTAGTTTAAAAACCGAAAAAATCTTTTGGTTTGATGGTTTTTAGCCAAACCAAACCTAAACCAAAACTACAAAAAAATAATAGCCAAATAGATTTTTAGGTTTAACTATAACCAAACCATATCACTTTTTTCAGTTTGGTATAGTTTAATTTTTTCGATTATGGTTTTTGTACCCACCCCTAATTTTGCCTGTGGGAGGGTGTAGTAATAACCAGCGTAGTGGCGGACCCGTGGTTTACGTATAAGTAAAAAGACATTTATTTTAGGCTTCTGATATATATAAAATTTTAGAAGCAAAATCTGGTGTATCATGGTGGTTTTAGTTATAGTATTCCAGAAATTTTAATCCAAGCTCGATTCTTTTGTTTGTTTTTTTTGTTATTTTTGTTATGGCTTTTAGAAATATAGAATTTCAGATCGTAAATTGAAAAGAAAATTTAAATTGCAAACCAAAAACAAAATCTGATTTCAGATCAAAAAGAAACCGAAACAAGTTTTGAGAGTTTATTAACAACTTTTTGGTTAGTTATATATTATAGTTTTGGTCACATTTTTTAAAAAATTATCGTATTGACAATTAATTTTTATAAGTTCTGAGGATTTTACTTTTGCTGGTTTTTAATGAATGATGTTCTTTTACCAAAAGGTTTTCAAAATATATCTACATTATTTGTTTGCTTTGGCTTCTCATTTGTTTTGCTTATTTTTTTCTTTGTTTTCTCAATTTTTTTTTATTTTTTGCTTTGGTTTCTCATTTTTTGCTGTACTTTCTCATTTTTTTTTCTTTTTTTAAATGAAACTTATTTCAATGTTGTTCGAATTGTATATATTTAATAATGCCTTTGTGTAGTTTTAGTTTTATTATCCAAAATATTAAGTGTATTTATGTTTTATATTTTCAGTTCATAGTTTTGTTTTACATTTTGTTAAAATAATGGTTATACAAATGATTGGTATAATCTATTTTTAAAACAAATTGTAAAGAATTCTTATTTATAAACTATTACAGGATTTAAAAATTTTGAATAATATATATATATATATATATATTATAATAATATAATTTGTTTGATTTAAAATGCCTCTCGAAACAGCTAAACTTAATGACATAGGGGATTCCTCGGATCATTTTTTAATTAACTATTTTGTAGAATTTTATTATTAATTTTTCTAAAATAAATATTTCAAGCCAAATCTTATATTTTCGTCTAGGACTTATTGTTGACATTGCAAGTAAACCCAATAACAAATAAATTTTAAAAACACCCCCTATGTCATTTTCTTAATAAACATTCGGCTTGCACATTAAAATCAATGGCCAACTTTTGGGCCAGTCACAGTATCGAGCTTTCCTTGCATCCAATTCTTAAGCATTTGTAAAGAAGCTTTTGGCTGATCCATCGGAACCATGTGCCCAGCATCATGAACCTGTCCCAAGATTGAAAATTCTTTAAAGAATGAAAATCTATATTCAATTGTGTTCACGTTAATTGTAGGTCAGGTTAATCGGTTTAATTAGGTTTACCTTAAGAAAAGTGAGAGGACCGTGATTCTTCATTAAACCGGCTTCTTTACCATCTACCAGGAAGGGTACTGTCTTGGCTGATCCAAAATCCTTCTGACCTGACCACTTCATCTGCTCAACCCACCTGGAGTTTCCTGTATATACCAAATAAAATCATTCTATTAGACTCAGGTAAACCAGAATCAAACCGGAAAACACCAAAACTGTGCAAACTATGTCGGTTCCAACCGGAATTGAGAGTAGACCATTTTCCTACTTCATTAACAAAACACTAGCAATTGAAACTCTTAACTCCTTACAATTTGATCGAAACCAGCTTAACCAAATACCGCAAACGAAACTACACACTTGACCTTTTGTTCCCGCTTCACAACATAAACAAGAATCAAATTAAAACTCACTGTGACAATTATGATTCAGTCTTACCAAGCCAATTGCAGATGAGATCATATTCTCCGGCATAAACCAGAAGATTGATTCCATCTTCGACAAGAGCAGGAATCTTGGCCTCGAGATTAAGCACCCAATCGTTCAACATTGCATCATAAACGTCGGTACTACACGACACAAATTGGATATCTCCAACTCCTAAAGCTTTTCTTACGTTTTCTTGGTTCAAGAATGTCTCCATCTTCGAAAAGTCATAGCATAAGCTTCCAAGACATTTCTTCCTCACGTCATAGTACTTAAACAAAAAACGAGTAAAAAAATTGTAAGCGAAAAACCCCTGCAAAAATGGTTTTTTTAAAGTGTGTAATCTCTCTATGCTTACATTTGTGCCATCTATTTCAGTCATTATCTCGTTGAAGATGTTGGCGCAAACTTGATAAGCAGAACCACACGCTTCACCACCACCAAGGTCTGAGATTTCCAAAACAAAAGATTTCATTAAAATTCAAAACTCTAATCCAAAAATACCCAAAAGAAATAGTGGTTTTATATAAATTACTGCATTGTTTGATGGAACTTTGACAGTCAGCATATTCTTTCTTAAGACTCTCGTGCAAGGACTCTGAGATCAACTTCATTTCCAGTGCATAATCCCCATACGCACCATACTGGATCTCCGGGTTGGTTAAACCGTTACCAATCGCAAAGCCCTGAATTAAACCGAGATTAAACCAAAGTTTTGGTTACAAAACCAAAAAAAAAAAAACAATGAAAGACTTACCTTAAGGTTTATTGGAATTCCTTCGTTCTTCTTGTTTCCACTGTGAACTCGTGAAGCCAAAGCCGGAATGTAGTGACCAGCGTAAGATTCACCAGTAATATAGAAATCGTTGTTGGCGAATTTCGGATGTTCTTTGAAAAAAGCCTACCAAAATTCAAATCATCATTGCAATTCAAGGAAGGAACATTCGTTTTTGAGATTTTTGAATAACAATCGAACCTGTAAGAAATCGTAGAGGTCATTGCTAACACCGGCCTCGTCGTGCCGGAGATCGCTGCTGTTCGATGTGTAGCTGAAACCGGTCCCGATTGGTTGGTCGACGTAAATTAGATTGGATACCTATTGAAACAAGATTAGCTTTGTAGATAAACATGTTTCTTGTGTAACAAGAAATACATTTGTTTTCATCTAAATCAAACCAAACCAAACCAACCTTGTCCCAACCAAAATCGTTCCAAGATAGAGAGAGATCTTCGGATATCGTGAACGGACCGTTCTCATAGAACAGAGCCACACTGCTACTACAACCCGGTCCACCCGATAACCATATCACAACCGGATCGGTGTTGTTGTTCCGTGACTCAAAGAAGAAATAGAACATCCTGTAAGAAAACACACACAAAAATCGAATTGGTCTACTAAACCGAATTCGATTAAAACACATCCTGATTTAAATTGTACTAAAGTGAATCGGTTCAAAATGTTACTTGGCGGATTTCGAATGAGGGAGGGCGTAGTAACCGGCGTAGTGGCCAAACTGTTGGACTGAAGGACCACCGGAAGCGTTTCCGGCGTCGATAATCGCTGAGAAATCGAATTGGCTCTCAACAAGTCTCGGAGCATCAGGGCTTCCCTTTGGTATGACATTGACCTTATGTTGAGGTATTAGATTGAAGGATTTGATAAGCCTCTCTGCATTGCGGCTCGATAAACTCGCCGGGGATGAATAAACGGAGGAGTTTTTGAGGATCCTTTTAGAAGTTGAGAGCGAAAAGTTGGAGAAGAAGAAAATAAAGAGGAAGAAAAGGAGAGAAAGTGTTTTGGCCTCCATTTTTTCTTTCTTCTTCTTTGTAGTTTTGTACGAGAATCGGGCTATAGTATTAGAGTGGATGTATATATGGAGGTTGCTTGCTCTTGTACTTGACCAATTTAGGTTATAAGATTTAATTAGGAAGATATCTTTCCAAAAGTTTTTTTAAGATCCTTTCTCAAAAATATCTTTCCAAAAGTTTATTTAACGTTGTTATGCCAATGCAAGGGCCGGGCACTGTTTGGCTTCCCCCCCCCCCCCCCCCCCCAAATTGTATTAGTTCATTTTTAGAATTTGTTTTTAGTATATGTGTAACATTAATAAAGAGTTTCATGGGTTTTTTTAATATGAGTAGCAAAAAAATATAAGTTAACCCAATTATAAGATTCATAAAATAAAAATAAAAATAAATCTTCTCAATAAACTGTTTCCTTTTTTTCTTATTATCTTGTGTTTCTTCTGCCCCATTTTTCTCAGTGCCATTATTTAGTCCATGTAATATAGTATTTTTTTTTTTGAAAAAAAATGATTTCTTTCTTTAATTTATTTTTTCTTAAAACTATCTTTTTAGTTTATATTTTTTGTAAAGATTTTTTTCCAATTAGCACTTATACGAATCCACCAGAGTTAAACTAAGATGCATCATGTACCTAGTGGTTTAAACTAGTAAGAAAAGTTTAGGTGTATTTGCCACTTTGTTAAGAGAAAGTAACTAAGCAGACGATATTTAATTTCTTAATAAAACATTTATAAATCCTCGGCTAGGCATTAAAAATTAGAATTATTGACCATTCGAAGTAGCGAGCTTTCCTTGCATCCAAGTCCGAAGCATTTGCAAAGAAGCTTTGGGCTGATCCATCGGAACCATGTGTCCAGCCTCATGAACCTTTCCCCAAAATTGAAAATTAAAGAGAATGTAAGTCCAATTTTCAATCATATTAGATATATATTATCAGTTTGGTTCCATCGGTTTATTTGTTTACCTTAAGAAACGTGAGAGGACCGTGATTCTTCATTAAACCGGCTTCTTTACCATCTACTAGGAACGGTAATGTTTTGGCTGATCCAAAATCCTTATGGCCTGACCAATTCATCTGCTCAACCCACCTGGAGTTCCCTGTATATACCAAATGAAATCAATCAATTGGACTCACCTAAACCAAAATCAAACCGGAAAACACCAAAAATGTATGTCGTTTCCATATCCTATACCGGGAATTGAGAGTAGAATACATAACCCTAAGAAGCCTTAAATGAGATACACCATTTTCCTACTTCACTAACAAAACACTAGTAACGGAAACTCTGAACTCCTGAAAATTTGATCGAAACCAGCTAAACCGATCTTTTATGTTTCATAACCTAAACCAAAATCAATTTAAAAACATTAAAATGCGACATAATGTGACAATTCTGAACAATCTTACCGAGCCAACTACAGACGAGATCATATTCTCCGGCATAAACAAGGAGTTTGATACCATCTTCGATAAGAGCCGGAATCTTGAGCTCGAGATTATGCAACCAATCCTCGGTCATTGCATCATAAACTTGGGTACTACAAGACACAAATTTGATATCTCCAACTCCTAAAGCCTTTCTTACGTTTTCTTGGTTCAAGAATGTTTCCATCTTCGAAAAGTCATAGCACAAGCTTCCCACACATTTCTTCCTCACATCATAGTACTTACAAAAATAAAACCGAGAACATCTAAGCTCTAGAAAAATTAAAAAAGAAAAACCCATAAGAAATATGATTAATCTCGTGTTTTTAGATACTTACATTTGTGCCTTCTATTTTAGCCGCTATCTTGGAGAATATGCCGTTGCACACATTGAAACCAGAAACACAAGCTGACCCACCATCAAGGTCTGAAATTCACAAATCACAAAATAAGTTTTTTTCTTTAAAAACTTCTCACTCAAGCGACAAATTCAGAAGAAAATAAATAAGCCTTTATTTAAATTACTGCATTTTTCGATGAAACGTTGACAGTCAACATAATCTTGCTTCAGAACCTCGTGATCGGACTTTGATATCAACTTCATTTCTAGCGCATAATCCGCATAAGCAGCATATTGAATCTCTGGGTTGGTTAAACCATTACCGATCGCAAATCCCTGATATAAACAAAGATTGAATCTCCGGGTTGCTTATAATTTTTATTTTTTTTGGTATGAATGTTGTTTGCTTATTTTTGTTCAACTTGTTTTTTTCCCTTCTTATTTTCAAAATTGTATAGAGTTGTAGTATTAAAAACAATTATCATTATCAAAATTATGCATTGATAAAAATTCATTTGTTGTTTTGGAAATTTGAAATGATTTAAATAAGAAACACTACAAAATTTAGTCGATTCAACATTATAATGATATTGAATTGACTAATATCATTATGATGTTGAACTAACTATAAAATTTAGTCAAACTATGGAAATATCATTATAAAACTATAATGTTGAATTGACTAATACTGATATAATGATACTGATTCTAGTTCTATACAAAACGAATGAAAGATCAATTACCTTTAGGTTGATAGGGATTCCTTCGTTATTTTTGTTTCCACTGTGAACTCGTGAAGCTAACGCTGGAATGTAGTGACCAGCGTAAGATTCTCCGGTAATGTAGAAATCGTTCTTCGCAAATTTCGGATGCTCTTTAAAAAAAGCCTAGCCCAATTATTAAAGATTTTAAAACTCAAATTATTACAGTTCGTAGAACATTTATATTTGAATTTTTTTTCGAATATAGACAACACTTGAACCTGTAAGAAATCGTAGAGGTCATTGCTGACACCTGCCTCATCGTGACGCAGATCACTACTATCCGATGTATAACTAAAACCAGTTCCAATTGGTTGGTCCACGTAAATTAGATTGGCCAACTATTAAAACAAAAAAAATATATAGTTTGAGTTATATGCTTGTTGTAGCTATGTTTCTTGAATAACAAGAAATACATTGTTTTCTATCGAAGGCAAACCAACCTTGTCCCAACCAAAATGGTTCCAAGAGAGAGAAAGATTATCCGAAATTTTAAACGGACCGTTCTCATAGAACAAAGCTACACTGCTACTGCAACCCGGTCCACCGTTTAACCATATCACAACCGGATCATCGGTTCTGTTGTTCCGCGACTCAAAGAAGAAATAAAACATCCTACGAAAACAAAATCAAGAAGAGAACCATATCGATTTATAAAGCATCCGTATATATTACAAACGAGTAATTAAACCAGACTCGTATAGCACAAATCCTTATTTAAAATAGCTTTTCCAGAATTTACTTTGCTGATTTTGAATGAGGGAGGCTGTAGTAACCGGCGTAGTGGCCAAACTTTCGGACTGAAGGACCACTAGAAGCTTTCATGGCGCTGATTGTCGCCGGAAAATCGAGTTGCCTCGTGAAGAGTCTCGGAGCATCAGGGCTTCCCCTTGGGATAACATTGATGCCATGCTTAGGCGTTAGGTTGAAGGATTTGATAAGCCTTTCCGCATTACGGCTCGACAAACTTGCAGATGATGAAAATTCAGAGGTGTTGTTCTCTAGGATCGTTTTAGATGTTGAAAGAAAAAATTGGGAAAAGATGAAAATAATGATGAAAAAAGGGAGAGGAAGCATTTTGGCCTCCATTTCCTTCAGCAATACTTTTTCTGTTTTGTATGAGAATTGGTTTCTAGAGTTGAAATAGATGTATTTATGGAATTGGCTTTCTGTTGTACTTAACCAATAAATACTTAATTTTGAATAACATGTATTTCCAAAAATGTTTTAATGCAAGTTTATATTGGTCAACAATATGTTTTTCTTGGATTCTAAAAAGATGAAATTATGGAAATAGTCTAAATTTGTTATATCAAACTTAAGAAAATAGTCTAATCTTAACACTGATTAAGTCTAAACTCAGAAATTTAAACTATAAGCTAATAATTATAAGAGGAAATGCTCCAAAATGAATTCTTCACTAACATATAGACAAAATGGTTTATTTTCCCATTTTAATGTTTAGTGTATTTTGTTTACTCTAACATTAAGAATGATGCATGGTACATATGACAGAAGCCGCCAAAGCAATTACTTAACTAGGGACGACCGTTTTCTTCCATTGGTCAAACCGTTGAGTTAAAACTTTTTTTACAAAAAAAGTTCTTTGTATTGTTAGATATTTTGGTAACTAACTATGTATCGAATTGTGTAACGCTTGCTATTGTTATACTCTTCTTACTTGTAGTTTGGATTTTTAAAATATGTGGTGTTATCTGCTTTTGTGCCTACTGAAATCATTTCATTAATATGAAGAATCTACATTAATAAATGCATATAACTTAATAAGACTTATTATCAAACCTTTTTCGAACTTGCAAATAAAGCAGAAAGTTAGAAAAAGCTTGGATTTGTTTAACTCTTAACTAAGTCTCTAAGTAAATGAACAAATGCTAGCTATGTTTTGGCCTTTGGGGTTTGCTTTTGCGTACTATCGCTCTAAATATCGTTGGACGGTTTTTAAAAAAATACACATGTATGAAGGCAGTTGGGTCGGGATTGGGTTTTGTACAGGTTGGTTATGGACTACTTAATTTTGTTAAGGATTTAAAATCAGTTTTGGTTTTGTCCATATTCGTTTTGGTTCTTGTAAGATTTTTTTTTTTCAACGGTTCTTGTAAGATTATAACCGAAAACTTTAACCAATGTCACTCTTGTTGAATTCAGTTTCAAGTTGCCTCGGTTAAAATGACCAGGCCTTTTGGAATGTGAGTGGTTTTCAGCCACTGAACCATATACCTTGAAAAGAAACGAAACTTTGTTAACAGAAAGGTAGCTGATGATTACATCGTATACGGTATTTCAAATTTCCAATCATATTATACAATACACTGCAATCTCGATACGTTCTCCTCACCTTCAAGAGTTTGATGATCAATACAAAAATCGCGTTTAAAGAGTCATTGGAACCAGTTAGGATCTGACTTTAGCAAGCCGAGCTCGAATTTCCTCCAGCTCTTCCTCATCATCAACACCTTCTGCAATTGCCTCTTCCTGCAACAACAAACAAAGAAGAAGAAAAACACCAACTTAGAATCTAATCTGCATTGAACTTTTTTCTCATTTCTTGCAATCAAGAACTGCATTTTGCTAAAGATGGGCTTTTTACCTCTCGGGACGTGCTCGCCTTCTGCGCAGGAACCTTTATCCTTTCCTTCCTGACAGTTTCCGGGAGCTCTGCAGCGGTTTCTCCAGCAATAGCAGTCAATACTTTATCAACCTCTTCGTCTATCTCTTCTTCCATATCCTCTGAGTCTAGTGCATTGTCAATGGCATCATTCACAAACTCCTCAATAACTCCAGCCTGCGTATCAAAGCAGCAAAAGATTCATATATCATGAGAGAAGGAAACCAAAACTGTGTGATTTTTTTTTTTGTATCTCAATATGGATTTGTATGATGAGATAAGGAAACCAAAAAAGGTACCTTGGTCATCTCTTTGCTGAATTCCTGCATTGTTGCAGCCATTTGTGGAGCTTTCATGAGATTATTGACAAGCTTCATAACCTCTGCACTCTTGGACAGATGCCCAACTGTTCGAGCAACAGCTGAAGATTTCAACAAGAAATGAAGAATGTAAGTGTATGTGGTCAAAATCAAATTGCAAACATAGTTTAATAAAAATGATGAAAACTCTATAGATATCACGCCAATGAAAAAGCATTTATTATACCAACGCTCTCCCCAAGGTGCATTGATATCGAATTCATCTGCGCTTTATTTTCATATAGCCGGTTCACTGTTCTTCTCGAACTCACAATTTCCTTAGCAAGCGCCTGGAACACAGTAGAAATGAAAAATCAGAGACGCATTGAAAAGAGCCAGAGATTCGAAACAAAAGCTAAGTTTTCGACAATTGAATGTCACATTAAGTGGAATCAAAGCTTTGCAAAGGCACGAATTTTCCAAAAATTTTGCTCTCAGTTTCAAGCTTTTTTGGTTTTACCTTGGCTGAGACCATATCGTTCCGCTTTGCAGCCTCTTTGATAGCTTTCTGAACGGTTCTCTCTTCTTTCTGTATATCTGAAAAAAGGAAGAATCTCAATTTCAATAACTCTGAATCCACAGATTCAAATCGATGATTTTAGCATCAGCAGAAACAAAATCCACTCTTAAGACACTCACGATTCGTGATCATCATCATGAATTTTTAGTACTTTCGGGTGCGATCAAGCGAACCCATCAATCTAATTTCAGCTAGATTCATCGATTTTTTTCAAAACTTTCCTGAATCTAAGAAAACCCGATTCCGATGAAAATTTAGCATTTTTGGGTGCGATCGACCGAACCCATCAATCCAATTTCAGCTAGATTCATCGAATTTCAAAACTTTCCTGAATCTTAAGAAAACCCTAATTCACCCAACGAAAAACTCGAGGAGATGTAAGATAGAACCTCGGATTTGGCGTTCGATGTTACGGCACTCCTGACGAAGTTTGCGTTGCCAATCACGCAAGAGTTGCTTTGGATCAGGCTTCGGCTTTATGATGTTCATCACTCTCTCCATTCTTTGCAACTTCGTTTTTTCACCTTTGCTGCTCTGTTTCGGAGTATATATTTTTCAACCAATTATATAGATTATAGTATATATTATTCCAACTGTTTTCATTTTTCTTATTTAAATTTTCATTTTAGGACTACAAATGTTTAGGATAAACAAAAAAAAAAGTTTAAGGCTTCTTAAGTAAACTAAAAAATTTGGAGGCCCTTTTATTATAAGAATGTTTTTAAATCACCAAAGTTAGAACATAAATTCAATAAAAACCCAAAAAAACTTGAGTATTATCATTTGACAATGTATTAACATAGGTTTTGTTCACAAGGACATATATTCTCAATGTGACCTGGAAAACACAGAATCTGAAGAACATGTTCACCAATTCCATTGACACGTCTAAACTCATAATCTGCAATTCCTTCGACTTGCGCACTTCTCAAACTCTCTTGGATCACATCCGAGTAGAAAACAGATAAAGGCTTAGATGATTCTAAGCGGTGAGAGCACAACATAACTTCTCCGGTATGAATCTCTCCTGGAGAATAAGATGGTCTCTTCTCCCTAAACAGATCATCCCACTCACAAGGCAAAACACAAGTCGTTTGATTCCACAGCTCCCTTTTCTCTTGGATCCATACACGAGTCTCTTTCGAGTAACCATACTCTACTCCTCCAAATTTCCCGTGGTGATTTACAAAAGTCCAACTTGTGATATCATCTGTGGGTGCTTGAATAAACGTCATCTTCTCGGTTCTTATGTCGAATCTTGCTATCTTTCCATGTCCAACTCCGTAGTATATAGCACCATTGATGCAAATTCCACTTCTGTGTAAGGCTCTCCGTTGGTGTCAGTGATCTTTCTCCATCTGTATTCACATCTGATCAGTGTCATAACGAGATGCTTCGGTTCCATATCTGTTCCACCGATCATCGCACACAGCACTTTGTATCGATCCCCCACCGGATCGTACCCGAGACGTGCGTGCGTGATTCTGCCTCCAGCTCTGACATCGGGGAGTATCATCATCTCTCTCGTGGTGGGATTGCAAACAGCGATTGATGAGCCACGTGTGCAGCAAATCAGGCCGTTCACGGGGGGAGCTGTGACTGAGAAGAAAGGGTATGTGCTGTCGTAAGGGGAACATGTGATGTTGCGGCGGAAATCCGAGATCGTCATGTCGTGTCTGGCGACAACTGTGGAGGGTTTTGCGTCCTTGTCATTGTCGTGTTCAGGAGCTGAAAAGATGAAAAGCTTATGAGAATCAAGGTGTCCGAAGGTGAAGAGGAGACGTGGCCGAGTCCTTGACCTAGTCAGGAAGGCTTGGACGAAATCTTTACTGCGGATGATGGAGGACCACTGCTTCGACACGGATCGGAATCGGAGTAGTGATTTCGCCGGAAGTCTAGAGAGTATCTCGATGGTGAGTTTAAGATTAATGGTTTCTGTGGAGTTTCCGGCGTTATCTAGGTTACGTGAGGGTGACGGCTTTGAATTTTCCATGGCGGCTTCGTACTGATGAACACGAAACATAAGAACCCTACTACTGTGTATAAATTATATATAACACGAAGAGTACTTTAATTTCTTTATTTCCATAAGGAAACCCAAAAAGAATCCGTTTTTGTTAAGCAAAGTATCCCGTAATTTCTTTTTATCAAAAGTTACCAAAAATCTTTATTACCAAATTTTTCTTTGTAAACGTTGTTCATTAGTTTTTTCCCCGATGGCATGCAATGGGAGAGTGATGTCTGGCCGTTACAAGAAAATGTCAATGTGCACGTACATACATGTATGAACTTTTGTATACATATTTTTCGGTCGTCTGCTTACTCTTTGTGTTCCATAATTTTGTTCTTAATGGATAACAGTGCCCCCTAATTAGATGTTATCGTCTTCAGGGATAACAATTGGCTTTAGGCCCTTTTCAAAAGAAACAAAGAAAAAACAATTGACTTTAGATAACATATTTCTGTGTTACTATTACTGTTATTGTATCACTATCTGAGCCTTAGAAATATATTAAAATATTTAACATTTCGGAAAGAAAGGAAGAATTATTTTGCCATTTGATTTCATAACTGAAACTACACATTCTCCTAATTGTACTTATATTGATGATCATATCATCACACACACTAATCAATTCTACTATGAAGTAGATAAGTGGTTAAGACTAGCTACTTGAGAAAACTAATCGTTAAGAGCAAACACGTACCATATAATGCATGATACTATAGAAGTTCAACATGTTTTATGAGTATATTATTTATATGTATGCTCTTAGAGGTAGAAGGTCTCATATTTGATTTCACCGATTGTTTATCTTTTGAACCAAATGTAGTTTAGTTATACAAGTAACTGAAACTACATTGTCCTAATTATACTTACATTAATGATCATTAATCATAACACACACTCATCAATTCCACTATGAAGTAGATCTAAGACTACTTGAGAAAAATCGTTAAGAGCAAGCAAGTACCATGCATGAAACAATGAAGACTCATAAGGAGGAAAAAAAAGAATTCATAGAAATTCAGTGATGTGTGTTGCAAGAAAAAGAAAGTTGCACAAAAAAAACTCATAGAAGATCTCAAATTTTATCCAAAATTCCATGCTTAACAGACTTTATAAGTAGTTCAATAACGTGATTGATTAAGTGACTTCGGGACCCAATACTATCTCATATCTCATGCACAAATATAAAAATTTGAACCTTCGCTACAAGTATAAGTTATAACAAATGACGTTAAATGATTTAGTATGTATTTATGAAAAAGAAAACATTCATAAAAGCATCTATAGTGAATCAAATTGAATATTTTGTAACTGCCACATATAAATTCGTTTTGCATGTTTCTTACTTTCTCAAACTAGTTGATGCATCGATTCATTGTAACTAAATTAAATTAAACGGTGACAAATATGTAAATATGGTTTCCCATAATACCGAATTAAAGGATCTTACTTAATTGGATAAAACTAATACGAACACAGTCGGGTTCCTTAACCTTACATTACGAGTTACCGAAGTTTAAGAAAAATAAGAAAACACATACTAAAACATAGAGGAAGAGACAAAATCAACTTGAAACATATACTAAGACATAAAGGAAGAGAGACAAAGTTAACCGCTTCAAATCAATTAATTGGCATGAGGTACACACCAATCTCTTCTAAAACTCCAGTAGTGCCACTAATGAATTAAGACCTTTTACTTTCTTAACTAACCTCAGAAGAACTTCCAAAAAAACCAACCACTTTATAACCTTTCTCTTTTAGAAGAAACCTCTTGTTTTCTCCAGGAACCTTGAAGAGTATCCCAGATCCCAAATTCTCGAGTCCTCCCCTTGTTTGTCTTGATCTGTAGCATACTCAAGGCAAAACTTGTAGTTAATGATTTGATAAATTACCTCTCACAGATATTATGTACTCATCTTGATCGAGGATGAATTATCCAAAAAGGAAAAAAGTAAACTTAAATCAGAATTATAAACATTAAACGATATTAATAGTAATTTCAGAGACTTCACCTTTCACATCTAGTAATTTTAGAAGATGCGCCACTGTAAAGATCGCTCCAAGAGCACTGAGTCTTCGTTCTTCTTAAACTTTTAGTAATTCGTTTGCAAGACCACCTTTACTTATTGGCATTCGACACTATTGCTCATCCAATACTTTTATGATAACTAATGCAATTTAGAGATTGTGCAACTTTTGTGGAGAATCCAAAATCTCAAATAGTAATAATGTAAGAAGAATTCATATTTAAACTTCATAAAACAATCCAACTTCATAAATTGTATGTAGAAAATGAAAAAAAAAAGTAAAAAAAGTATTACATTAATGTTCAATTTATCATTCCACACTAATCATACGTGGTCAAAATTACTTGAAAAAATTTGGTAAGAGCATACATACAAGGCATGAGAAAATAGTTGTGCAACATGCTTTTTCTATTTTTTGATAAAAACTAATGGTCACTTCATGAAACAACGAAGACGCATAAGGAGGAAAATTGTTAGAAAATTGTTCTAATGCTACCAAATCCAAATACTAATGTTTTGCAAAGAACTATGTTCTAATGAATCAGCATAATTATGATTTTTGATTCGAGAAAATTTACTATATAATTACTTCATTATTTTATTTTATTTTTAGCTTGATATACTGCATATGTTTTATAGTCTATCTCTATTTGAGCTTAGTATTAAATGAATTTTTCAATAAAGAGTATTCTTTTTTGCCTCATTTTTGAAATTAAATTGAAAATCACACGAATTAGTATACTTTTTGTCATAAACGAACTAGTATATACTAAAATTAAGTTTTTCAACTCCATCAATTTTTAATTTAAAGAAAAAGGGAAAAACTATTATCAGATTCGGTTCAAAATAATATAGAACTTTTGGTAAAAAAAAAGGTTTAGGATCTTTAAGTAAAATAACAAATTTAGAGACCCTTTTATAAAAATGTCTTTAAATTAGATATATGTCCAAGAGCCAAGACCCCTCCAAGGCTTTAACCAATACTTAGAGCAAGAGAATGGTATATGACTAGTGAGTAGTGACCATACATTATATAATGAGATACTGTCTCTTTCGTTTAGAACAAACTTATATGAATGATCATTCTTTTTGCTGCTGTTAGAACAACACATCTGTGAGTTTATAAGATAAGAGGGGAGCCAATATTACAAACATGGAAAGACAAAACCAAATTTTATTGTAAGAGCATCTCTAACCCTATTCTAAATCTGATAATATATTTTATTTTTTATTTATACTAAAATAGTTAAATTTAAAATTTGGTATAATTTATAAAAGTTTTGAAAAAAAATTATTAAATTAATTTGTAAATTTTGAAGTAATTGTGGATCAATTAATAATTAATAATAACAGAAAAAAATAGAATATGAAATAGAATTATATCTTGGAGAGAAATGCAATTTTATTTTATAAGAACATCTCCAACCTTATTTTAAATCTGGTGCTATATTCTATTTTAGTATAAATTTTTTAGCTCTAACCCTATTTTATTTTTGATTCTAAAATAGAATAATGATGTTTCTTGTTCCAAATATGGAACCATCTCATTCTCAATTCTATTATAGAATTGAACTTTTTTTATTTAAAAATTGGTCTTTCAAGTTTTAAATAGTTATACTTTAAAACTAATAAATTATTATTTTACTGATAATTTCTTTTATTGATTAATTATAAATATTAAAACATTAAAATTAAAATGAAAATAATTAAATTTAAGGCTTGTTATATCATTTTAATATAGTGTAATGTATTTTTATATTAAAATAATTAAATTTATAGCTTGGTATAATTTATAAAAAAATTCAAAACATTATTAAATTAATTTTTAAATTTTGAAAAAATTGTGGATCAATTAGCAATTAATAATAAAACAGAAAAAGAAATAGAATAGAAAATAGAATGATACATTGGAGAGAAATACAATTCTATTTTATAATTATTCTATTTTGAAATAAAAAATAAAATTATACATTGAAGATGCTCTAATTATTCTATTTTGAGATGAAAAATAGAATCATACATTAAAGATGCTTTAAGAACAAATTTTTTGGTTAATATTATTTGATGGTACCAATGAACTGTTTAATGATATATACAAGACATTAGTATGAAAGTAAAGTGGGCCTACGAACAAATTGTGTACATATATAATTCAACATATAACATTTATTGATATATGCATCTTCTGACACACTAGCTGTCTCTTGCTCACATTTCTCTGTCTTTCATCTTTCCCCATACAAACCCCCCTTTTTATTTTTATCTTTATTCATCACTTTTACATGTCTATACATTGATTATTATTTATATTATTATTGGCAACTATATTTAAGGATTAGCGAACTACATTTTAGATCCGAGCGTTTATGTTTTGAGTTGAATCACGATCGTGTTTCTTTTTGTCACCGGGTTACGATCATTTGAGATGAAAAGAGGTTATATCAGAACGTTCTAAACACATTGTAAAGTATCTCATTGATCTTTTAACAAAACAAATTGTCAACTACCTTATGTACGTTTAAAGTTAATAACTATAAACAAATAAGTTTAAACCACATTCACCTTATGTAGAATTCATGCTGGATTTAAAGGAATTAGAATAAAATTTTGTTTGGTTGAAAAAAAAACAGTATGAAGTTGAGATTGAATTAACCTTGCATTTCGATCTACAAGTCTTTTATATTCAAAGAATTATATGCCTACTCATCCAAAGAATTACACGTCAGCATACTTTACACTTTCACTTCCCAGAGGCACGTGTTGATCCACTCATTGATGGCCAGCTCAGCAGACATCTCACGTGTCCCAGTTAAGCCTCTCACGTTGTGGACCCCTCACGAGACATTCCGGTTTTTCCAATTCCGAAAAAGTCCGAAAATTCCAGCCTAGCATCCATTTACCACACAGCATCTTACGTGTCGACTAATCATTGGCTCAAAACCCTTGACCTCCTGTACGACCGATCGAGCTTCCTCCACAACGCCTCAAGAATATGCCACGTGGCGTCACCTTCTTTCATCGGCACATTGTACAAGAGGGCCCGCTTAAATGCCGGATCTTGTAAGTTTCGCTGTATCACGGACAAATTAGTCGCCGACACGTGTTCTAAAACCCTCCGTAGATTTTTCACGTCTTTCTCCGCCACCGTGAGAGATATCTCCGGCCACCGAACAGTCTCCGAGAACGGTAGCTTGATCCCATCGGCGATAACCACGGGTACGCACCCTAACACGGCAGATTCCACCAGCCGAGGACTCCACGGGGCCCACCCGAGAGGACAGAGACAAAACACCGACCGCACGATTTCTGATCGGTATCCAGCAAACCGGTGCCGGTTAAGATAAAACCGCCTCCTCCCGCCGTATTTCTTCAGAATCGCCGTCCTCACTCCCCTGCACGCCGAGTAGTGACAATTTAGTAAATTACGTACTTAAGTAAAAAAAAAATAACAAAAAGAAAGAAAACAAAGTCAACAAGGTTTCGCTACGCACGCACTTGCCGTAAAAGCGTCCGCTTATATTCTTAGGGTTGACTTCCATCTTCCCCCGGAAAAACGCCCAAATGTCTCGCCTTCCGTTCGCCGGAGCTCTGTCGATTGCTCTCTGTACACTCTCCGGCGGAATATAAGGCGGGATCACCACATGCTCTGCTTCTTGACATGGATGCTTGTAATTAACGCCAAACGTCTGTAAAATTATCGAATTCTTCATAAATTCCGGAATCCCTTCTTCAATCGCCATATCCTCCTTCACATATTTCAAAAATCTCAAAATCATTATCCACTTCTATTCTAAAGCTAATTTGGGTTAAAGCTGAGAGAAAACCAGAGCTTACCATCGCGTGGAAGCACGCGCCGAAGTCATGGGAAGCGACGAAGACGTGGTCGGAGCCCTGAGTCCGGTTCCAAAACGGGTATTGGTCGGAGAGGAAATCGACGGCGGAGCTGATGAGGGAGCGAGCGTGGCTAAGAGAAGGGAAGCCGTTGGTGGTGGAGAAGTTGCAGGAGACGTAGACAGGGACGAAGAAGAAATCGGCTTCCTCTGGGTTTAACGTACGCACGGAGGAATCGGAGAGGAGCGCGCGGTGTATCGCAACCTCCGCCGCGAAGAGGTGAGTGGCGCACCGGTCCGATTCCGTTACCCAATCGACGTTGAATCTCGCCGGTAAATCGTAAATGTAAATCTTCATTCCGCTGAATATACCTTTTGATTAAAAAAACGAAACTTTTAGGGGGAAAAAATGTCGATTTTAGAAGAAAAGTGATCGAAACAGAGGAAAGATAAAATCGATGTGTAACCTGGTCTGACAATGGCGGAAGATTCGATGAGAGCGCGAGATGGGAGAGACGAAGATGGTTTATGGTTAGACAAGAGACGGGTTGTGGACGACGGCGAGGATTGGTCTCCGGCGAAGTAAGATGTGAAGAAATAGAGAGAGAGGAAAAACCAGAGGATCCATCTGTAATAACTTCTGAGGAAGAGGAAGAGATTTCTTCTGTTGGTTCCTCCTCTGTTGTTGTTATTAAGCTGCATTTTCACGATGAAACCCATCTTCTTCTTCGTCTTGTTGCTGTTAGGTCTCTTAATGTCAAGCGACATTGCTTGATTTTTTTTTAATAAGGACAAAGATGAAACGAAGCTTTCTTCTTGTTGGTGATGATTATGATTGAGGAGTAGAAATCAAGGGATAGAGATTGGGAGAAATGTAGAGAAGGAGTCGTTGGAGGGGAGTTTCTACGAATTAAAAAAAAGAAAGAATATTTCTCAAGAATGAATCGTTACAGAACTTTTGTTTATCACATTTGGATCAAGATTGGTGATCTGATCCTCATCATTCTCTCGTGTCTCATGGCCTCATGGGTTTGGTTCGAATCCAATGAGAGTCATAAAGAGATCATTAACTGAAACAATTTTTGTTTTTTAGAAACTTTTAATAAAAAAAAAACAAATTTTTAGAGACGAGAGAGAGAGAGAGAAAGTCACATGGCGATAACAATGGAGCAGAATGGAGGAGCTTGGCAATGGTCTCGGGTTCATCGCTGGTCAACAAGTCTCCCGGTAACCGTAACCAGATAATATGAAATGACTATAATAACCCTGGATGCTCCCGTAATAATTACTTTGCGCATTTGGTAAGTTGATCCCGTGAGGCGTGAGAGACATGTGCTTCATAAATGAACTCTTGATAAGCTAATGACAGTGTTGTTTTTTTTTTTTGGATACTTTAGCTAATTATTAGTAGAAGGTGTTTGTTTTCTTTGTTTATAATGGGAGTTTTATTTATCAGGTAAATAAATTTTACTTTATAACTCACATGTGGTTGTATTTAGTTAACTTATTATCATATGTATATATCATCCAAATTAAACTTCACTAATCAATGAAATTATAATTTTTTTTGTTTCAAAAGGTTATTAAAAGGTGGATGAATATCATAAATCAGAAAAATACGAACCACATAAGTGTTATTGCTCCATACGGTCTCCTGATATTTATTTATGGGATATTAAAAAGTCAGCAGCCAAACATAATACATCGTACTTTGTCCCAAACGAGTATCAAATACCGTTTTTCGATTTAAACTCGGATATATAAAATTAAAAACAATTATCAAATATGCACTCGAACAAATACCATTATATACACTGTAGTGTGGTGCTTGAAAAGAAACGCAAATGGGTATCTAAAAAGCTTACAAGGGCACTGGCCACTGTGTGTGGGGGAGAAGAGTGCAACACATTCACAGTTTTAACAAAATTAAAAAAAAAAAATATTAGTATTATTATAAATATATTGTTCATTAGTATTTTTGCCTATCGAAATTAGAAAGTGTTTTTAATTGTTATCAGGATGTGTCATTGTGCCCATACATACGTTATATATACGTTAATTTTGTTGGCTAATTTTGTTTTGTGTATACGTTAATTAAAAAATCGAAGTATACTACTACTCCTCCCATTGTTTAGTTATATAGTTGTCACTTTCAAGAACTACAAATGATCTTAAATAATATAGTATCTGCATATCGTGTATTTTTAAACGTGTTTGTTATATTAATAACTGTGAAACACTTTAAAACAACTAACATTGTGATACAAGTGAAACAAAAGGAGTTACTGATTATTGCAGTTAGAGTCCATTCTTAATCATACTTCCATTAATGGTCAAGTAATTATCACACCAATCAATTTTGTTACAAAGAGAGAAAAGTGGTTAAGAGCACGGACGATGCCTGAGCTGAGACGATGGAAGCTCGACATCTTCTTTTATCTTTAGGTATAAATAATGCCCACTTGACAAGACAATAAAGAGAAAAGCAAAAAACCTCAGAAGAACATGCAACAATATCTTTGTTTTAAAATATCTAAAAGAACCCATGCTTAAACATTTGACGTTCTAGGAAAGTAAAACATATACGTGAATAAGGTGATTAATTAAGTGACTTTAAGCTCCAAATTTTTGAATGTTGTAACTTGTAATTGTAACGGCGGAAACAAAATCTACCATCACAGGCTCACTGACATCCAAATGGATGAGAATTCATCTTTTATTTGGGGATATCAAAGTGGTTGGACCAATGACAAAAATGGGATTCTGTTAAATTTTTTGGTGCATTTATTACCTTATTAGAATTCAGCTACTGATTGGTTGCATTTTCGAATCACCTATATAGAGGCAGTACAGTATGAATAAGCTAACATTTAATATTGTCACCAACCCAGTTTCACATTTACCCATCTAGCCATTAAAGCTTGCTTAAAAGGCTACGTCCATATTTTACATGGAGGCAGAAATGGATTTACGTGCTATATATATACAACATTGAAGAAAGAATATAAAAAATCCGGATATTTGTATATGGTGTGGGACTTTTTGCTTGATGGAATTTCTGGGATAGATAAATTGAACGAATTGAAAACTCCAAATATTTTTTTTGAACATAACTCCAAATATTGTTGTGTTAAAAAGATAAAGAAATAATATATATACATACACGCATTCTATTTTTATCTAATTTGAACTTGAACAAGGAGTAGTGTACTAGTGTGACACGTTATCAATACTCTTAATACAAAACTATATACTAGAAGCCTAATTCACAAACCAAACTTGTATTCGATTTTGAAATTAGGGTAGTGTTTTAGCCTCTTGCTATCAATTTCTTCACAGGGCATTTCATGACTCCGCAATTAGAGTAGTATATATATATAATCACATATAAGTATATATTGCCGTAGAAATATTAAAATCGAAGCAATATGTTTGGTTAGGGTATCGCTTATCCTTGAATCAGAAGGAAGAGGCTATAGTCATCATTGATATAAATCTACCACTCCAAGTCTCCCACATCTTTTATTAACAACCTTTTTGTTTATCTACAAGTGTTTCTTACCGATCAAGTCGTGATATATAACTGCAAGTATATCAAATCTCTTGATTCTCATAAAAAACAAATACAAGTGAAAAATAAAACACAAACAGAAAACCCATAATAGTAATAAACTGTTAATTGATTTATTCAAGTTTCTTATTAGCTTATGTTGCAATAAATATTTCAAACTGATGTTGTAACATGTCGACGAATAATAAGAAAATATTCCAATGCCGGGGAGGTGAACCCAATTTTCAACTATTGTTGTGCTATCCAACGGATCTTAAGACTCGTAGTCCAACAACTATTTAATTGATGATTATAATTACTAGTTTAACTGCGACAACCAATTAATCTATTCGAAACATATATCTCAAAATGGGCCTTGTAGGACTTTGCAACCCATTGTAAACACATGGTCTTAAAATGGGCCTTTCTGGCGTGGTTCCGTGTATACAATAAAAACTTTATAAAAGGATACATAAAAAGACATAATTATACATATACAGTATATATGATTTTCTTCGAGGCATATATGTATGGAGAATCAAATTGATGAATCTTTTTAACTGCCACAACGGTAAATTCGTTTTGCTTCTTTCGTACTTTCTCGAACTAGTTTATGCATTGATTTATTCGAAATTTAGAACTATCATGACTCATGAGGAATTGAACTATATTGGCCGACAAAATAAGAGGTCTGATATTTCTCTTACTATCGAATTTAAGGATCTTAATTAATTGGATTAAACTAATACTCGAAAACGCACACAAACTTGTTCCGCTCATAATGATAGTGAAGAATGAAAGCAAAGCATGTCCCGTGCATTTATGGATAGCTCCCATGTTTGTGGCTTCGTATAATTAGCTCTTATCCGTAAACTATATTGGTTGTGAAAATTGCCAACAAGATCATATTCATCAGGCATTATTAGATACTGGATATTGTGGGTCATCGTATGATATAGAGATCTATGGAGTCACACAAACCATTGATCGTTTATTTGCTTCAAACTCAATACTATCAATTACCAATAAATAAATTAGTCCATATCTGATGCCATGATAAATTAAAGGTTACATGTAAAAGTGTACATATAGTAAAATATCTAAATACTGAAAATGATCTGAAACATATGTAGTAGGCTCGATCGTTCTATTTCAACTCATCGGTCTTCTATATTGATTTTCAAAATTTCCATATTTTTAATTATCATAGTTAAACAAAAACATTTTAGTAGTGTGCGTACTCAAGAGTTTTTTTTTTTTGATAGATTACGAACTTGCTCAAAAAAGATTATGAAATTTCTTTGGTCATGAAACAGTTAACTAGTGTAACGTTCAATTTTTTGTTTACATATGATAAAAAATACTACTTTTTAGTATGGGGAAGTTTCTCACTAAGAAAAATCTTTGATAACTAATTTTTTTAGTGGTGGATCTAAAAAGAATAACTCCTCCACTATTTTATACACCAGCCTCAGTTGAAATTTTACCAAACTCATCTAATTCATATTGACTAGAGTCACTAGACATATTAGCTCAATTTTTTTTAATTGGAGTATTACTTTTATGTTTTACCTTATAGTGTATAAAATTTACACGGTTGGGTGATAGCGTGTACTACGACTGACGAAGCTACACAGGAATCCGAAGCAGACGAAAGATAGAATAGAATCTCTATAACATGTAACACAATAAAAAGAAAAAAAGAAATACAAATGCTTGACATGCTCTTAGATTAATGTTGGTGAAAGAGACCATGAAATGATAACTCTTGTCTCCCTACTTTTACTATTGGAAATGCTTTTTATTTCCTTTTCTTTTTGGGATATGAGTATTATACGACTACGTACAGTTGTATATCTGCATATTTGTTGAAGGAGAGAATCCTCTACATTCTTTTTAGTGGATATTATCATATCATTAGTTTCAAATGACGTGCCCAGTGAACCAAATATGGAGATATTATTTACTTTTCTTACTTTACTTCCACTTGCGGTAAAAGTCAATTAATTAATCATTTTCATTAAAATATATATAAGAGTTTTCATCATAATTTTTACCCCAATGTTTCTTTCTATATAAGAACGACTAATCTCTTCTTCTTTTTGTTTCTTTCTATGTTTTTCGTGTTTTCCTTAAACACCAAATTAAAGTAAAGACAATGTACAAACCGTGCTTAGTCCAAATTGGACTTACACGAATATTCAAAGAAAATAAATGAAAGATTAATTTTAAACAAAAAGTTATTAGTAAATCTTTATTTAGTTTGTGTTTTGTGTTCTTACCTCGATTGTATTACCACAATTTATTTGTGTCAGTATAAAATACGCTTTTATCTCAACTACATAATATATTTGTTCACGTTGATATAAAAAAAATTCGTGATATTACACCAGATATAATATTATATTACATTAGTAATTTGGTCATACCCAAATACTAACAACATAAAAAAAAAACATGAAACTGTCATTGCAAAAAAAGTATATTTTTGTATAAGCTTTTTTAGTAAATATAAATTATGGTAAACAGAATAACTCTTTTATAGCTTTGCTTAGAGTTTTTAGAAACCTAGATAACATATACAAGATGGATAATAAATCATAAATGTTGACAAAAAAAGCGATAATCGATACAATCTTCAACCGACTATTCTGTTAGATACTTTTGTTCCCGGCTGCATTTAATCTAGAGCGATGTTTTTTTTATAACAAAAATCTAGAGCGATGTTCGTAAAAGAAAAAGAAGATATATTGAGCTATTTTACTCTGTAATTTTGACGTTAGATTTTGGGAACAAAGATGTGAGTATGAGAGGTTTTCTTTTTTCCACGAGTAGTGTGATAGGTTTAATAATTAAAAAAGAGATTCCATAAATACTTTCTCAATATTGGTGGGCAAAGTTTGGTTACCTGCCTCTTTTGCTGACCATGGAATCCACATCTCATTGACTCCATGCTTCTTTTAATATGTTTACACATATATAATATACGTACGAGACATCTCTTTATATATACTTTCTATATACATACAAAAATGAAATGAAAAGAAAAAGGTCTTAGAAGAAGAATTCGTTCCCGCTCTTTTCGGTGCAACTCGACTTTTTCTTGGATAAAGACAAGAAAATCGTGTTGTATCCCAAGAAAAATAGAAGAAGAAAACAAAAGACTTTTTGTGAGCTGAGACTATAATGTGAGTGAGTGAGACCAAAGTCAGTAAACTACGATATTGGTCTTCCACGAAATACTTACGGCAAAATAAGGGGGAAAAAGAAAACCATAGGGTTATATAAAATTACAAAAGATGCACCCACTTAAATGATTTGATCTCGTTTCATGTAAACAGGTATAAGAATGATTTGCCAAAGACCTATATTATAGACTTATAGTTATATATTTAACCACCTTGGGACAGAATGAATTAACCTACTAACTACTAAGAAAAAGATTCACCAAGTCTTTAAATGATCGTTAATTTTTTTTGTGTGAATAAATTACATTACATACTGGTAAATAAGTTTCTTATAGTTTGCGCGGTAAAATATAATGTGGAGTTAGTTGAGATAATGTTGCAAGATATGATACAATCATGTGCTATATCACTTTATTTACTTTAGTTATTTAATTAATTATTGAAATCTCGAAAGAAAGCTACATACCTGAAAAAGCTCGATCTGCTTTAAGCAGTCCAATAAGTTTTACTTATTTATAGTCCCCTCGCTCCTTAAGTTAAATTTCATTCTCTTTCTCTGCTCTCTCACACAATTTTTTTTAGAGAATCAAAAGATCATTTAACCACAAATTAAGTAGAATTTATGGATAACCAAAGCAATGCTCTTCTTGGCTGGCCTTACTACTCGCATGGAAAGGTAATTTTTGTTTTTTCTTTCTAAATCTGAGTCTGTTCTGTTTCTTTAACCAAAGCAATGCCATTCTTCAGCTTTTGCCTTTCTCTTTCTTCCATTTTTGATTTTGCTTAATTTGGCCCATAATGTCTGTCCATAACAAGAATTTTGTTTTTTTTAAGGTTTTCCTTTTCTTCTTCTTGGTCTATCTATTAGTAAACCCCCAATCTAAACTTAGTTGCTAGCATTCATCTAGATTCTGGTGACTCAATCCTTGATGGGTTTAGGATTTGGTTAATGACCAGAGCTAAGCATAGCAAATTCTGTTTACACTTTCTTTGGATTCAGGCTCTGACTGGTCATAATCTTGGTTGGGTTCATCTTTTGCATTATTGACTCCTGACCATTTCTTGATCTTCAGTTTCTATTAATGTTTCAATTTTAGGGGTCCCCTGTTTTTTTACTTCTCTGTTCTGTCACATCTAGTTTATTTAAACAAACTTTTTTTCCCTCTGTTTCAATCTTTTGTGTTGCCTAATTTATTTTTTTCTCTTCTGTAAAATTTTACAGACAACAGAAGAATTAAGACACTCTTTACTGTACACAACACTAGAGCTCGAACAAACAAAGATGTTTGCTCATGAGGAAATAAGGAAGAGAGATGAACAGTTGATCCATCTCAAAGACATCTTAACCAAAACCATCAAAGAAAGAGACGAAGCTCTCGAGAAATGTCAGCGTCTCATGTTCGATAACCTCTCGCTTCAACAACATCAAAAGCATAAGACTCCTCCTTTATCCGGAGCTTCAAGTATTGAAGATGAAACGTTTCAGCCACAGCAACTAGCATCCAACAAGAGTTTCTCTTCCTCCGATTGCGAAGAGAGCTTTATGTCACCCACTGAAAATGTCATGAACCAACCAACATCTCAGCTTGAAGAAGTCTCAGGAGCTAAGATTATGGACCCGTTGTTTCCAGACAAGCCATTGCCTGAAAAAGGTAAGCTTTTAGAAGCTGTAATGAAGGCAGGGCCTTTGCTTCAGACACTGCTCTTAGCTGGTCCATTACCACAGTGGCGCTACCCGCCACCGCCTCTCAAGACTTTCGAGATCCCTCCTGTCACCGTCCAATGCCCAATTGTCAACAATGGCTGTGGGAAATTCAACAGGAAACGAGTATTTTCAGATGGGTCATATTCAGAAACTAAGTATCAGAAAGTTCTTCTCCACTGACCTAAAAGTCGTCACAATTTCTGGCTGCTGATTTTTATTCTTACTCAAGTTGTAGTACTAATAGTCATCTAATATATCATTTACATAGGTCAATTTCAGGATTTAATCATCTCACTTTAGGGTTCAAGTGGGAGTGATCTTTTGTACACCAAGGCTTGTGGTTATGCTCCATTGTGGAAGACAGTCTGATCCATTTAGGGTTTAGATTTAGAGTGATGGGCAAGAAAGAAAGAAAAAAACTCCCCTGGTTTTACCTCCAACTCAATGGAGAGTTAATACTATGTGAGAGAGTTTGCTATTTTACTTCTTTCTCTAGGGATGTTGGCGATATTTTTTTTGGGGGGTTTTGTATCTCAAACCCATTTTCACATTCATGTTTTGGCTCCATGATGTGTTTTTTTTTGTGTGTTTATGTTCAGGGTTTTATTCTCTACCACCACTTGGGGTTGATATTACGTTAAATCTAAATCTCAAGACTTTCGCTTCACTTTTTTCTCAAAAATGTGACATGATGTAATATGCTTGTTTTTAAAAATATTTTGGTTGGAGAAGGGTGAGAAGTCGTTAGTAAAGCCCAACAACCAAATGGTCCGAAAGCCTAAAGCCATTTCTTTTGTCGGTTCGGGTGGGTCCTGAAGATCTTAACCCGGATCTTCTTGTCCATGTTAATTATATCTTTAATTAGGAGTGTCAAAATAGAAGACAGTCTAGCTCATGGATGATTCAACTTTTACAATATACATTATAGTGAAATATGAGTCAAGGTGATCGAAATGGAAAACAGTAATGAAATAGCATAGAATCGAACAACCGACATAACAAAACAAGAGAGACGAGAGACAAGAAACGAAAGATAATTAAAACCAAAGTTGCAATAACATTTCTATACCTTTGCAATGGTTTTTAAGAAAGGGGGAGACGCTTGTAACGAACCATCACTTTCCTTTAGGGCAAGCCACCATATTGTTCATGGCGACTTCAGGGAAAGGTGACACTAACTCAAGCTCAAAGTTTCTCAACAAATGACTCCATATGGCTTTGATTTGCATATACGCGAAAGATCCACCAAGACACTCGTGCCTTCCTGCTCCTAAGGAGATGTATGAACATGGACCGGCTGCTTTATCCTCTTCTCTTCCCGGTGAGAATCTACCGGGATCGAAACTGTCAGGGTCTTTGAAAACATGAGGCAAACGGTTGGCGAACACAGGCGAGGTTGCAATGATATGACCCTTTGGAATCTCATACGTTCTTCCTTCTCGAGTTGTCACGTTGAAATCACTAAGTGAGGCTCTCAACAGCATGATCATTGGAGGGTGAAGCCTTAAAGCTTCTTTAATGCACCTAAAGAGAACATCCATTTCAGATAAGATATCGTAATTGATCTTGCCCCCCATGTTTTTCAATCAGTTTCTTTTGCTCTGCCTTTGCCTCTTTTAAGTAGTGCTTCTCTCGCATGAGATAAGCACCGGTCCATGTGGAAGTGACAGAGCTCGTGTGTTGTCCTGCAAACAATGCAGCAATGAGCAAGCCAGTAACCTCAGATTCACTCGTCTCTCTACCGTCTTTGTACTTCGAGTCGATGAGACATTGTAGCATGTCGTTCTCTGATTTGCCAGAGCGTTTTCTGGATGCTATGATCTTGGAAAAGATTTGTGCAAGCTTTGCGCGGGCACGGTCACGGCAGCGATGAGCTGGAATGGGAAGGTAAGGGAAGAGAACACTAATGGGAAGCATTCCTTTATCAAGATCATGGAACAATGTAGAGACATCATCAGAAAGTTGGTCACGAACTTCTCGACCCAATATACATCTACTTGCAGTTAAGGTGATGAGACGCTCTAACTCAAAACTTAGGTCCACTTCACCACTCTCTCCCCATTTTGAGAAGTAACCCTGTTTAAGATTTCACATTTACATATATAGAAATCAAATAAAGAAGTAACATTTATGGAAAGTTTTTAGAATATTTCTCAAAAACTGTAAGTGCTGCTTGTTTGTTACCTCGGCCTTGTTCGTCATTTGATCAACATAACCCTTTAACTTGTTGACCTTTAGAGCGTCGGCGAAGAATCGAAACTGCTCCATCCGAATGGGATATAATCAGCATCAAACACAACTCCAGGGCCAAACGTAGGGACATTGAACCGGTAAACTTCTTTTTGGCTGAGGTCGGATTCATAAGCGTTGAAAAAGTGTGTCGAGACTTCAGGACCGATGAGAAAGGTGATGTTTTTGTGAAGAAGCTTCACCGTGAAAACACTTCCAAGCTTAGGATATTCCTCTTTAAGCATCAAGACTGGACCTTTCATGAAGCGAAGAAGAGTTCCGATCAAAGGAGGCCACGCTTGAAGAACGGGAGGGACACGAACACTCTTCTTCTTGGTTTTGGAGTAGGTAATGAGTTTGGCCACAAGAATTGTGGTGAACACTATTATCACAGCCACACTCGTCTTTAAGAACTTGTTATGATCCTCTTCCATTTCTTTTCGGTTGAGTTCCTTTCAAAGCTGTTGAACCAACAAAAGAAACTTGAGTGAGTATATTGAATCACTCAAATTCATGGTCTAAAGTAGTGAACCGTTAAAAAAGAAGCAAATAATGTACAATGATTAGATGAGTTACCTTAATTGGATCTATAAAAGCAGATATTTGCATGCACCCCCAAAAAAAAGAAAGTGTAGCATTTGAAAGCCACTGACTTTGAGAATCAGATATGTCACAAGCTAGAGAGACCCATTAATCTATTTTATGTAGATAGAGCTTCACCAACCAAATGATGCCACACATCATGTCTTTTTGTGATATTGCAAATTTGTTTTTGCATTTTAGTAAATAATTCTACGGATTAGCATATTATATTCGCAACTTCGCCTATCCAATGTCAGATAGATGATAGAGGCTTCTGCTTTTTTTCTGTTATCTCATTATCCTCATTTTTTTTAATGTAAAAACATATTATTCAGGTTTGGTTAATCAAACCATCAAGTTAATACAAGAATGAATGTAGACAAAAACATTTCACTGACCACATGAGCTGTTACACTTGCTTCTGCATTTTAAGCATTAATTTTAATGATTTGCTTCACCAACCATGAGCTGTTACACTTGCTTCTGCATTATAAGCAATATTTTTAAGGATCTGCTTCTGCATTTTAGGCAATGTTTGAACGATTTGTTTGTAGCACATGTACGTAACAGCTCATGAATTTTCTAAATTTTATAATCCAAGTTGCTTCTGCATTTTAGACAATATTTTTAAGGATTTTTTTTAGGCTTTTAGCACATGATATTCACAACTTCACCAATCAACAAACCAATACGCCAACAATAAACCCCTCGTGGATACAATGTAGATTCTACCTCCACGACTGTGTGTGAACATAATTTTTAAAGAATTCTAAACATATCATATTTTCATTCGAAAATGGTTAGTGTTATAATAAACTGTAATACTACAACTCACTCATAACCCAATATGCGCATCTGTATTTATTTATTTTTGGTTAAAGGTTAATTTCAGTGTTTTTAAAGAAAAACTTTACAGTGGAGCATAGTATGGAGTTCTGTAAAAGAGGAATGATTGAGAAGAAGTGATACTTGTAACTTGTAAGAGTGTAGCTTCAGGATAATAGAATGTATTTTTTTTTGTGTGTGTGAAGAATCAACACAACTTTACATATATTGTGTTAGCTGAATAATCCAAAGTAGTTTATGAACCTCAATGCCCTTCTGGAATACTATTAGTTAAGAGAGTACAAATAGCCTTCCTTGAGAAATTTAGACACCAAACCAGCTCCGGTTCAGGTATTAAACTAACCGGTTGAATCAACAACCTGAGGCATTCTAGAAGAGCAAGAGTGACTATCCGAATCCGAGCCTCTCTGCGTCTGTCTAGTGTTGTAGGAACCGCAGCTACTGCATTTATGCGCGATCAAATGAAACCGAACGTTCGTGTTTGAGCTACAGTCATTGCACAGAATCCATACCTGACTCAACCCATCACATCAAAGAATCCAAATCAGAATGTGTACATACATACACAACACACACGCACCGAAAGAATACAATTTACAGAATTCGATCTCCTTTTACCATCTTATTCTCGTACAGTTTTGGCATTGGGTATGCAGCAACCTGCAAAAATTATGAATGTAAGAACTTGATAAACGTAAGAAGAGACTAATACAAAAGATGCCATTATATTATTACGTAGCCTTTACCTCTTCATCAAGTTTCTTCCACAAATTGGACATGTCACATATGGATTTGGAGCAAACAGGGCATGTGTATCTACAAAAGACATTCCCAAAGTTTAAATGTTCGTTTATCAGAGACTTCCTTCATCGGTTTAGCATTAAAGACTCAAGAGAGTTCTTTTACCGGTTATGCAGCCCCATATCTTTTGTGCATTCTAAATGCATTGTGTGACCACATCGAAGGACCGTGATATCTCTTGTGGAATCAAACAGATACTGAGAAACAGATCAACACAAAATCAGGACACCATCATGTTGCAAATAAGAGATTAGTGGAATTTTGATTCTTTTTTTTACCTCAAAACAAACCGGACAATTGTGATGCATAGCACCTTCGACACATTGGTGCTTGTCCTCCATAACTTTGGAGTAGCAACATCCTGTTCCAATAAAACACAAATTAACATCTCCAAACAAAGCAATTTGTGGAAACAAGCACGATGAGGTATTGTTCTTACGACATCTTTTGCAATGGAAAAAGTTTTCTTCTCCTCCGGTCCTATTAAACCAACACCGTGAGATTACATATCCAACTACTATTAGTTACCAAAATCACAATATGTTGTTTCTTGAATTGGTAAGCACAGATCACAAAGTCAAGTTTAAAAGTGAATATATATATATATACCTGCAAATGCCACATTCATCGCAGTGATATTGCTTCTTGGAAAGCTGAAACAACCAATTTGAGTCTCATTGGTACAAACTCCGGTTATTATAAAATGGTAATACTAAGTAACTCGATTAAAAAACAAAGCTTACATCATCGTCAAAGAATTTGCATTTTGAGCAAAAGTACTTCCCCATACATACACCACAATTGGAGCAGTTTTGCTGGACCTGGTGAAAAACAATCAGAGGTCAATATCAACAAACATGTTTACGCGAATGAATTTCGTTCATCAAAATGTTCGATGCTCACATCTTGTTCTGTCTCACAAAGCGAGCATATGACCTGAAGAAAACCAAATCAAGACCAAAATATGTTTTATCACAGTGAACAAAACAGAATCCAAATGTGTTCAGAATTCGGCATATTATCATTAATTCTCAGTCTGATTTTTGAACCTTTGAAACCTCATGTCGAGGAAGATCATGTCTATGAAGCTGTTCAATTTGAAGAGAATCCTGTGGGAACAAACAAAACTCATTAGCTGTGTATATAATCTTCACATCACAACTATAACCCAAAGTTATTATTTCACATCTGTACGATTATTTCTTTTTAATACCTTAGCTTCGTTGTGGCAATGTCTACAATCGAAAATCTCATCACAACATGGTGCTCGAATCTTGCATCGTCTTCTATAATGTGAGCACCTAAACACACACATGTATAGAGTATGAGGGAGAAATAATAAAAGATCAAATTCAACAAAAAGATTGAAAATTTAGCTTCAATAAACCCAAAAAAAAAAGCTATAGATGATCTTTACCCGTAATGCCCAGATCCAATCTCCATAAGATTCGCAACCTGAGAGGCAAAGTCTTGATTTTGCTCATTTTCATGTGAACCCATCTCCATATTTACTTCAAGTTTTGATCTTTCCTACTTCAAATCAATCCCCTAATCCGTGACAGACGCAGAATTGAGAATTCGTCGAGGGTAGCGAAATGATAATTAAAAAGAAAAAGGAGTAATCTTAAGAATGCCTTGGCGTTTTATTAAACAGATACAGGGGTTCGTTGCAGAGAAGAAAAGAAATCAGGTGGATATTTATTTATATGAGATGTGGGAGAAGATGACTCGACAACACGCCAGATTTTTATCTTCGCCTAATCAACAAATCTATATACGCGATTATAATATAAAAGGAAAATTTGCAAACCATACAAATTTGTTTATTGTTTTGGTTATTTTTGTTGAATTCAAATGATTTGCAAACTATGCAAATTTAAAATTTGGGGGTAAAATATATTTGTGTATTATGCACTAAAATTTTGACTTTTTGGGTAAATTTTCTTTAAATTGTTGACCAAATAGAACAAATCTTACATTAAAAAACTATGTTATTAAAAAAAAAATATGTTTTGGCATATGTAGTCTCGTTCAAAGTAAAAAATAAGAAATACTTCCTCTGTTTTTAAAAAGTTGATGTTTTAGATTTTATTTTTGTTTAAAAAATAATGTTTTACACTTTAATTAATACATTTAGTTTTGTATTATGCACTAAAATTTTGACCTTTTTAAGTATATTTTCTTTAAATTATTGACCAAATAGATCAAATCTTACATTAAAAATTATGTTATTAAAAAAATTATGTTTTGGCATCTGTAGTCATCTCGTTCAAAGTAAAAAGGTAAGAAATATGCTTGTTTTGCTTAAAAATATGGCTGGTCATACAATATTTCTTTTTGGATAATATGATGTTAAGAAAAAAGTTGGAAGGTTGAAAGCAGTAGTTTGTTTTGGTTGAAATGTATTTAGCAAATAAGAAACATTTGATTTGATAAAAACTATTGAGAAAATAATATATATATATATATAAATGGAACACATTGGAGATGGTCTTAGTGTTTATTGTAACCAACAATGTCACGCGTTTGATTGAAATCTCAGATATTTAGTGGTTGGAATTTTGTAACAATATCTTTTTCTATTATGCACTGAAAGCAAGTTCCATTCATGTTTCTCTATTTCTTTTCAAAAAGTCAGTCAGATTCCCGAAATTGGAAGAAAATAATAAAAACTATATGTTGACATCAAAATCTTAATTAAAGAAAACTTAAGAGTTTGTATAATTAAAAAATTATTAATTTATAAGCAAACACTCGGGTTTAGATTTGATTCAGTTGGCGCTCCCATTTAATTTAAGAACCAGGTTTTGTAGTGTGTCAATGTCATCGTCGTGTTCTGTCTTTTCAAAAGCATAACATGATAGGATTGGATAAGATCTTCTCTCTCGCTGACTCATTATGGGTCCACTCTTTTATATCCTCGCAACCCAACCATAGTCACCACATCGGTATATCATTAATTTGATACTCATCTACTGGGAATAAAACGGTAAAGTGTGAGCATGATGCACCATCCTATTACATTATCTAGGATTAAGGAGGAGAAAAAACTATATTAAGACAAGCCAAATCAAGAGAAAACTATAATAAGACGAAGCCTAATCATATATAATCACTTATATATCATGTCGATTACCTTAGAATTCCAATTGAACACCACATCACTGTATTAAAATAAACAGATAGAAATAAGTTTAACTACTAGAATAAACAATAGAGTTATATTTTAAATTAAAAGACAAACTTAAGAAGAATATATTGCAGGAACTATAATAAGTTTATAGTCTATAACCATATTAAGGCTTACTATCATGGTTCACAAAAATATTATCAGTTATATTGTTAAAATATCACACCTACTTAATATAAAATTTCGATATTTTGTATTGAAATTGACGCGCAAAGTCCTAAAATTACAACCATACACTCCCAAAGCCAGCGTTGTACGAAGAAGCCTTTTTAAACGATCATATAGATCACATCTTGTTCTACATACGCTGAGTTTTGTACTTTTGTATAATTATTCTGTAAATGTAAGTTGTTGGTTTTATAATTATTATACTTTTAAAACCAACAAATTTGAGTGTGAGAGAAAGACAAAGACCATCTTTCTAAACATCTCCTCCAATGCATCGTTTGGTTCATCAAACTGCGTTTGGACTTGAGAGTTATGTCCAACACCAAGAAAAAGATCTCTATCTATATATATCCAAGGTTCCGGAATATATATTGTGAATCATGTGATCTATATACAAAACTGTTGATATATACAAATATAGGGTTTTTATACAATTTGTAATGCATTTTTGTAAAACAATAAGCACAAATGAAGTAAATTAGATAAGAAGGATTAGCCAAAGAGGAAGTTGGAAAAAAAAACCAATATGGGAAACCAGTAGAGTAATAAAAAGATATATGCAGATACAAGAATGAAAGAGAAGAACCAATTGGTTCTGTTAAAAAAAATGAGCTGGTATGAACAATTACAACGAAAGGAAAATTATTTTCATGAGAAAAAAACATAGTTTAAATTTTGGCAATATTTTGATGGGAATGTAAAATTAGGAAGGAGATATATGTAAAAATATATTTGACACTGCTAATTTAAACTCAAACCAAAGACCGTAGGCCATTGTTTCATTTTTAACGTAATAGACACGGATTAAGCATGAATGTACAGCTACGTAACAAAAACTGGTCAAAGGGAGGCGCCAACTGAGAAACAACTTTTCAAACAGACAGTTGCGTTGTTGAAATTATTTTCGTTAAGATGGAAAACAAGACAAATAGAGAAACACAATCTTCAGAGATAAAAAAGGAACAAAATCGACCTGAACAAATTTTACTAAAAATCTATTTGTCTTTTGTTCGTCCCCTTGTAATTACATCATGGCCGATTCTCGAGCACTCCCTCCTGCGCCTTGGCCGCCGCTTAGAAACGCCCAAGTTTGTTACGGAGCAGCATCTTCCAACATCTCTTCTTACGGAATCTTGGAAAACTATGAAACTTCGAGTGTCATCTTCGGTTACGCATTGCCTCTTCTTGAGATGCAACTCCTTCTCATATTCGTCCTCATCTTCTTATGCCATATGTTCCTTAGACATATTGGCATGCCACAGGTCGTCTCTTACATGCTCGTAAGTTAAAACCAACCCAATCTCGATTTCTTCTAATACAAGTAACAAGCTCGTGATTTCTTGTATCGTACGTAACCGAGTCTTTGGTTTTTCAAAATCAGGCCGGTTTGCTTCTAGGACCTCACCTGATTGATTTGATAGGCTTTTCTTCGGACCGGTTATCCTTAGACGCTGCGTTGGACGGAAACATAGCGTTGGAAGGTGTGGCCAAGTTCGGGCTAATAATGTTCACGTTCTTGATGGGGGTCAAGACCAACAAAAAAGCGGCGTTTCAAACTGGTATACGGCCGGTTGCGATCGCGGTTTCATCCTTTGTCGTGACTATGGCCGCCGGATTAGCCTTCAGAAGCTTCCGTATCGACAAGGCCGACCCTCTATATATGCCTCTGAAGCTGGCTCCAACAGAACGCACCGTGATTGTATCGGTTCAAGCGTTAACGCTGTTACCGGTCGTAACGCACCTCGTACACGAGCTCAAGATTTCAAACTCGGAGCTCGGCCGCCTCGCCATATCGATCGCCGCCTTCAACGATCTCATGGGGTTTATAACTCTGGTTTGCGTCTCCTACGTAGGAACATACAGGTATGCAAGACGTCTATTTTAACTGGTGCATTCGCGTATATACATTAATTTTCGGATATCAAGATTATTATCTAATGCTATATAAACGAATTTATGAACATATATTAAAATATTTTGAAACGGTGATGCAGGTACGTCTCGCCTGGACTAGCCAACCGCGACGCAGTGGCAATAATAATCTTGGTTCTTGTGATCGTATTCATCATCAAGCCTACGGCTCAACGGATAGTAGACACTACCCCGGAAGGCAAGCCCGTACGGAAACTATACTTATACGGAACGATCATGACAGCGATCGCCGCGAGCGTTTACACAACGTTTTTCAACCAAATCTACGTTCTTGGAGCTTTATTGGTTGGGATGGCGATCCCAGACGGTCCGCCTCTGGGATCAGCGTTAGAGGCCCAGTTCGAAAGCCTGGTTACAAACATATTTTTCCCGATTTCACTCGCTGTCTTGACCATGCAAGGTGACATTGTGAGGGTATTTTATGCGTTCGGTGACATTTCCTTGAACATTTTTCTGGTGGGTTTTACATTTGCCGTGAAATGGGCTGCCTCTTTCGTACCTTGCTTGATCTTCAAGATACCTACTAGAGAATCCATTATCGTCGCCACTATCATGAACTATAAGGGTTTTGTTGACTTATGCCTCTTCGAGGAAGCCGTAAAGAAATGGGTAAGATATCTTTTTTTTTCACAAAACCCTAACTCATTCTACATGCATCTTACTTAGCACCATGGTTTCGAACTTTCGAGTTAAATGGGTGAATGTTTTTTTTTCACAGAATTTGTCTCAAGCAACGAACTCGTTCTTGATTTTTTACGTGCTACTGAACGCGGGGATTTTGCCTACTATTGTGAAAGCGCTATATGATCCAAAGAGGAAGTATATTGGATACGTCAAGAGAGACATTATGCATCTGAAACCAAACTCAGATCTCAAGGTTCTAACTTGTTTGCACAAACCGGACAACATCTCAGGCGTGATCTCGCTGCTTCAATTGCTTTCTTCGCCGCTAAACAACGATAGAAAAGACAGAGCAGTCATCGCAGTCACGGCGTTACACCTAGTGAAACTCACGGGACGTGCCTTTCCCTTCTTGGTGCCGCACGACAAGCGGTCTAAATCGCGGCTGCTTCAAAACTCTTACATCCAAACAATGATGCTCGCCTTCACAGAGTTTCAACAAGAGAATTTGGGAACCACGACTGTTAGTTCCTTCACAGCTTATTCACTCGAGGATCTAATGGATCAAGACATTTGCAACCTCGCGTTAGACCACCTCTCATCGATGATCATCATCCCTTCGGGGAGAAAATGGTCACCCGATGGATTATATGAATCGGACGATACTGTAATCAGACGTGTGAACGCTCGTCTCCTCGATCGTGCTCCTTGTTCTATCGCCGTACTCAATGACCGAGGCTACCGTAGCTTGAAGAACAGGAAAAGGAGTAATGGTATCGTAAACGTCGGTGTGATCTTCATTGGTGGTAAAGATGACCGCGAGGCGCTCTCGCTTGCGAAATGGATGAGACAGAACCCGAGAGTGTGTCTCACGGTGATCCGGTTTATGTCTGGTCAAGAACCAGACAAGTCCAAGAACTGGGATCACCTTGTTGATAATGAGGTCTTGAATGATTTGAAAGATACATATTCCACCGCCGAAAATTTTTCCTATACGGAGAAGATAGTCAACGGTGGTCCCGCGGTGGCCACCAACGTCAGATTAGCGGCGGAAGAGTTTGATTTGATGATCGTAGGGAGAGAACACGACGAAGATACACTGAACTTCAAGGGATTGGTCGAGTGGATGGAGCTTCCGGAGTTAGGAGTCATTGGAGATTTGCTTGCGTCTAAAGATTTAATAGCTAGGGTTTCTGTTTTAGTAGTTCAACAACAGCAACAACATCAATGAGTGTAACATGTCAATAATGATCTCAGCAACAAAAATATATTCACATTTTAGTTCATTAGTGTTAGAATATCCCCATTTTTTTATAACATATAAATGATGGACCAATCAATTTATCTTGTCAATTGAAAAAGTTCATGATTCTTAGTTTCTTACAATGGTATCACTAAACCGTCTCATGGTAGTAATTTCGAGATGATGGGTTTTTCTCGCTCTAATATTTACTAACAACATATAAATTGTAGTTTTCACCTGAGTTGCAGAAAGACAAAAATAAAATAAAAAAGATAATTTGCAGAATTCATTTCTGGATAATTCTAAAAATTCAAAACAAATTTAGGTTTTAGGAAGGGTTCTAATACTAAACTTTGTGAAACCTTTCATAAATTAATCTACATTTTGTGTAAGTTTAAAAACTTTTCCAAAAGAGAACTAATTAAAACTTATTTTTTGAAACTATTGCTCTCTTCTCATAAACTGAACTGTAATCTTAATGCGAAACTGAGGTTTCCGAAAAGTAAAATTTGAATGGACTAAGTGAAATTTACAAAAGAATACTCTTCTTACAATTAAATTTTCTAAGACTACAATGAATAAAAGAAATGGTAAAATTACAAAAGAATTGTGTAGGTAAGAAAATTATATAGACCTAAATCATAAGTTGTTGCTGTTGTATAACTAAAACTGAAGCTTGGCAATTAATCTCATGTGAAGTCAAAAGATCTCCGACAACACCAAGCTCCTTAAACTCACTCCACTCCTCAAGCCCATCCGTGAACACACTCATCCTTCCTTTCCCTCTTCCCACAATGAACAAATCGAACTCGCTGGCCATCGATTTCAGAATGCCCGATGTCTCAGTCGCATCTTCGACAGATTCCTCCGTGTAGGTGATATCTGCTGATGCCTTGCTCTTCACGTCTCTAAGCAGCTCATCGTCAAGCATTTTATCCCACTCCGAGTTTTCTTTTGCCTTCTCGTCGGCATTGATCATGCGGACAACGGTGACGTTGATTCTCGGGTCACGGGCCATTCGCGTTGCCAGCGTCATCGCTTCTCTGTCGTCTTTACCGCCTAAGAAGATCATACAGACTTGGTAGGATGACATGTTTAGAGCCGTTTCACTGATGTTTCTCCTCCCGTGGCTGCTCCTGTAGACAAAGATTCCGACAGAGCATGGCGCCACTTGGAGGACGCTCTTGTTTAGGTTCCAGATCATGCTGCTGTCTGCGACGATAGAGGAACCGTCCGCTGACCAAGTCTGGTGAAAAGGAAGGAGTATGAGAGAAGTAGTGTTGTTGAGTGCAAGCATACATATGTCTCCGTGCATCGTATCGGGCATTGACACGGCCGTGAAAGTGCTTACAAAGACCGATCCGTAGAAATCTTTGCGGAATTTCTCAAAGGAGTTAACCACACTGTTTGAGAAAGACGTCTCCTCTGTACTGAGAGTCTGCAGTTTGTGGGAGATGAAGATGGGATTAGCTTGTCCCACGAGCTCCAACAAGTGGAGGACGTAGGATGCTACAGGGGATTCCCTTGACGGGCAAGTAGCTTCGAGAAGATTGATCATTGGGTTGATATCATCGGTTCTGTAAACGCAAGACAGGATCCTTAGCTCAGAGTTCGGTTTCAGGTGCTGCATGTTCCGCTTCTCGTACCCTGCGTACGCCCTCGAAGGGTCGTATAGGTACCTCAAGATCGGTGGTATGACCGCGGAATTCACCAATATGTAAAGACACGCGACGGTGAAGGTCTCGGGACGCACAGACTGCAAAAAGTTCAAAGCATAGACATGAGATATATAGTTTTATACCAAAAAATGATTCTGACTAATGGAGGCATATGTTATGTATACGTTATACATTATACGTACCCCTCTTTGAAAAGCCAAGGCGTAGGCGCCCAGCTCGAAGATGCCTTTAAAAGACATGATAAGAGAGATAGCGAAGCAGTCTTCCATTGGCATACCGTAGAACAAAGCAGGAAGCGTGGTCAAGATGAATTTCACCACGAAGGATGTCACCATGATGAGCACAATGGCGTTGAGATCTTTCCAATCAAGTAGAGCCGAGATGTCTAGCTCCGTGGAAGACGAGGCAACGAAGAACGGAAGAAACGTTCCGAATATAGCCGACTCGAACTTCTGAATGATCGCAGAGCCTAGAGGCGGGCCGTGAGGAACCGCGAGGCCTAAGATGAAAGGTCCCATGAAGATAGACTGCTTGCACCAATTCGCTAAGATGGCTGAACCAGAGACCATAACGATGATCGTGGTCAAGTAGATCGTCTTCACGGGACGACCAGAAGGCGTTTGTTTAACAATGTAGAACATCAACGGCCTGAAAACATAGATGGCGCCACAGACAAAGAGCACCACGATCCCTGCTCGTCTCAGAGGACGGTCCCCTGTGATGACGTCTCCTATAAACACGGTCCCGAGCCGAGTCTGCTCGTCCTTGAGCTCTTTCATGAAGATGAGAGCCGAAGCGAGAACCGAGGTGCTGAAATCGCTGATGACAGCAGAAGAGATGGCTAGACGACCGAGCTCTGAGTTCTGCAGTTTGAGCTCAAAGAGAAGGTTACCAACGACGGGGAAAGAGGAAAGGCACTGGATTGAGAATAGCACGACGGACTCCAGTGAGTTCAGAGTACGATCCGATTTCTTGGCTCCTACGTCCCTCACGTTTCCGAAGAAGATGACGGAGCAAACCAGAGTGGAGAGTAACACAGAGGAGATCCCGATGGTGATGGCTTTCCTCCCCGTGGTTCGGATCAAGCCCATGTCCATTTTAACTCCCATCAAGAACCAGAACATCATGTAGGAGCAAGCAGCGATGTGACTAAACACAATCTCTTTGTAATCCTCTGTTGATAAGAATTTTCTCGCTGCCGAGTTCTCTTTTAGGAACGACTTGCTTAAAAGAACACCCGTCTGCAAAAATTCGATATCCAGAGAATAAGAAGAGGAAGAAATTGAAAATTTTTGAAATCATTTCGTTTTTTTTTCCGAATAAACTTACAAGCATATGGGAAGTGAAGCGGATCATGCCGAGACGCCGGAGGAAGAAATGCAGGAATTGCCAGAGGAAAGAGATGATGAGGAATATTAGCTGAAGATGTGGGAACGTGAAATTGTAGAAAACGGTGTTGATGTATGGATCTGCGAGTTTCTGAGCAGGCCAAACGCCATTGGAGCTGGGATTGAGAGGCACGACGTCGCAGATCATGTTTGATTCTCTCCATGTGTCTCTCAGGTACAGCATCTTATCATCCCCAAACTCCATTGATGAAAACCTTCTGATGAAGATGAACACCAAAAAAAAAAATTAAAAAAAATTGTGGGAGAAATATGATCGGAGAAAGGATTACGAAGATTTGTTTTATATATAAAAAAACTGTTTACTTTACAGTTTGGGTACCAGAATCGAAGTGGAAACGTATTTCATCTGAGGTTTTGAAAAACCCTAAGAATAGTAAAATCGTGAATGGGCAAGAAATAACCAGAAACAGGATTAATAAGATTCTGATTATTGTTAGTTTTTTTTTAACTTAATTCTGCTAATTTACGGGTCACCCACTACAACTGACAATGCCAAAGGCGAAGACGAAATGACAACGAATTGTATAAAAATAAAATGCCAATCTAACCTCCGGCGATTGCCACGCGGCGCCGCTGTTTTCTCCGGCGTCTCTGACGGAATTTTAGGTTACGGCGAGGAGTAATCATCTCTGATCTCAGCTTCTTGCTCCCGTCCCCTTGATTTGTGATTGGATGCATTTGAAATCGCCGTTTCTTCAGATTCTTCTTCGTCTCCCGGTTTGCCAGCGAATTCGCCGGGAAATCGGGAAATTGATGTATTACAATTATGTTTCATTTCAGTCCTTAAAATATCAGCGTGATGGGCCAAATGGCCCAAATCCTACTTCGTCCGGTCCGGTTTAAATTATGAAATTGAGCTCCGATTTTGATTTGGTCCGGAGCAAATTTTGCCTTATACGGACTATATCGAGTCTGAATATAAAATTAACTATAGGGGAACTAGGAGTGCATGATTTTGCTTCACTGCATTTTCTATAGTATACACAAATCAATAAAATCTTTTTGTTTGTTTTGGCTCCACATCAACTTTTCAGTCCATCGTATATATATTATTACAATTCATGTTTATTGACCTCAACATATTGAGATATCAAAGTCGGGATAAGTTTCCTTACTCTCAATCTGAAGTAAAACCATACAGTTATAAGTTTCTTTGGCACGTGAAATACATTGTAGTCGTATTGTAGCAGTAACTTCTTTTAAAAAAATTCTTACATTGGAATCAAAAATATATGTATGTCAACAAATACGTTAATCAACATGACATTAATCTCGAAAAACAATCCACCAAACCTAAACCCAAAACAGCACTAATCATCCATCCATACATTTTATAGAAATCCCGGTTACGTTATTCATAAAGAAACTTCTTTTGAAAAAATGAATAGGCGTGCGCAAGATTTATTTTGCAAAATTGTAACTCATGCCGATGGCCACATTATTATTTTTCCCTGTAAATTCCAATCATACAAGCACACGTTTACATGTGTGCATGTCAGCAGATAAGAGGATTGAACGAAGAACCAGTATTTTATAGGATCGAACATAGATGTGACATAAGATGTTATGTGAGCTTGACAGTTATATGAATGTATAATGCATACAAATACATGAAGAAAAAGCCATGAAAGAACACTAACACTTGACTTAGGTTAACCATTATTTAACTAGATTGGGTTTGACATTCTTCGTTTATTTTAAGATACAGCTGACAAACTCATGGTATAGGTTTTATGTGAGGGAGGTCTTAGGTGGGGATGGCCGTTTTTGCTCTCTAGTTGACTTCCGAGTTTATCCTAATCACATCACATTTTCTTTATTAATCCTTGTTTAACCTAGTGTTGATAATCCATATATTTATATATATGACGGATGCATCTTAAGGGAGAAACATCATTCATGACTTTCATTCATGCATTGTATGATGTCATAAACACTACCTGTAAAACTCACAAATTAATCTTAACTTCGTTAGGTGTTAAGGGATTAAGATCTTTGAATCTTAAGGACGACGTTCTAAAACAATTTTGGAAAAAAATATCTCCTAAACTAGATCACTAACAGTGTTTCTAAGTCAATAAAAACATATCAAACATGCGCTTTTTTAAAACTGATTAATTAGTCACAATTAGTTTGTTTTTGTTTTCCAAGTTCTAACCCGATTTAGTAGAACTTTGGCCCATTTTCGGAACTCTTATAAAATTATACAAAAATAATATTAGTCTATAGACTCTGTGACACGTATTTGTTTGTGTGTGGGTGTATGTGTTTCGTTGTTGTTATGAATGTATGTCACAACTCGCAAGTATTTTATTAGGGTAGAGGGTAGAGGGTAGGGTGTCTTCTTCATTCCATCCCTCTAGATTGTCTGGCAGTGGCATATATATGAAACAAGGATACCACAAACGAATGTAAACGAGTCAACAAAATCAAAATAATCTCTTAAGAACAAAACTCAAGATAGATTCTTGATATATACATATATAGATCGAGGAGCATATATATTATATATGATGAATAAAGGAGTAGGATCAATGTCTAGCTTCTGCGAGACAACCACTACTTCCTCAGAACCAATCTATACGAATCCCATGACGGCCAGGACGAAACCACCGGAGAACGAAGACGTTTCACTCTCTCTTCTGTACAATCTCTCTACCATACAAGACAAGGTCCATCAGATCCAATCTCTGGTCAGCTTCTTCATGATCTCTACTTATAGCAATAACCAAACTTCGGGGTCAACGTCGTCTTTGGCCGTTGCTAACATCGGAAGTTTGGTCAAAGAGATCATCACGGCTGCTTCTTCAATGTTGATCACTTGCCAACAACTCCACATCTCATCTAACAACAACAATGATATCGATAACGATCAACCCGCAGATGCAATAGTTATGGATTTTTCCCCACAAGAAATCGATCCAGACCATGATTTCATGCGAGAGTCGTCAACCAACCTTCTTGGTATCCAAGAAAGAGGGCAGATCTCTTTTCTCGACCAGACTGCGCATAATCTTGACTGGTACGTCACTCGAACCATAAACCCTAAAAAAGACCATCAACGTTCTCTATCAAGTTCCGGGAACTATGAGATATTGGAGCTAGACGTAGCGGATCTACTAGCTAAATACACGCATTACTGCCAGATTTGCGGGAAAGGGTTTAAGAGAGACGCGAATCTAAGGATGCACATGAGAGCGCACGGAGACGAGTACAAGACACGTGAGGCCTTGATCAGCCCAACGAGCCATGACAAGAAAGTCGAATACTCGTTGAATAAACATTACTACTCGTGCCCTCAGCAAGGGTGCAGATGGAACCAGATGCACGAGAAGTTTCAACCGCTGAAATCCGTGATATGCGCCAAGAACCATTACAAGAGGAGTCATTGTCCTAAAATGTACATGTGCAGGAGATGTAGTGTGAAGCACTTCTCGGTTCTTTCGGATCTCAGGACGCACGAGAAGCATTGTGGGGATATCAAGTGGGTTTGCTCTTGTGGGACTAGATTCTCTAGGAAAGACAAACTTATGAGCCACGTTTCTTTGTTCTTGGGCCACTCACCGGCCCATGGACCGCCTCAGCAGCAGCCGCCGATGATCACCCCCTAAAGCAGGATCAAGGCCTAATTCGAGTTCTTAAGAGATTTTTAATACACGTATCTCAAATGACTTGTGCGTTCATATCTATTTTTGGTTTCTGGAATTTATAGATTCCGCTAAATTGACATACCAAGACGTTTCACAGTGACTTGTGCATTAACGTTAATGCTACATATGATTTTGGTTATGATTGGTAAAATGCATTATGGTTTTGGTAAAATTCTTTTTTCATCATTCATAATTCCGCTAATTAGTTGTCCGTGAGAGTTTTGGTTGATTACAACGTTGAGAAACCCAACTAAATACAATGTTTAGAACCAAACAGTGATAATGATTAATCTAACTTCCCGCCTTCTATATAACCAATCATTCAAGTGGTATAGAGATGATGATATAAAAATGGTGGTATCTACTAAAGTTGATTGTATATGTTTTTTTGGCTACTTACGATGGTGGTACAAATACATTATGGAAATACAAGTTTTGGCTATTAAAACATGTTTTTAGGAAAAAAGATTTTTGTTCTTAAATAATTTTTGTTTGTTTCTCTGTTTCTGGATTTAATTAAAGTTTGTTTTGATGTTGAAAAAAAAATATGTATCAGTTCTGTTTTGGAAGCCAAATCTCGTATTATCGCCATAAGCCATATGTAATCGTAGCCGTACATAGTTGGATGGATGAAAAATTGCCATGTCACCAATCCACGCCAAATACTAAAACAACTTTGGCGCTCATTGGGTTATAGCGGGTAACGAAAAGCGCAAGCGAAATTTTTTGAATTTCGATATTTGGGAAATGTTTTTTAAAACTCGCTCGCGCTTTTAAATGCCAAAAAGATCTGAGCCATCCATTCACATCGAACAGCAGTAATATAGACACGTCATCAATCCGCGTTTCAATAGCTCAGCCAATCAGGTCCCTTTGGTTTATCCTATATAAGAAAGAGTCATTGCAATGCAAAAGAATCATATCTATCATCTTCAAAGCAATCTCTCTCTCTCTCTAAAATCAAAGTTTCAAAATAATTAGCATTCGCAATGGCCAAGGCTGATAAGAAACCAGCAGAGAAGAAGCCGGCGGAGAAAACTCCGGCAGCAGAAACCGCCGCCGCGGCAGAGAAGAAGCCGAAAGCAGGGAAGAAACTGCCGAAGGAATCCGTCGTCGCCGGAGACAAGAAGAAGAAGCGCTCGAAGAAGAACGTCGAGACATACAAGATCTACATCTTCAAGGTGTTGAAGCAGGTTCACCCAGATATCGGAATCTCGAGCAAAGCCATGGGGATCATGAACAGCTTCATCAACGACATCTTCGAGAAGCTTGCCGGCGAGTCTTCCAAGCTCGCGAGGTACAACAAGAAGCCGACGATCACTTCCCGGGAGATTCAGACGGCGGTGAGACTCGTCTTGCCCGGAGAGTTGGCGAAGCATGCCGTTTCTGAAGGTACCAAGGCGGTGACGAAGTTCACGAGTTCTTAGATTTGGAAGGAATTTGTAATGGTTGCAACTAGTAGTCGATAGTTTTAAGCGCTTTTGGGTATGTAATTTGTGGATCAGTGTTTCGTTTCTTGGACGAATTATATATGAATTTCTACTTATATTTTAATTCGAAGCTAAATAACGTATTCCTGAATGAATTCTCAACAATAACGCAATCAGTTGTAAACTGAGGTATCGCTTAAAAATTTGGGATGAATTACTCACTAATATGGCTAGGAAGATGCATATTGGTGAGTAGTGGATCAAGATTTGTAATATTGGTATTACATTTCACAACTCGTGGATAAGTTCTTATGGGAATATATCAAATCAAGTACTCAAGCTGCGTATCAAATCCATTTTCAGTTACATTCAATGGTTATATGATCGACTGTATTGCTTAACCGTTTATAGAAGGACTTCATATCGCTACAATGGATTGCATAAAAAAACTTATTAAGAAGTTCCAAAATGTATTCATTGAAAACTTCTGTTCATAGTGATTGTCTTGACTTGGTTCGGTTGCATCATTTCTTTGGATAAGTTCGATGGTCAGGTCCAACATCGCGTGAACCTGTGTTTATGTAAGGTCCTCTAAAAGTGGCTTGAGGAGGTAACGGTTTTGTTGGATCTATCACTGGTTTTTTGGAGGATCTGTGGAGCCAAGGTCGAGGAAAAAGAAGAAGCAAATTTCACACCATAAGCTCAGAAACTATATTTAACAGTTGAGAGAAAAAAAAAAAAAAGTGTTCTTACGCCATGTAAAATGGGAAAGCTAAGCCTGCAGACGCGAAAACAACCAGACCCGTGGCTACGATGATGTTACGTGATGGTGCCATTGCAATCCAAAACAAGAGATTCTGGAAAGAAACTAAAAAAAAACAAAATCGGAATCAGTTTCAGACCATAAGAACACAGAGACGGAAGTTTTAAAAAAGTTTCATGTAACAGAACAAAAAATGAAGCGCGAAGTTTGAACAAAACGTCTGTAAAAGTCGATTTTGTGAAATCCCTGTGTCAATATCTAGATAACAACTACAATCTCTCCATACTCGATTTACATGGAGACGCGAGATTCGGCTTGTATTGCAGATTAATACAAGCTTTGCAGCACCAGTTTCTAAACCACTCTACGATAAACTGATCAATCATCCTCAGTTGCTAAATTCAAGATATGAGCCAGAATCAGATATTTCCCAGAAATGAAATGAGAATTTTATTCACCTGAGTGATCCTATACAAGAACATAGACACAAAAATAAAGAAACAAAGTAATCTACATTTTTACGATAACCAAACGGTTTGCTACAAACCAACTCGAGCTCAAGTTATACACAGTCGAGGATGTTCAGAATCAAGTGAAGAGCAAATCGAGATTCAAGTTGCTAAGTCAAATATCCGAATTTTAACTATGATTTCAACCAATTTGACCTCAATCGCGATGCTCAGGATGAAGTGAAGAGCAAATCGAGATTCCAAAAATCCCGAAATCCGAATTTAATTACCAATCAATTCGAATTACAACCTTTCGCGATAACTTATCGTAAAGACAACAGACCATATCGGAACTAGAACATATTGCGATATTAAAATCACCAAACAAACGGATACAGAAGAAGAAGATCTCACCTGGGATGTGCGGCGACCGAGTCGACTCAGTGAAACGCTTGGGGGGATTTGGGATTGGGTTTGGTGTACCGAGTCGCGGAGGTCGACGAAACCGGCGATTACGCGTTCTGGGGAATTGATATTGGGCTGGAGACAACTTAGTTGGGCCATAAACTTGGTATCCAAAATCTTTTATTGGACTTCAATATTCCAAATAAAAAGGTTTGTCTAAATTACAATTTAAAAATTTAATTTCATCAAATTTCAAAGGAAGATCACACTATTATGTTATTTAAGTTATAAGTCAACGATTGGTCACTATACTAGAAAAAAAAAATCTTAGTTAATTTTGTATACAGAGTTTTTTTTTTTTTTTTTTTTTTGGGGGGGGGGGGGGGGGGGGGGGGGGGGGGGGGTCTAAAATTGTATATATGTAGTTCTTAGTTGAAATTGAATGTACTGTTTATAATATGTATCTACAACGTAAAATTTAAGATAGCTCACTAAAAATTTATATTAAGAACAGTTACGCTTTACACTTTATTCTCAGTTTTGTTTTATTTATCTTTGGTAGGACATATGGAGATAACGAAATGCTAATATAAGCTTTAAAACAGTACATTGATGAAGAACTCGTCTCTCTATTGATGAAGCAAAGAACATCAGAATCCAAGGCACTTTCCAGGTTTCTTGCATCGCAAGTATCTACCCTATATATACAAACATACGAAAAACCAATGTTTTCCCAAACCCAATGCCGCCGATATCTTCTCCAGCTCAGCCACTGCACCGGCGGCGTTCCTTTGCCTGCTACGTTTTCCTCGTCATACTAACCCTAATCTTCATCGCAGCTGTTGGTTTTCTCATTACATGGATTGTAACCAAACCCAAGAAACTTCACTACAGTCTAGAAAACGCGTCGGTCCAAAAATTTAACCTCACCGACGACAACCACATGTCCGCTACATTCAAGTTCACCATCAGATCTCAGAACCCTAACCAGAGAATCTCGGTCTACTACAACTCCGTCGAGATATTCGTGAAATTCAAGGACCAAATGCTTGCGTTCGATACGATGGAGCCGTTTCACCAACCGCGGATGAACGTTACGCAAATTGATGACATCTTGGTTGCGGAGAACGTCGCCGTTTCCAAATCCAATGGTAAGGACTTGAGGGCTCAAAATTCGTTGGGAAAGATCGATCTTGAAGTGTATATCAAGGCGCGAGTTAGGTTTAAAGTCGGGATATGGAAGTCAGCACATCGTACGGCTAAGATTGAGTGTTCTCATGTCACGGTCTCTTTGTTGCAGTCAAATAAATCCCAACATAGTCCATGTGATGCTGATATTGGATAAGTAAGTTTGTATTGTCACACTAGTAATCTTCTTGTAACAATTAATATTCAGTTTTTGTTTCCATTCTGTGTGACATTCATCTTAAATGTTTGATTAAATCACGAACAAGATCTAAACTATTATAACGGATATGTGGGAATGATAAAACAAAAACGCATAGCTATAATTTAATTTTCAATTTCTTTTTTTTTTTGTTTTCAATTTAAAAATGAATGTTGTAGAAAAGAGGTTGCATCCACTACAAGCAAAGATGTTAAGATATATTCCTCAACCCCACCCTTACTATCCTCATGCGCATGATAATTAATCATCACAAAGTCGAAGATATATGGTTAAATGTTTAATTATATTATCTTGTAGCAACGTTTTATCTTTTAGATATGAGTGTATTTTGAGAGTAGTCCTTTAATTTTTCTATACCATGGCTTTGAATGTCATTTGTTTCTAATATAATCAGACGTTGCTTGCAATAACACAAATGTTGTGCTGCTTGTGAGTTGTGACTTCTTTCTCACACGTCGGCTGCAGCAGCTTTGTAGGTTACGAGGGTGGCGACTCCTACCGGTCATATCCGATTTTGTTTTAGGTTTTTAAATCCATCAAACAGTTATGGCCCTGACGTTTAAAGGATTCCAAGCCCAACTAAATTTTGTAGTCTCTTTTGTAATGAATTCAAGTAAACAAAAACAAAACAATGCATTTTGTGTGTGTGTTCGAACCCACAACCACTCTAGTACGCATTTATTCATACCACTGTACCATGAAAATTTTACATAAAAAGTTGGTCACTAATGTACATTTTGAGAACCCAAGCCCATGTTTTACGTGCTTGTGTTCAGCATCTTTGGCTTTGTGCACAAACAACAAATGTATTAAAATAAACCTAGATGGAAATGAATATATAATAGGTTTCACAATCAACATGCAACTCCAAACGATAATCATCTTCAAAGCCATTGTCAAGGAGATTCGTGAGTCTATCATCGCTGAGAGGGATCGATAGAATATCGGCAATATAAGGGAGTAACTTCTCCTTCCCAAACCCTTGTGCCTGCTTTTTTTCTTCTTTAAATATTTTTGTTGGCAAGAACATAATCTTAGATATCGTTAAGCTCTTATAAAGAAATTTTTTTCCATTCGTGATAATTTTTACTTTCGTTTATAATTTTAAAAACTACATTAAATAATATTGGTGTGTCAGAAGGAGTGGGGTTCGTTCTTAACAGACTCAAAATTGAACACGGGATTATGTCTAGAGAAATTGGTCCTTGTAGATTCATCACATTACCAAAAGCTACAAGTTGACGATCCGACAATTAAAAGAAGAAAGTGAAAGTCTGGGCCATAGACATCACTACTACATATTAAGAAAGGGGTGTAAGTGGAACGTAACTGAGTGGAATGCATCATTCTTTTGGTTCCCACTAAATTTGAACTCTTTAATATAAAGTGATTGTAATAAAATAATATACTAAAATAAACGTGGAATAAATACTTTTTTAATAAAACATTATACATATCTTGTTGAAGATTCATCTGGTTGATCCTAACCAACCAGAAAACAAACTCTCTCATACATGCAATTGTCTCATTTTTTCACTTGGGTATCTATAGACACACTAAGAAAAAACAATTCCCAAATTTCTGTGAACTTTAGAAATTAGTTGGGGCTTTGATTTAGGATAATTCCCGTTATAAAACTTTTTAGGACACGTTCGTTATTTATTTATTATTATTTTAGAGCTTATTTGCTAGAAAACTGTAAATAAATGAGGTGCTTTTTGCTTGCGATTTTAATACATGCCATGATTATCGGATTATCGGATAACATTATGATTGTGTCTATAATGTCATAATATACATGTAAAATAAAATTGAGCTAAGAGTTTAAATCTTTTATAATGGTTTATTTGTTGAAGTAATCTAAATTGCTCATGACGAGCCAGAAACCTTATGACAAGACAAGGTAAGAAGACATGTTTTTCTTTTTTGATAACAAGGCATGGATAACATGACAAAATCTAATCATGTTTCTAATTAAGTAAAGGTTCTGATATTTATCATATAACTAATACAAACAAGTGGAGTAATCAATACTCTATCATATGATTGTAATTTTCATTTACACATGCATATATATACACACACATTTGTCATCGGGAAACTTTGCACGCAAAAACTGATCTAGTATATAATATATAGCATGTATATTTTGGGATCTATATAAAGGTATCGTTTCATGATCTCGGGAAGCCAATTTACTTAGTGAACACTAATGTAGCACACTAAGTTAATAAGATAAAACAAAACACTCTAAAAATGTCTCTTCATCCATTTACGATTCCCTTACTGTTGGTCTTTTCAATATTGTCACCTTGTTTCATCTCTCATACACACTCCAAAGTCGCTCGACTTGGTATTTCCCCAACAGCGAGACCTACAAAAAAAGTAGATGCCTCTGGTGATTCTGATCTCAAAATGTTATACTATAATCAGAATCTCGACCACTTTACATTCACACCGGAAAGTTACAAGACGTTTCAGCAAAGATATGTCATCGATTCTAAGCATTGGGCTGGTGCTAAAGCCAACGCACCAATCTTGGCCTTTCTTGGAGAGGAATCTTCGTTAGAGACTGATTTGGCCAGTGTCGGTTTTTTCAACGATAACGGTCCTCGTTTAAAAGCCCTCCTCGTCTACATAGAGGTGCGTCTCTTTATATAAGTATACGATTACGTTAATTAGTATTTTACACTGCATATACTGATACATATAAATGTATACTCTCTCATGCAGCATAGGTATTATGGGAAGAGTATGCCGTTTGGATCTGCGAAAGAATCATTGAAGAACGCGAGTACGTTGGGGTATTTGACCGCAGAACAAGCCCTAGCTGACTATGCAGCAATTCTCTTGCACGTTAAGGAGAAGTATTCTGCCAAAAACAGCCCTATAATCGTCATCGGAGCATCCTACGGTGGAAGTAAGTTCACGTTCTAACGTGGCTTAATATAATAATTTCTCTTAAAAGACTTAGTTAAACACGTTACTATATGGAATATCTTTATTATCGTTCTTATGTGGCTCAATGATAAACTTTTAAATGGGCGATACATATGATAAAGAAAGGTATTTTGAATAAGGATAATTTATTTTCTCATTTCATGGTACAAAAAGTGTTAGCGGCATGGTTCAGGCTAAAATATCCACACATTGCACTTGGCGCATTAGCTTCTTCAGCTCCTCTTCTCTACTTCGGAGACAATCGTCCTAAATATGGTTATTATTATATCATAACCAAGGTTTTCAAGGTAATAATAGATATTCAACTAGAATACATATCACATAAGACTTTTTGCTAACATCACAATAATTAACCCATTTTTAATTATACCATTATTTTTTGTTGTATAATTAATATATTTTCCACAAGGAAACAAGTGAGAGATGTTATAAAACAATCCGTAAATCTTGGGAAGAAATCGACAGTGTTGCTGCTAAATCCAACGGTCTCTTGATCCTGAGCAAAAAGTTCAAGACTTGCGCGTAAGGAAGACATTTTTTTTGTTTCTCAATGCTTTCATACATACTACCTACCCCTGAGACTTAAATTATTCTTAAAAATTAATTTTCAGTCCATTGAGGCGTAGCTTCGATATCAAAGACTATTTGGACACAATATACGCGGAAGCAGCTCAATACAACGGGGATGGGGGTTATTGGGTGACCACATTGTGCAAAGCAATCAACGAGAACCCACCAAACCGTAAAAATGATCTACTTGACCGGATTTTTGCAGGTGTTGTTGCCTATATAGGCAACCGGTCTTGCTATGATATCGATTTGTTTGCACGGCCCTCAAACGATAGCATCGCATGGAATTGGCAGGCATGTAAATTTTGGGTTATAAAACATACACAAAAATGTTTTTCCAATGCTAATTAATCTAATGTTGGTGTATATATATGGACCAATTAAATGACATTAACCATCTATACATAGGGCTGCAGCGAGATGGTGTTGGCGGTAGGACATGACCAACAAGACACAATGTTCCAAACGGCTCCGTTTAATATGACCAGTTTTGTTGACGACTGTAGATCCCACTATGGTGTTATTCCTCGGCCGCATTGGATCACGACATACTTCGGCTTTCAAGTAGCTAAACTAAATTTTATATATAGTCATTATTATAATTTTTTTTATAAAAACTAACTAATTAGCTAAAACTTACTTTTAAAATTTATATATATTTTGCAGGACGTGAAGTTAATTCTCCGAAGATTTGGGAGCAACATCATTTTCTCTAATGGATTGTCAGATCCTTACAGCGTCGGCGGGTATCTATCTAAATATAATAATTCTTTATCAAGACTCAACATCATTATGTAAAAGCAAAAGTAACATTAACATAATAATTCTTTACAAAACAACAAAAATACTAAACAATATGATAAGTTGTACCTAACTCTTATAAACAGATTATTGATCAATATGATTTTCATATATTTCAGAGTTTTGGAGGATGTTTCGGATACTGTAGTGGCCATCAAAACAGTTAATGGTAATTTATTAAGTTTTTCAGTATTTCATTAGACATTATTATTTTTATTTTTTTTTGATCAAAGGATGAATTTTCACGTCAAGAAATTGAGTTAATTCATTTCTATGAGCAGGTACACATTGTCAAGACATTAGTTTGAAGAGTAAAGAAGATCCGGAATGGCTGGTGATGCAAAGAAAAAGAGAAATTCAAATAATAGAATCTTGGATTTCAACGTACCAAAAAGATTTAAGAGATCTTAACATATCAATCTAAGTGTGGGTCATAATCTAAGTATACGAGTCAATAATTGGTACTTGTAGTGGTCTTTGAAGATGGATTGTGGAAAACTGAAAGCCGAAACCGACACCAATATGCTTTGAGCTTTAGATTGTTCAGGCCCAAATACAAAGAAATGTGACTTCATGCCAAAATGTCGCATGCTACAAGATGGTGGAAAACTCTCGTTCTCGGCAACCAATTTGATGTCTATGCAAATGGACATGTAGACTACGTGCTACAAGAATTTAACGATTTTCGGCCAATTACCCAAATCTCTCAGTTTTTGTAACACCTCGGTCAAGAATTTAACCTCAACAACGACAATCATATATTAGTAGCTATGCAGAAACGAAATTTATATAGATTTTATACTGCTCTTTTGATCTAAATTTCATATGGACCTAAAACCCAATAACATTTGGTTAACAAAATACAAATTGTTGTTAACCCTAACAAATTAAACGTCGTCAAAATCATGGGATCGGACCAAAAGACCTCAAGATGACGTCATATACGCTCATCATCGGCTTTGGATATTTTCAACTTTTCAATTTATATATATCATCCCAAATTTTTTATGAGCTGTTGAAATAAGGATCTCAGATTAGTTTTTTTTCATAAAGATATGGGCATCGAGCTTTAGTTGCTGATGTAAATTAATATTGTAAATCATTGCACGAAACTATAATAGGATTTCGATTCTTTTTACAGTTTCTGAAAACAAATGTATCTCTAAGAATGCAAAGAAAAATCTATCTACGTACCTTGTCTTCTGACCTAATTAATGATCTCTAAGTAACAACATCCCCCATCCTGAAATAAACCAGATTACTTAATGATAAAAAAGTATAATTTAATCTTAGGTCAAAATTTAGTGAATACACAGGATAAGAAAGTAGCTCGTCTCGATTAAAAATGTTCGCATGAAAGAGACTTAAAAATTATAATGTGAACACAGACTAGCTAGTCGGTTTACTCTATTACGGAAGAATAACATTATCATGGGAAGTGTGGATAACTTTATTGAAGTAACATAGTTTCCAATTTGATTTTGGTTTCTGAAAAATAAAAATGAATGGTTGAAGAAAATAGGTTGCACCCATTACAAGCAAAGAGCTTGGGTCCTCAACCACACACTTGTTGCAAACTGTCCCCACGCGCATACGAATCGTAACAAAGGGACGATAGATGATTGAATGTTTGATTACTTTTATCAACGTTTTATCTTTTGTATATGAGCCCATTATGAGAATATTCATTTTAATTTGGATATCATACGACTTAAAATGTCATATGGTCTGAAACTACGCCAATGAAATTCGTTTGTTAGAAGAAGACTGATTTCTTAACTTTGATTCGTTCTTAACGTAATGATTTGTGTCTGGAGAAAAATGATTTCTGTAGAATATTCGTCATATATATTATCAATAGTTAAGTCTATATGGGTTCTAACGGCTAAAATTAAGTTGAAGATTCAATTATTCAATATAAGTGAAAGGGAAAGTCTGGGTCAAAAATTTGACTATTAATTTTTGTACGAATGCGTATATCTTTGTCAACGGCTAACTCTTAAAGGAGATTTCTTTTTGTTCGCTTAGTAAAGTATTATCCATTATAAAAAGAAATGTCCTGGCCAAAAGACAATTTATATGATGACATACGGTGTTTAACATACATCAAAGAATGAAATAAGTCTCATGAAGCAAGCATGTTATATATTTGTGGTGCCAATAGCCAAATTTGCAATGAGCATGTGCCAATCGCTTCGCACGCGCAACTAGTGGCGGAGCCACCTTATGTAAGAGGGGGTCAAATGCCCCCAGTGCTTTTGTTAAAATCTCATGTAAACTCTATATAATTTCAGTAATGCCCTCTTGATTCTTTAAACTTTAACAACATGACAACATTAATATGAAATGTACCTTTTTTTTTAGTTACCTGAATACAATCTATCTATATGTAGTCTATTTATGATTCCTTACAAATCATTTACTGCTACAAAAAAATGAAATGCAGGATGAGAATAAAGTAGGCGGCGTAACAAGTGTAAACGAGAAAAAACAAAAAATCCAAAATAGTACATCGGAATTTACGTAGAAACTTGGACAAAATACGATGGATGAATAGAGTTAGGCTATACGAATTCACTATGAGATAAGAAGATCTGGTAACTAGGAATGTAAGATATATGTGTAGGGTTAAATGAAATTAATAAGATATAGCAAATGCTACCTTTATTGCTCGTAACGAGTAACGAGCCGGGAAACCTTATGACAAGATCTAAATCATGTATAATATTTATCAGAGACTTTCATCTCTTTATATGAAATCTATTATCTATCTCATAAAAAATAATCATATCACTAATTGAAGTCTGAAAGTTCTGATTATTTAACTAGCACGAACAATAACTTGGAATAATTAATAAACGATTTATATAACTTATATATACACATAACTGAATTATATAGAAAACAATTCGCACAAAAGGCAAACAGTCAAAGAGTATATAATATTAAACAGTATAACTTTTTTGGTATCTATATAAAGGGGTTTATTGCATGAGCATGGTAAGGCAAGTTAGTGAACATTAACATTCCACACCAAATTACTAAGATTAAACAAAACACTCAAAAAAATATGTCTCTTCCATTTACAATTCTCCTTCTACTGATATTCTCAACAACTTCATCTAATTTTATCTCTTTCGCACAATCCAAAATCGCTCGACTTGGGAGTTCCCCAACAAAGCTAAAGAATGCACCCGCTGCACCGACGCAAATAGTAGATGAATCTGATCTTCAAATGTTCTACTTTAAACAGAATCTCGACCACTTCACCTTCACACCAAAAAGCTACATGACATTTCAACAAAGATACGCCATCGACTCCAAACACTGGGCTGGTGCTAAAGCCAACGCACCAATATTAGCGTTTCTTGGAGAAGAATCGTCGTTAGATTCGGATTTGTCTGCCATCGGTTTTCTTCGTGACAACAGTCCTCGTTTAAAAGCACTCCTCATCTACATAGAGGTCTGTGTGTGTGTGTAAAGTGTTACTATATATCAGTGTGTGGTTGGTTTATCTTTAATTTACATTGTTTGGATGTAAATGCATACGATATAAAATGCAGCATAGGTATTATGGGAAGAGTATGCCGTTTGGATCGGCAGAAGAATCACTGAAGAACGCAAGTACATTGGGGTATTTGAACGCAGCACAAGCCCTAGCAGACTATGCCGCGATTCTCTTGCACATTAAGGAGAAGTACTCAACCAAACACAGCCCTATAATTGTCATTGGAGGATCATATGGTGGAAGTAAGTCCATCTTCACCATTTTATTACTATATATATATGCTAATTATCATAACCATAACTTATGTGGCTTATGTGGTATAGCTACCGTTAAACATTTTATTACGATTAGTATATGGAATCTTTTTGTGTGATATAGAATTGTACATTTTACTACGATGGAATATTGTATGTTGATTGCCATGTCCTATGAGCATCACCCTCTCGTTGCAGCTTTATATAAGTATCGTTTGTGCATTTTTTATCCATAAATCAGTTGGACGAGTCAATGGTTTCTCTAAATATGATAATAAGCAAAAAAATAAGAGAAAATAAGGAAAAAAATAAGAGAAAATAAGGAAAAAATAATCAAAAATAAGGAAAAAGTTAAGCAAAAAAATAAATATGGAATGTTATTTGGAGAGAAGTACATAATCGATCTCATGATCTCCCTTACTCTCAGTGATAATATTAAATAGCATCATATAATAATAAAAAAGATTAATTGGAATAGTTATTTTGTTTCAATTTTCATGGTACAAAAAGTGTTGGCGGCATGGTTCAGGCTAAAATATCCGCACATAGCACTTGGGGCATTAGCATCTTCAGCTCCTCTTCTATACTTTGAAGATACTCGTCCTAAATTTGGTTACTATTATATTGTAACCAAGGTTTTCAAGGTAATATTAATTATAACCCATTTTTATACACGCAAGTTTTTGTTATTATTTTTTTATCACTATTAAAATCCATTTCAAGTATTCTGTTCTTCACTAATTTTCATTGTTACATGATTAATTACTTATTAGTCTTCTCTAATATTAATAGCATCTTTTTTTATTGTCCTTACATATATTATATAGGGAGCGAGTGAGAGATGCTATAACACGATCCGTAAATCTTGGAAAGTGATCGATATAGTTGCTACCAAACCCAATGGTCTCTTAAACCTCAGCAAAAAATTCAAAACTTGCGCGTAAGAAAGAAATATATATATATATATATACTTTTATATAAAAGAAAATTCAATTAAATCATCAAAGATTTTTTTAATCAAACCTACGTTTTATACTTATGTCTTCATTTTTATTTATAATCAGACCACTAAACGGAAGCTACGATATCAAAGACTTCTTAAGTACAATATACGCCGAGGCTGTTCAATACAATCGAGGTCCGAGTTATCCAGTGACCAACGTGTGCAAAGCAATCGACGCCAACCCACCAAGCCGTAAAAGTGATATACTCGATCAGATTTTCGCAGGTGTTGTCGCTTTCATAGGCAACCGATCTTGCTATGATACCAATATGTTTGTGCAGCCCACAAACAGTAGCATCGCATGGAGATGGCAGGCATGTAAATTTCGCAATAAAAAAACATTTTAAAACTTTAATCGATAGAACATGTATGACTATACATATGGACATAGAACATTTTCTTTCCTAATTCGTCAAATATAATCGATATAAAAATTATCGTTTTATAGAGCTGCAGCGAGATAGTCATGCCGGTGGGATATGACAAACAAGACACGATGTTCCAAACGGCACCGTTTAATATGACTAGTTTCATTGAGGGCTGCGAATCTTATTATGGTGTCCCTCCTCGGCCACACTGGATCATGACGTACTTTGGCATTCAGGTATTAATATTATTAGTAATTATCTTATTTTGAAGTCATATAATATTATCAATGGTCATGCCCGGTTTTGTGGCACAAACCCATCATTTATAAACACTGCTTTAATATTGGATTTTCCGATCGTATTATTATATTCTTTGGTGCTTCGATATAAGAAAATAAGAAGGATAACAAATTTTGGTATCGTTTTGATTTTTTTCGTTTGGACACACTATATATTGCTAATAGCTTGATAAAGTTAACCAGCTATAACTTACAATTAAATGTTCTTCTTTATTATTCCCTTCAAGAGACATGTTTGAGAAAACAACTTACAATTAAATGTTATATATATATTGCAGGATGTCAGGTTAATTCTCAGAAGATTTGGGAGCAATATCATTTTCTCTAATGGATTGTCAGATCCTTACAGCGTCGGCGGGTAAGAAACATAATACAGTAATGTGTTCATTACTGTTTGAATAAATGATATATATATATATATATATTAAAAAAATTATATATTTTCAGAGTTTTAGAGGATATTTCAGACAGTGTAGTCGCCATCAAGACAAATGGTAAAATTTTCAATTTTAATTAATCAAGTATTCAACATATCGTTTAAGAATAGGATGAACTCCCACATAATTATGTCAATAAAGTTTTAATAAATGAGCAGGTTCACATTGTCAAGATATTGCCATGAAGAACAAAGGAGATCCGGAGTGGCTGGTAATGCAACGAGAGGAAGAAGTCAAAATGATAGAATATTGGATTTCAACGTACCAAAAAGATCTACGAGATCTTAACATATCAATCTAACCCGTTTTTGTTGTTGTTGTTGTGCAAAACCAATCTATGCCGTTTGGTTACATATATAAATTAGTAATTGGTACTTGTGTTGGTTGTTGAGTGGTCTCTGAAGATCGATATAAAAGCCAGTATGTATTGTAAATATTATCATGGTGTCCCTGTTTGGCCACACTAGAAATCTGAAAGAAACAAAGATTTTTTAAATATGAATAAAGAGATGGAAGAACACTTAAAAGAAAACTTGAAAGAACTATAGAAAAAATAAAAGAACTTATGAAGAACACTCTTCTTTATTTATTCAATTTCTCATTTATTTACAAATGATGGAGGAGTGGGCCATTTATAAGTTTCACTTATTACAAAACATCTGCACATATTCTACTAATCTCTAGAATTTTCTACCATGATATCTAGCTATTTTCTCATAATATCTAATTTTTTTTATAAATATCTAGATAATTACTAATGAAATTCTCTAGAATATTTAAATGAGGTGATTACTTTTAAAGATGCTTGTAGGGATTTTCTAGAACTTAGACCTAAGTTTAGGCTTAATCTAATAAGAAATAATTTGTTATGAATCTAAAATTAAACTTAACCCAAAATCAAGTTTAACTTCAATAATCTAATGTACTTCGCCATTCAAGTGTATATATGAGCTACTTTTAACATCATACTAGATGAGTACCTGCGCGATGCGCATATTTTTTTTCACAATATAATTTATTAAAAAGTGTACTTACAATTTATTTTATCGTATATTTAAAAAAATTAAAGGATATTATGAATTTGAATAAACATACAATACCTATTTACATATTATGTGGATATTAACTATATATGTGATCAATGGTTTATTGATAAAAAAATGTGAAATATATTATACCTTGTATATATAGAATATATTAAATAGATATAGTGCAAATCAGAAAAGTACTATATAACAAAAATTAATTAGAAAAACTCTCTAAGCAAAACATAGATAGAGACGACTCTTTTTAACAGGTCGTACTTGTTCACGTAAATTTACACAATAGCAATGCCATGGTTTTATATTTTTATGAGCTTAAATAATTGATTTATAATTCTAATTTATACAGCTGCATTAAATATATTATAAATATATATATTAAGACTTTGATATCTTATTAATTTTTAAATTATTAATGGATCAAGTTTGAATAATGCATATAAATTATTAGTTTATAAAGAAATTGTTTTAAAGTTTATTATAATATTGTATAAATTTTTCTTCTAAATTTTTAAGGTTCAAAATATCAAATAATTGTTATTTTTATATTTGTATAATTGTTTTTATAATAATATCTTATAATATTAATCAAAAATAAGAAAAAACTCTTGAATATAAAACATAAATTTTGTTAATGATTTTTAAAAACTACCACAAAATAGGTATTCAATAATTACTTTTGGATATTATGTATATATTGTTATTAAAATATATGATCTAATTCTTCATATTTTTCATATTCTTTTAGTATTATGATTAATAATACATTAAATTTATGTATTAACTGTATTTTTATAATTTGTATCATTAAATTTTTAAAAAATTGACACATGCCATTTCCACAATAAACCAAAATGATAAAGTATCACTCTGGTGAGAATTGACCATTTTTTATAGTATAGATTACTATCAAGTATCAAACAGTAAGCTCAACCGTACAAATCAAGCCTGGGTCAAAAATTTGACTATTAATTTTTGTACGAATGCGTATATCTTTGTCAATGACTAACTCTTAAAGGAGTTTTCTTTTTGTTCGCTTAGTAAAGTATTATCCATTATAAAAAGAAATGTCCTGGCCAAAAGACAATTTATATGTTGGCATACGGTGTTTAACATGCATCAAAGAATGAAATAAGTCTCATGAAGCAAGCATGTTATATATTTGTGGTGCCAATAGCCAAATTTGCAATGAGCATTTGCCAATCGCTTCGCACGCGCAACTAGTGGCGGAGCCACGTTATGTAAGAGGGAGGCATTTGACCTCGGTGCTTTTGTTAAAATCTCATGTAAATTTTATATAATTTCAGTAATGCCCTCTTGATTCTTTAACCTTTAACAACGTTAGGTATATAACTCGCGCTCTGTATTAATATTTTGGTTTAATTTTTTTTGAGCTACTATCTTTAAAATTATCAAAAATATTATATATTTTTTAAAATTTTTATTTATATAAGAGAATTTAATATATAATGTGTAGTTTATCCTATTTTTATTTATAAATTTTTAAAAACTATTAAGTAAAACAATAACAATGACACCTATCAAATTATCCAACTTCGACGTACATATACATTTAATTTAGAGAAATATAATCTTGCTAAGATTTTGGTATTAATTTCTGTTTTCCATAGAATTTCTATAGTTCTTTTTTTCTTGAAAGTTTATGTGTTCAAATATTTAGTTTTTTTTATTGAAAATCTTATTGATGTTATGTACCAGTGCATATATAATTCATGATTCATGTTGATTCGCATTTAATTTTGTTAGGAAGCTGTAATGATTATGCAAAACTATTTTTCCTTCTCCATCATGTTTTCTAAGAGTTTTATGTTATATTTTTATTCAGTTTTCACTGTTTTAATTGTTAAATCGAGTTGTTGTAAAAAAATTTAAATTGATAATTGATAATGGTTACTTTTTTATACATGTATTGTTAATTGTTAATTGTTAATTTTTTTATTTAAGTTTAAAAAAAATTAAACCATATTAATATTTTCTAATTTAATAAATATATTGATTTGAATCAATCAGATTGAATTTACTTTTTCTGTTGGACATAATTTGTTAAATTAACTTTTAATATTTTAATTATACTTAATAATTTTTCATTTGATTACAAAACTGATGTGGATCCATTAAATCAAGTTTTTCTGTCCTAGTCATAGTTAAAATCTTTTCATTTAATGAAAATGCTGATGTGGACTTATCAGATCGAGTTAAAAAAAAACAAAATTAGTATTTAAAAAAAATAGAAATTAATTTTGTAATGTTTTAATCAAATTTAATATTTTTTTGTTTAATGAAAGACGATGATGTGGACCAATCATATTGAGTTTCTTCATCTTAATCATACTAAATATTTTTGTGATTAATGAAAAATGATGATGTGGACCTATCAGATTGAGTTTCTTCGTCCTAGTAATATTTTTTTTAAAAAAAATTAGTTTTCTAATGTTTTAATCAAATTTAACATTTTTATGTTTAATGAAAGATACTGATGTGGACCAATCATATTGAATTTCTTCATCTTAATCATATTTAACATTATTGTGATTAATGAAAAACAATGATGTAGACTAATCAGATTAGATTTTTTAATTACATGTAGACGTCTTCAATGCACTATACCATCAATTTATATATATTATATAATGACAATATGACAACATTAATATGAAATGTAGCTTTTTTTTAGTTACCTGAATACAACATCTATCTATATGTAGTCTATTTATGATTCCTTACAAATCATTTACTGCTACAAAAAAAAAATGAAAAGCAGGATGAGAATAAAGTAGGCGGCGTAACAAGTGAACACGAGAAAAAAAAAAAATCCAAAATAGTACATCGGAATTTACGTAGAAACTTGGACAAAAATACGACGGATGAATAGAGTTAGGCTATACAAATTCACTATGAGATAAGAAGATCTAGTAACTAGGAATGTAAGATATGTGTAGGGTTAAATGAAATTAATAAGATATAGCAAATGCTACCTTTATTGCTCGTAACGAGTAACGAGCCGGGAAACCTTATGACAAGATCTAAATCATGTATATTGTTTATCAAAGATCTTTCATCTCTATATGAAATCTATCTCATAAAAAAATAAAATCATATCAATAATTGAAGTCTGAAAGTTCTGATTATTTAACTAGCACGAACAATAACTTGGAATAATTAATAAACGATTTAAATAACTTATAAGTATACACATAACTGACTTATATAGAAAACAATTCGCACAAAAGGCAAACAGTCAAAGAGTATATAATATTAAACAGTAGTATAACTTTTTGGTATCTATATAAAGGGGTTTATTGCATGAGCATGGTAAGGCAAGTTAGTGAACATTAACATATCACACCAAATTACTAAGATTAAACAAAACACTAAAAAAATATGTCTCTTCCATTTACAATTCTCCTTCTACTGATAATCTCAACTTCATCTAATTTTATCTCTTTCGCACAATCCAAATTCGCTCGACTTGGGAGTTCCCCAACAAAGCTAAAGAATGCACCCGCTGCACCGACGCAAATAGTAAATGAATATGATCTTGAAATGCTCTACTTTAAACAGAATCTCGACCACTTCAACTTCACACCAAAAAGCTACATGACATTTCAACAAAGATACCATCGACTCCAAACACTGGGCTGGTGCTAAAGACAACACACCAATATTAGCGTTTCTTGGAGAAGAATCGTTCTTAGATTCGAATTTGTCTGCCATCGGGTTTCTTCGTGACAACGGTCCTCGTTTAAAAGCACTCCTCGTCTACATAGAGGTGTGTGTGTAATGTGTTTCTATATATAAGTGTGTGGTTAGTTTATCTTTTACATTGTTTGGATGTAAATGCATACGATATAAAACGCAGCATAGGTATTATGGGAAGAGTATGCCGTTTGGATCAGCAGAAGAAGCACTGAAGAACGCAAGTACATTGGGGTATTTGAACGCAGCACAAGCTCTAGCAGACTATGCCGCGATTCTCTTTCACATTAAGGAGAAGTACTCAACCAAACATAGCCCTATTATTGTCATAGGTGGATCATATGGGGGAAGTAAGTCCATGCTCACCATTTTATTACTTATATATGTATATGCTAATTGTCATAACCATAACTTATGTGGCTTATGTGGTATAGTTACCGTTAATCATTTTATTATGATTAGCATATGAAATCTTGTTTTGTGTGATATATACATATATATATATATATATTGTATCTTGTTTGTCATGTCCTATGAGCATCACTATTTCGTTGCAGCTTTATATAATTATCGTTTGTGCACTTTTATTCACAAATCAGTTGGACGAGTTAATATTAAACAATGATTACTCTCAATGATAATATTAAAGATATTCTTATATAATAAAAAAGAATAACTGGAATGGTCATTTTCTTTTCTATTTCATGGTACACAAAGTGTTGGCGGCATGGTTCAGGCTAAAATATCCGCATATAGCACTTGGGGCATTAGCATCTTCAGCTCCTCTTCTCTACTTTGAAGATACTCGTCCCAAATTCGGTTATTATTATATTGTAACCAAGGTTTTCAAGGTAATATCAATTATAACCCATTTTAATACACACGAGTTTTTTCTTTGTTTTCTATCTCTATTAATCCATTTCAACAATTCCGTTCTGAATTACTAATTTTCGTTGTTGCATGATTCAGTAATCTTCACTAATATTAATTGCATCTTTCTTTTTATTGTCCATAGGGAACGAGCGAGAGATGCTATAATGAATCTTGGAAAGTGATCGATAGAGTTGCTACTAAACCCAATGGTCTCTTAAACCTCAGCAAAAAATTCAAAACTTGCGCGTAAGAAAGATATATACATTACATCAATATAGAACATTAATAGTCATGAAAGCAATTTTGGACACATGTTCCAAATTCTTCTTTGGTGTGACTTTTCCCCCTACAATCCCTAATGCATATTGGATCTGGAACTCCTGTTGGCTTTATTATTTTCATCCTACATACAACAGTAAATTATGACTACATATATTAACGTATATATATTATGTTAAAAAAAAAAGATTGAATATGTGAATGTAAGTTATTAGTTGAAAAAGATAAAATTGTGTGAATGTAAGTTAAATATACGGTTCGATAGATGATGGTGTGTATGTGTCTTCCTTTGACATATCTTCCACTCCATTGCATGTATGTAGATGGCATCCTAACATTACCAATGTTATCACTATCACCATACACACTTTTTGTACCATTCTCTTATAAGTTTTGTTCTTTTGATTCAAAATTAAAGAATAAAACATTTGCTGTTTGATATATGACTTGCACATGTGTATATATACAGATATATACATTTATTAGTTTTGCTAGTTTGACTTGAATACAAATGATTTTGTTTGACCAAAAAAATACAATCAATTAAGTAACTATTATTTGAATTAACTATTGTTTGAATAGCAATCTTTATTACTTTACTTTGATATATCATATGATAAATAAATAGCAATCTTTATTACTTTATTTTTCTTTTTTATAGTAACTGAAAATAATGGCAGTTATAATCTATACTATAAAAGATGGCAAACTCTCTCTAATTGAATGTCACCTCATCATTTTAGTTTACTGTGCAAATAACATAAATCATTTTTTAATTTAATGATACAAATTATATAAAATACTGTTAATGCATAAATTAATGTATTATTAATCAAAATACTAAAAGAATATGAAGATTATGAAGTATTAGATAATTTATCTAATAACAATATATACTTAATATCCAAAAAAATTTATTGATAATATCTATTTTTGGTAGTTTTTTAAAATCATTAAAACAATTTATGTTTCTTATTTAAGAGTGTTTTCTTATTACTTATTAATATTATAAGTTATTATTCTAAAAATAATTATACAAATATAATATAAAAATTATTTGATATTTTGAACTTTAAAAAGTTAGAAGAAAAATTTATACAATATTAAATAATAAACTTTAAAATAATTTCTTTATAAATTATTAATTATTAGATAATTTATTGTATTCAAAATTCATTAATAAATTTTAAATTACTAAGATATCAAAGATAAAAATCCTAATATATTTATTTATAAAATATTTGATGCAGCTGTATAAATTAGAATTATAAGTCAATTATTTAAGGTAATAAAAATTTAATATAAACTATAAAATCAATTTAAAATCAAATTTTAAAAAAAAACTAAAATCTACACGTATCCGCCAATACTCTTCTAGTGTTATACAATAAATGGAAATAATGCGAGTTACTCTCTCTGTTTTTTAATTATATAATATTTGAAGATTTTTTTATTAAGCAAAATTTATCAATAAATAACTTGTTTTATTATTAATAAACTATCAAATAAATAATAATTAAACGATATATATTTTATAATTTTTTTTAATTAGTCTGCAAAGTTCTAAAGAGAGAGAGTATAACTAAATTATACGATGATGACCAGATTTAGTCTACGCACCACAAATTTCACTTAACGACTATGTAATAACAAGACATTTTAGTTTATTCTTGAATTTGAACAATTCCTAGTTTATACAGTTTTAAGATAAATAGTGTGAAATTTATAGTTACAGCCTATACATTTTATTAACTGAAATTAACACGATATTAATTACAAAAAATATTAAACCCAAAATAGAAAAACACACTACCACTATTTATTATTTCATCAAGGAGTCGCACAATACGGTTGACATTATGCATTTATCACGATTTTTATGAATTGTTTTTTTTTTTTTTTTTTGAATGGAAGATGTTAAATTAATCTAAATAAAAGCTTTTGTTACAATGAATGTATCTTTTGCGTTAAAGCTAAATTACATTGATAATCTGATCTGAATCTGTCGATATGAGAACCAAGTTTCCATGCTCTGTTCGTACTTTTTGTCGCCCTTACCGCGGATCGTGGTGATGCGATTCCGGATTTGCTTATCAACGAAGTGTTCTACGTGTGATGGAGGATGAGGGGGTTCTCCATGTCTTCTCCGATTCCACTCTTGCCAGATCGTGTGGATGGTGGCTTGGAAGGTATATCGTAGCAGAAATTGATCGATAATACTTCGCGTGTCTTCCAATAAGAGCTCTTTGATTTCTTCCCAAACTGTTGTGTAGGCCACTCCCAGTAGTTTTTGTGTAAGCTTCCCCCAGATCGTCGCTGAGAAACTGCAGGCAAAGAAGAGATGATCACGAATTTCATACGGCTTGGTGCAGAAGATGCAAGAGGTGTTTGCCCCAACATTCCATGCCAGCATACGATCCCCCGTAGATAGTCGATTGCGAGTAGCTAGCCAGGTGATGAACGAGTACTTAGGTGTGTGATGTATGAACCATATGCCTTTGTACCAGTTGCACGTTGGCTGTGCCTCGCGAGTGAGTTTCCAAGTGTCTCGTGAACTGAATTTTGCTTTGTATTTCTTTTCATGCTTCCACATTACCCGATCTGCTAATAGGGTAACCTCCTTCTCTCGTAGTCTGTCTATTTCATCCTCGATGGTGTTTAGTAACTGCACTCTGTGTCGTCTTCATAGATGTGTAGTAAGGACAGAAGCAACTGAGGAGTGAAGCTGTATACCCATGTCTATGCAGCCTCTTTGACCTGTGATCTCATATAGTTGTCCCATTTCCGACCACCTGTCAAACCAAAACGAAGTAGCGGCTTCATTATTGATTTCCATCTGAGTTAGAGATTTTGCCAAGTCTCTATACTCTAATAGTTTTTTCCACATTCAGGAGCCAAGGGTTGATGATGCTTTGACTGACCAAAAAGAACCTTCCCGAATAAGGTACAGTTTGATCCAATTTACCCAAAGCGATGAATGTGCCGAAAGGATTCTCCAGATTAGCTTTAAGCAGCTAACTCTATTAGTTTCTGTTAGAGAGCGTAATCCCAATCCTCCCTCTGCTATGGGTAGACACACTTCTCGCCAAGCAATTTTTGCTTTCTTGGAGTTTAAAGACGGACCTGACCAAAGAAAGGCGGCACATAACTTGTCAATTTCTCTAATGCAGGCTTTTGGTAAACGGTAGGCAGACATCCAGAAATTTGTAATACTCTGAATGACAGAGGCTATGAGTTGAAGGCGCCCTGCAAAAGACAATTGCCTAGTGGTCCAGGTAGTTATGCGAGTTCTGATTTTTTCCAGCAGGGGCGTGTAGTCATTAACAGACATCTGCTTTGCTAGGAGAGGTAATCCAAAGTATCTAACTGGGAGCATTCCTGTATCAAAAGGGAATTGTTCCAATATAGCATTTCGTGTTATCTCTGCAACTCCAGCTAGGAATAAAGTTGATTTCTCCAAGCTAATATTCAGACCTGAGACCTCTGCGAACATCTTGAAGACTTGTAAGATCCCTTCAATCGAGCATTTCTTTCCATCTGAGAAGACCAGCAGGTCATCCGCAAAACACAAGTGTGTGAGTTGGAGGTTTTGACAGTTTGGATGATAGCTAATATGTCGTTGCATAGCTGCTCTGTTTAATAGTTTAGACAGAATATGCATGCAGATTACAAACAGGTAAGGTGAGAGAGAGCAGCCTTGGCGGAGGCCCCTTTCGCTCTGAAAGTATCCAGCTAGTTCTCCATTGACCTGCACTGAGAATGAGGCGGTGGTAATGCATAGCCGGATCCAGTGTATGTATTGCTCTGGGAAGTTCAAAGTTGATAGGGTAGTGAGAAGGAACGACCATTGTACAGAGTCAAATGCCTTGGAAATATCAATCTTAACTGCACAGCGGGGGGAGATCGAGTCTTTGTGGTAGTTTTTTACTAGCTCAGATGCTAGTAAAACGTTCTCCATAAGAAGACGGTCTTTGATAAATGCCGACTGGTTTGGAGCAATGAACTGAGGGAGGACTCTCTTGAGCCGGTTAGCTAACACTTTTGATATGACCTTGTAAATTACATTACAACAGGAGATTGATCTATAATCCTTCATCTGCTTTGCTGCTGTCGTTTTTGGGATTAAGACTAAGATAGTTGAGTTGATTCCTTTTGGAAGAAACCCATAAACCAAGAAGGATTTGATAGCGGTGACAAACTCCTGCCCTATAACTGCCCATGCTTCTTTAAAGAACTCGACAGTAAAGCCATCAGGACCCGGAGACTTATTATTCGGCATGGCAAATAAGACTCCCTTGACTTTTTCTTCTGTTACTGCCCGAGTGAGCAGCGCTCTGTCCACTTCACTACAGTTAAATTCCAGAAGTTCCTGGAGAAACGTCTCTGTAATACCGTGGTAGTTTTCAAGCTTTCGAGTTAGGAATTCCTGGAAGAACCCCGCCGCTTCCTCTTTCAGATCTTCTCGTTCTGTTACAATAGTACCATCAGCTCTTTCGATTTCTTTGATCGAATTCCGGACTTCTCTAGCTTTCACAGCTTGATGAAATGATCTGTTGTTTCTGTCACCCACAATTAACCAATGAAGTTTTGATTTTTGCTTCAGGACTCGCTCCACAAGTTATGCCAAATGATGCCATTTATCATAAGCTTTGTGCTCCTCTTCCATAGCCAGCTGGGATGGGTGGCTCAGAGTTTGTTCTTGGGACTGGCATAATACTTCATATGCCTCTTTTGCGCGTTTTGTTAAGTCTCCTAATATGTCCTTGCTTAACCTTCGGATTTTTGGTTTAAGATCTTTCAACTTTCTTGATAAGCGATGTAGCGTTGACGTGGAACTAAATAAGTTTTCTGTCTCTTCCCAGTAAGAGGTTACCAGCGGGAGAAACCCAGGTGAGGTCGCTAACGCGTTCGTGAATTTGAAAGGCTTTCTACGCTTGGTAGAGTTATCTGAATTGATCCTGATACGACACCGCATATGATCCGAACATACTCCAGGTTCAAAAACACTGTAAGACTGAGCATATTTGGTTAGCCATGTATCATTAATCAAGACGCGGTCCAGTTTTTTGCATATCAACGCGTCATCCTCAGTCCTTTTATTGCACCAAGTAAACAGAGGACCATGGTACTTCATATCCACAAGAGAGCAATATCTTGCTACATTCTGAAAATCTCTCATACCCGCTGGGATTGTGGGCGTGTTAACATAACATGAGTGCTCCTCTCTCTCTAGGATTTCATTAAAATCACCCAATATCATCCAGAGTTTATTACGAAACATAGGAGAATCCTGGTGATGTTGCAGATCGGCCCATAGCTCCTTCCTTTCCTCTATCTGGTTGTAAGCATAAACAAAAGAGCAGAAGAATTCTTTGTCTTCTCCTTCTAATCGGATTGCACATGTGATTAGCTGTGCACTAGTGAAGCAGGGGGTGACTCGCACTTGGGGGCTCCAGACGACCCACATCCTACCTCTTCGATTGAAATCATAATTTGAAATATAAGACCAGTTCCTGCACACTGATGAAATTATAGTCTCTGCCTTCCTCTCCTTCACTCGTGTCTCTATAAAACAGCCAAATTTAAATCCACTCTTTCTTATCCAATCTCGAGCCACATAATGTTTTGTTGATTGATTAAACCCATGAACATTCCAGAAGAAGCCCGACATTAATTGAATTTGCGAGAAGGAATCAGATATTTGAGAATACTATGATTCTCCTTTGAATTGCGTGGAAGTGGTAATCTTGTAGGCGGAGCTACCTTCTCAGGTTTCTTAGTTTGGGTTCTGGGTAGGGATTCCTCAACCTCTTCCGCGGACTCCTCTAATTTTTCCGCTGTTTCCTCTGTTTTCTCATGCTCCTCCTCACTCGCTTCAATCCTACACTCCGGATCCAGGTCCTCTGTTTGTTTCTCTTCTGGTGTTTTTGCTGTGTCCTCCTCCTTCTCATTGTCACCACTTAATAGTGAGTAGCGTGAAGGGGTTAAAATTGAGACTTGACCATAAGCCAAGTCTCTCTGTTTATTAAGACTGCGACTATATTTTGGTGTAGTCCATTCTCCCTCTTCCTCTTCAGTTTCTTCTCTTGGTGTAGAGTTTTTCTCACTGAGGGTCTCTATCGTTTCTTTTTCCAATTCCTTTCCCGATGTATCTGGGGTAGAGGCTGTTGATGTGTTTTTGTTGGTTTTCGGGGAGTTCTGTTGTGGAGCCACCTTCTGTGCTGCATTCGCAACACAACCCGTTTCAAGGTGTCCCCATTTACCGCAGGTATAGCACTTTGGTGGTAACCACGGATAGATAAACTCGACTAGCGTGTCTTTTCCCTGATGATTAAAGTTCATCGATTTTGGCAAATCTTTGGAGAGGTCTGCTTTCACAAAGACTTTCGCTATCTTGAAATCCAAACATTGTGCAGTGTCAAGGTGTAAACGAGCCGGTACTCCCACCGCACTAGTTATGAAACTGAGACCCTTCCAGGAGAACATATTCATAGGAACATGTTTGAGATGAACCCACAATGGAACCGATGTGATTTCCGGTGATTTCTCCTCAGTGAAAGGAGACCATTTTGACATCACTACTGGTACTTCGGCCAGATTCCACATTCCTCTTCTCAGTATCCTATTCTTCGTGTTTTGATTACATATCCGAAATTTCATTGTTGTCTCATTAACCACAAAGACATCGATCATCTGTGACTTGTCCCCTAAAGTCCAGATTTTGTTAACAATAAGATGAATTTTTGCTATGTGGGGAGCTGTTGCTAAGAATCTCCCCACTAAGAAATCCTCTCATAAGGGAGAAGAGTCCTGAAATATCTCCTCAGGAACCTTGACTGATTTTACACCATCCTGGACTGAGACATCCAGATCGTACTTTTGTAGAATTTTCTTCGATTGAACCACGTTTGCCCATGAGTTGCCAGAGTTGACTGTAGACGGAATCATAACTGGAGTTGTTTGCCGAGTGTCCCCCGTATCCACATGTGCCACCGGCGAGGTCATCCTCTCCATGTCGGAGAGAAAGACCAGCGGCGGCTTGTTGCCTTGGGAGCAAAGAAAGCGAAGCCCTAATCACCTTCAAAATCGCCCTCAGAGCAAAACGATGCAAAACGACGCACTTTGGAGTACAAGTCGATTTTTATGAATTGTAATACTGCTATGTATCGACTCTAGGTAAAATGTATTCCTCTCTATACAATTATAGAATTCATGAGAAAAAAATATGAAAGAAAAGAAAAGAAAAGGAGATTACGATGATATTATACCAAACAGCAATTATCATGTCAACGTCACAATAATGCGTGCTATATGCTACCTTCCCTCCTACTGTCTGCTACGTCAAACAAGTGGGTTTCAATCTGACGGTGAGATAGTGTCTCACCCATCTCTCTCTCTTTAACTAATTCCGTGGTAATTTCAGAAAAATTAAGAGAGGAATCGAGAGGACTCTGTAATAGAATATATGGAATTTCTACTATAAATATGAGATCTATTGGTCCTAAAGGCTGAAAAGCATATTTCCCAAGGTTTCTCTCCTCCACATAATTTTAGTTCATTATTCTTAATTTTTGTAGTTATGTAAATGATTGAGAATCTAATGTTTGGATGTATCTGAATATGATTCATTTATGCATTTTCAAGCCTCCTTGTATCAGGTACATATAACAAAAATGATGCTTTCAGTGATCGTTGCGATCCTCGTCTGCCCATAGGCCACATTTAAGCCTCCACCACCGCTAATCTGCGGCGTTCCCGCACGGTTTTCTGGTTACTTCTCCTAGAACTAAGCTCAGTGACGGATATTTTGTTTTTGTTATGGTGTGTGTGTGTGAATTTGAGTATAAGATTAGCTTTAGAAATGAATACTAATCTGGTTGGTTTCAAATATACAACATGTATACCAGAGCATATTTATTAATGCATCATCAAGTTCTTGTAAATCTACATCCAAAATTCTAATGCTAACAAGATCATTGATTTTCTTACTTTTGTGTAACATAATATTCTAAGCGAACTCTAAGTGAATTTTGTTACATAACATCACAAGAAACAACAATCCAGTTTTATTAACTTGAAAACTAGTACTATTAAGTTTCTAACCAATCAATTTGTTCTTAGTTTTCTTTCTTGCATTCTTAGTAATGATCTTAACTTTTTTTTTCTTTTAAGCTTTCATACAAGAATTCTTCAAATTTCAAGTTGTCTAATCTTCTAAATGTTATATCTTGACCGTTTTAATAAAACTTGTAACTTAAGTTTTCTGTTTCATTAGAATTTTAATTGAAAAATTAGTTCCACTTTTTGCTTTACAATATATCACACATTAGAGATGAACCTATGTATCACTTTATTAGTTTAATTATAAATTATCACTTTATTAGTTTACTTACAATATATTTATATACGTATATATGTGAATAATTAACTATATTTTATAAATAATTAAGTAAAGATAATTTTTTTGAATTGATAACTAAATTTGTATCTATCTATATTCGTCGCTGCCACCACACACTTCAGAGGAAATCTCAGCAATTCTGAGAAGGATCTTGAGGTGGGCACAATTCCGTCCCGTCCCGTCTCATCTTATCCTAGTTCCAATCCGAAATTCTCGTATTATATGGAAATGTGCTTCCCATATGGTACAACATATTGATTTCCATTTAGGAATAGGACGGGACGGGACGGGAACAAGAATTCCCGAAGTTTCATTTGTCCCGAATTATATATAAATAATAAATTAGATATTTAAAATATATTACCAAAAATGATCATTATTATATATTAATATACTATTTTATATAAACGAAAGTTAAAACTTAAACGTTGCACCTCTAAAGTTCTAACTTATAAGTTATAGTCTAAATGCATGCTGATTGTTAAGATTTGAACGGATTATGTTGGATTTTATTTTTTATTTTATTATATATGACTAATAGACTATATGTGGTTTTTGTTTACTATTCAATGAATTATGTTGGGTTTTTTTTAAAAATGAAGCTTTTAAATTTTAATAATTAAGTTAAGTTTGATTTCATTTGTTTCTTGGTTAATTTATAATCTTATATGACATGTTATTATTATTTATTAGGATTTAGAAAATGAACAATTGACGAATATAAATTGAATTTTAATTTTTTTTTTACAATTATCAATTTTTCATGTTATTAGATTTTTGGAAATTCCCATCCCATTCCAGTCTTATCCCATCTCATTCCCGTTCCGTTCCAAATTTTGAATGAAACATATATGGGACAATTATTTTGATTCCATATTCCTGTCTCGTTCCCATTCTTACAAAATCCCGTTCCATATTCCCGTTTGCTCACCTCTCTTCACTTACACCACAAAATATCTGAAGACTAAGATTTTAAAATTTCGTGCCACAAATATAATCGCATTAAATGACCAGCCTACTAGTTTATATAAAAATGTCACTCCTACTAGTTTAAGAAATAGAGAGTCACGACTCACGAGATACTTATCCTACTAGTTTTAGAAATGATAATATCGTTTCATTAATAAAAAATATAGAAAACTCAAAAACATCAACAGAATTAAAAAAAAAATATAAAATATAAAAGTTAGAGATGGTTGACGAAATATTGACTACGGAGTTGAGAATATTCCCCAAGCTATACAAATAGAGGCACGAGACATCGACTCTCTCTCTCTCTCAGTAGTCTCTCTCTCTCTAGTCCAATAGTTAAGACACACAAAAATATCAAAACACCTCTCACGCTCTCCCTCTCTTTCTCTCTCGTTCATTGTGGTCAAGATTCAGACCAGACGAGTTGCGTACAGCTTTTCTTTCTCTTCTCATTAGTCACAAAATGTCACTCGCATCTATCATCCTCTTCCTGATGGTGATCTTATTAACTATCTCTCTTGCACACTCCAAATTCGCTCCACTTGGGATTTCCCCAAAAATGCAAAGTACTGCATCCGATAGACGACACATACAAGAAGCCTCTGCTGACTCTGGTCTCAGTATATTCTACTACAAACAGAATGTAGACCATTTTACATTCACACCGGAAAGTTACAAGACGTTTCAACAGAGATATGGGATCGATTCAAAGCACTGGGCCGGCGCTAAAGCCAACGCACCAATCTTGGCCTTTCTTGGAGAAGAAGCTTCGCTAGAGTCCGATTTGTCAAACGTCGGGTTTCTTCGCGACAACGGTAGTCGTTTCAAAGCGCTCCTCGTCTACATAGAGGTGTGTGTTTATAAAAATATATATAAGTTTACTGTTAGATTAGTCGTTTATAGTGTTTGAATTAAATGCATACGACATATATAATGCAGCATGGTTTTTTTTTTTTTTTTGCTAACTACTCAGCATAGGTATTATGGAAAGAGTATGCCATTTGGATCGGCAAAAGAAGCATTGAAGAACGCGAGTACCTTAGGATATCTGAACTCAGCACAAGCCTTAGCAGACTACGCCAAGATTCTCTTGCATGTTAAAGAGAAGTACTCAGCCAAACACAGTCCTATCATTGTCATAGGAGGATCCTACGGCGGAAGTAAGTCCATTTCAAACCCGTGCCTATGGTATATGTTAATTACAAAGGTCCCTAAGGCATTTTTTTAATAATGGTATAACTATAACACAGTGTTGGCGGCATGGTTCAGACTGAAATACCCGCATATAGCACTTGGGGCCTTAGCATCTTCAGCTCCTCTTCTCTACTTTGAAGACACCCGTCCTAAACTTGGTTATTACTATATTGTAACCAAGGTTTTTAAGGTATTAATGTAATAATAATTGTTGAATTATTAGATTATCACAGTTTATCCATTTCAATAATTCCGTTGTTCACTAAGTTTTTGTTGTTGCTTTTACATGTTCATAAGGAAACAAGTGAGAGATGTTATAACACGATACGTCAATCTTGGGAAGAAATTGATAGAATTGCTGCCAAACCCAACGGTCTTTTGATCCTCAGCCAAAAGTTCAAAACGTGCAAGTAAATTTTTTTCACTCTTTTTTTTTAACTTAATTTTTTTTTTCACTTTCGATATGTATATATAACATATGAATATATGATAATCTATCCTTTTAAAGTTAATCCTATCTCTTTACTATTTTTTTTCAACAGCTCTTTGAATAATACCTTTGAACTTAAAAACTTCCTGGATTTCATCTACTCCGGAGCAACTCAATACAACAACAATCCCTATCCGGTTGCGGATTTATGCAAAGCTATTAACACCAGCCCGCAAAACAGTAAGACTGATCTACTAGGCCAGATTTTTGCAGGTGATTTTTTTGGGTTAAAAGTTTACTTTACTTTATTATGAGCAAAACTCTCTCTCTTATAACTTTTAGATACAAGAAACTACGAACATTAATTTTTATTTATTTATTCAATGATTTATGCTGTGTTATTTATCAATGACTTCATGTGGGGGTTAAAAAAATGGCCTGCCGAACAAAAATGAATTTCGAAATTAAAAGTCAAAAGATTTTAAAATATCAGTATATGGAGAGAAGAAAACTAGTATTAACCCCGATTTTCGTGTATCTCATCCTGTATCTCACCCTGTATTTCAACTTTTATTTTTAATAATAATCAGAGGAAAAAAAAAAGGAGAGAAGAAAACTAGTATTAACCCCTAGACTACTATGAATCATTAGACTGTGTCTGTGTCGATCGAAACAAAACAACTTGTGTACAGGCTTAAATATGACATGCTTTCCGAGCCTTACAAAAATTGATTTTCCCAGGTGTTGTTGATTATATGGGCAATATTTCATGTTATGATACGTCGTTTCAGCCCACAGACGTTCGCGTGGCATGGAGATGGCAGGTAAATTTTTGTTTCTTACAAAACATATTAAAACCTAATAATTATAAATCATTGTTTTTCTCTATTAATTGGTCCAGCTTGTTTTTTTAAAATAAATTGGCACGAACGGTAATTTTGTAGAGCTGTAGCGAGATAGTGATGCCCATAGGACATGACGCACAAGACACGATGTTCCAAACGGAACCGTTCAGTATGCGTCGTAAAATTGAGAAATGCGAATCGTATTACGGTGTCCCGCCTCGTCCACATTGGGTCACGGCTCACTACGGCATTCAGGTGCATATGAGCCATATAAATAATATAACAATTTATCTCATTTTTTTTCAATTAGCTAACGTTATACAAAATACATATACGTATATATATTTGTAGGATGTCAAGTTAATCCTTCGACGATTCGGGAGCAACATAATATTCTCCAATGGGTTGGTAGATCCATACAGTGTCGGCGGGTAACTTTATTTTATTGTATACATTTTTGTTTGCTTATTTTATGCATAAATATATAAATATTTAAAACGGGTATATGTTAAAAGCATTGGTTAATATTTAAGAGTAATAGTTTTTTTTTCCATATATTCAGAATTTTGGAGGATATCTCAGACACCGTAGTCGCCATCACATCAAGCGAGGGTAATTTATTGTATTTAAATTATTAATAAAGCGTTATCCAACGGGCACTAATGTTTGATAAATATTTGTAGGTTCTCATTGTCAAGACATTGTCGTCAAGAGCAAAGAAGACCCGGAGTGGCTAGTGTTGCAAAGGGAAAAAGAAATCGAGATAATCGAGTCTTGGATTTCAACCTACAAAAGAGATCTGAGAGATCTTAACATATCGATTTAAGATTATTGTTGTAATGAAATATATAACCTACAAAAGAGATCTGAGAGATCTTAACATATCGATTTAAGAGTATTGTTGTAATGAAATATATAACAAAACTTGTAAAACAATATTTGGTTGTAATATACTAATTAGGATGGATTGAAACCAATAAATTTATGTTCTACATGTATCAAGTAAGTTGATATCTAATCATGCAGTGTCTAGCAAAAAGGTTTACATAAATACAAGACATTACAAAAAGATTATATATTGTGCAAATCGGACAAATGATGATGACAATCCAAAAGTGAAGTAAAGACATGAATTTGTGGTTTAATAAAAAAATATCCATTAGGAATTTATGGGCCTCGAAACAATATAAAAGACATTCCCATGGAATGTGACACCACACCTTCATAACTTAGCTACAAAGGAAAAAAAAGGTATTACCTTTATGTATAATAAAAATGTTATATAACCTTGTATCTGAATGAATTGCTACAGCTGAAAGCTCATTGGCCCGACCTAAATTTAAATTATACTCCATAAAAGTTTTTTTTTTTTTTTTTTGGTTCGTAAAATTCTTCTTTACATATAACTAAAGCAAGTTACTAAACTCAAAAAACATTCGGTAAAACAGATAAAGGTAAAGCTTCTATCGAACTAACGACTACAGTATATGTTTTGCTTTTGGATAAATGGAGAAATCCCAAAAACCAAATCCAAAATTAACAGTGGCTTACATAGTTAATTGATCAATACATGGAAGCTAAAACTAAACTATATGCTTTTAATTAAGACAATGCATGAACATATGATACAACACATAAAGAAACTACTCGCACTCCTTGACGAACCGAATAGTTAGTGTTAACATTTCACACAACTCACACAATTCAATACTGTTAATAAAATTCTGATAAATATCTCATAATTCGTTGGGTTTTCTTAACATCTTATACATCATAATTAATGCTATACAACTCTCATTTTGAAAAAAGGGTCCCACTATAAAATGGTGGGCATATAACAACTAGTAGGCTAATGTAAGAAAAGGGTCATCAGTACAGAGTTCACGTTAAGTTCAATGTTTTATTAACAAACATAGGAACAAAGAGAGTGATAATGTTTAAAAAAAAAAAAAAAGATAGAGATAGAAGCGTATTTCAAATATACTCTTTTTCGTTATTGTCCAAGGGCACCGCTTTGGTAGCTGGTTTTTGTTACAGATGTCAATTACGGTCGGGATTCGCAATTAATTAGGTTAAAAGTCGTAAAACTATAATTAAAGGTAAAAATGATGCGTAAAAGTTACATGCATGCGGAATTTCTCTTCGTCTGATTTCAAATCAGTTTTAGGTTTTATCAACTGAAGTCGTGATACATATATACAAGCTTTCCCTCCCGAAAAAAGGTTTTTATTTTTAATTTTGTCAAGGGCGGTACAGAAAAAAAAAAGTGTCGACAAATGTTCAGTTTATTTTATTCTTTTGTAGATGAGGAAAAGAAAAAGAAACGTTAAAGCAAAATGCATGATATAATTGCAACGTGGGTTCTACTTGTACAAAGTAACAATGGAAAAAAAGAAGAAGAGAATTGCCATGATTTGAGTTGTTTCCTAAAGACATAAGGCCATTTGTCAATTTATTTAATTATATATATATATATATATTTCAACGTCAATGATGTATACAAAATGTGTGTACATATATGTTTTACAATTAAAATTATGAAATCATTATTAAAATATATTTAAGTAACATACTATTTTCACATACTATTTTAAACTTTAGAACGCAAAAATTGGCCCATATGATATAACACAAAATGTTGTATTCTCATCAATTTATCCGAGTATTACTTCAGATACTTTTGACTAATTAAAAAACTCTACATAATCATCATGCTGCTTAAAAGTAAACAAAAACCCAAATCTTTTAATTAGAAAGACAAAACACGAGAAAAATAAGTAGACTTGCAAATTTGCAGTAAATTAAATCTCATGCTCAAATTTTCGTTGTGCCGTAAATCTAGTATTTCTTATAACATGTTCATTGAATGATTTACTGAAGGGATATAGGAATATATTTGAACCGTAAACCAGTCGAGTCGTGGAGGTGGAGTTTTAGCAACTTCGTCTACTTAATTGTTATGAAATATTCAGTGTTTCAAAGCTAGGTAAAAAGTACTATAACTTGTTTTTGTTTTCTTATGGATTCTTCAGTATATACAAACATGTATACGTACTAAAAATACAAGATCGTGTGTACATATAAATAAAGCAAGAGAGATGCGTCAAATTTACGCAATATGTGGTTTAGGTAACCAGAGAATAAAGAAACACAAAGCGAAAGGAGATGATACCATTGCCAAGAACCTTCCATTGACTGGTCTTCCCTTTTTTGTTTTGAAAAAACCCTAATCTCTTCATTATTGCCTATATAATTTTACTTTCTTGTGTATTTCATAAATAATTACTTGTTTGCTAAGTTACTTTTACAATGTCAATAGATTTCAGTATATATGGAAAATATATAGTTTTGATGTATTTTTTATATTTGTCCTTAAAGTATATTTTTTTTGGGGGCCAATATTTGTCCTTAAAGTAATGAAGAACAAATTACTTATTATATAAACAGCCACTATCCTAATGTACATATGCATTAGTCATTTAGAAGAAACAAAATTCGTAAAACATGAAGTTAGTATAATTTATTTTCTTACCATTTTCTTTGTCACAATAATAAAGTGGATTAAAAGAAAGGGAAAATCAATCGAATTAAAACACATGTGAGCTTGGAGTAATCTGCACTGAACATCTTCTGTTTATCCACTGTTACTTCTCCCTCTCTCTCTCCTCTCTCCCAAAAGTTCAAATAAATCTGCAAAATTTCTGTTTTCATGAATTTCGCGACTGCCGATTCGTAACAGTTTACGATTCGCGGTTTAATCCTCGGTTACATGTCATGCCCAGAAGTGAAAAAATGATCACTTTGATTTCTGGCGAGATATAGAGATCTTGTTAACACTTAAAGCATACCATAAGTCGAAGCAGCTATGGCGGCTGTTCGATTTACGGCAGTTATTCTGGTTTGTTTATTACCGGCGGCCGTTTTATCTTACGGTTTTCCGGCGACCTTGAAGCTGGAAAGAGCGGTTCCGGCGAATCACGAGATGGAAATCAGTCAACTCAAGGCGCGTGACAGAGCCAGACACGGCAGATTGTTACAGTCGCTCGGCGGAGTCATCGATTTCCCCGTCGACGGAACTTTTGATCCTTTCGTTGTTGGGTAATCAAATTTCATCCTTCTCTTCTCTTCTCTTCGTTCCCTTTTCGGATTCATCAGTTCAATCGGTTGTTGTCAACATCTGAGTACGGGATTTTGATGCGGACAAGGTGTTGATACAATATCTGAGTCAATCTCTGTCATTGTCTTGTCCAATCCCTTTTTTATTTTCACATGTCTCAATCAAAAAAATTATTTATTTGGTTTCGTCGTGTTCTGCTGAATTTGGTGTTTGATTTTAAACAGATTATACTACACGAAACTGCGTCTGGGATCTCCTCCACGAGACTTTTATGTACAGATTGATACAGGAAGTGATGTTTTATGGGTCAGTTGTGCTTCTTGCAATGGCTGTCCTCAAACCAGCGGACTCCAAGTAAAGTCTTTCTGACAAATTTTCATTGTCTTGGTATATTTTGAATTTCTCCGATTTGATGTTAATACGCCGCTACTTTCGGTTTCTATTACAGATTCAGTTGAATTTCTTTGATCCAGGGAGCTCAGTTACAGCAACACCGATCTCATGTTCTGACCAAAGATGCAGTTGGGGTGTACAGTCCTCTGATTCAGGCTGTTCTGTTCAGAACAATCTTTGCGCTTACACGTTTCAGTATGGAGATGGAAGTGGCACCTCGGGGTTCTACGTCTCTGATGTCTTGCAGTTTGACATGATCGTAGGAAGCTCTCTGGTCCCAAACTCAACCGCTCAAGTTGTGTTCGGGTGAGTTATTTCAGCAAATCCTTATGTTCATAATCATCAATTTGGGCCATTGCTCTTGACTCTGTTGGTTGCTATGTGTGATTGTTTTTTTCTCTGGAGCAGATGCAGCACCTCACAGACTGGAGATTTAGTGAAGTCAGATAGAGCGGTTGATGGAATCTTCGGGTTTGGGCAACAAGGGATGTCTGTGATATCTCAGCTTGCTTCGCAGGGATTAGCTCCGAGAGTGTTCTCACACTGCTTGAAGGGAGAGAATGGAGGCGGAGGCATATTGGTTCTTGGAGAGATTGTAGAGCCAAACATCGTCTTTACTCCACTCGTTCCCTCACAGTTAGATCCCTTTATTCCCTCTTAAACGATTTCATTTCAAAAGAATGGTTTAAATGTTCATTAGAGAGTGATGCTAAGCATGATCTTGCGGCTTTTTTTTTTTGTGAAAATTTCAGGCCTCATTACAATGTGAATCTGCTGAGCATCTCGGTGAATGGCCAAGCTTTGCCTATCAATCCATCGGTCTTTTCGACATCAAACGGTCAAGGAACAATCATCGATACAGGTACAACACTGGCGTACCTTTCCGAAGAAGCCTATGTTCCTTTTGTTGAAGCAGTAAGTCATATTGTTCACTGAACCATCTGGGAAATGTAGTTACTGTAACTGTACTCCATTGAATTGAGTCTGACGCAAATTTTTCTTGATAGGTTATCTAAAGTGTTAAATCTTTCTTATGGAATTTTTCAGATTACAACTGCTGTTTCGCGGTCGGTTAGACCCGTTGTCTCGAAAGGGAACCAGTGTTACATAATAGCCACAAGGTTCATCCTCCTCTTACCATGTCTTCTTATTGGTATCGCTATGGTGGAAAAAAAATCTGATCTTTTTATGTGGTACTGTAATGATCAGTGTTGCAGACATATTTCCTCCAGTTAGCTTCAACTTTGCTGGTGGAGCATCCATGTTCTTGAATCCTCAGGATTACCTCATACAGCAAAACAACGTCGTAAGTACTTTCCATCGAACCAAATTATAGGAATCTGGTTTTTTTCGGTTGTGCTTGGATCTTGGTAATAATAACAGTTGTCTCTGCAACTCTGCTTTCTAGGGAGGTACTGCAGTGTGGTGCATTGGTTTTCAGAAGATACAGAATCAGGGGATAACAATCCTTGGAGGTAACAATCGAAAGCTTTAGCCTTTACTATTTGAAACTTACGTTCTGTAACACAAAACATCTGTTTTTCATCTTCTGTTCTGCAGATTTGGTTCTTAAAGACAAAATCTTTGTCTATGATCTGGTCGGTCAGAGAATAGGATGGGCAAATTACGACTGTAAGTCTCATCCCCTTAAACTCAAACGAGATCCAGAAGCAATATAATCTTTCCATATTTCAAAATCTCTCAACTTTTTTTTTTATCTATTCTTTCAGGTTCGATGTCGGTAAATGTCTCTGCGACTAGCAGCAGCGGAAGAAGCGAATATGTGAACGCAGGACAGTTTAGTGAAAACGCCGCGCCGCAGAGATTGTCTTTGGACATTATTGTCGGGAACACTTTGATGCTCTTAGTAATGGTAATCAACATGTTCTTATAGCACACAGTTATTACAGATTTGCCTTATGTAGAGTTTATGTACACCGTTATATTTGGTCGTCGGCGTGTTATTTGTGGTCGCCGGAGAGTAATTTTCTCCCGACCGACGAAGCCAAGCAGAAGAAAACTTAACCATCTTTGTTGTTGTTTCTCGTTCCATTGTTATAGTTTTGGATGTAAATAATTCGGTTTTTTACTTAGTGGTGTGTGTATCGCTCTTCTGATCAAAGATTTCCTTTTTTTTCCAACTATTTTAAATATAAATAGTGCAAAATTGAAATCATAGTTTTAAGTATTCAGTTCACCAAAAAAGCGAAGAAATGCTATAAAATAATCAATAACTTTATCACACTTTACACACTATAGTATCAAATATCAATCAAGACTCAACACACAAGTGTAGCAAATATGAAGTAGTTCCAAGGATTAGAGTTAATTTGTATTGATCCAAACACTAATCCTATTCAGCTACTTTCATCAAGGCCCTTCATCTGTTTTCCTAAACTATTATTTATTTTGTTCTGATATTATTGTTACACTTAAAAGTTAAAACATACTTATAGTTTGAAGTTTCTCATTGCAATCACTAAAAATATTAGTATACGTGTTAAATCATTTACAATATGTGACATACATGTAGCAAAAAGTATTGAATTGCACAAGAGAATTCTAAATCAATATTGATGTCATATACCCTATGTAATAAGAAATTCACTGATGAAATATGTATAAGTCAGAGGAATCTAGTTTTTTTTCTTTAAATGTGAAAAATAAAAATCAAATTATTTTGTGTCAGTTCTAAAATCACCTAGTGTATATTTTCATATTTTTAGTTATGTAAAGTCAATGAAAAAAAAAAGGCATACTCTAGATTTTATGCTGTTTTTGTAAGCTATCCTTTTTATTATTTGCATTACGGAAATAAACTGATAATTCTCCCCGACTTGTTCTACTTTCCATACACTTCTGTCTTAGAGAGAGTCAACGAAAGCCCTAAGTTTTTGCTATCTGACTATCGTCCTGACACACTATCTCCTGTAGTCTTGTGTCATCATACTCATTAATTTCGCATTCCAATTATGGCCGATTCCCAAATTGTTTATCTGCATTAATTGGGTTACTCAAATTTGGAAATTTATCGTCTCCGCTTTTCGATTAATCTCTTTTTATTTGGTCGTCTTCAATCTTTCTGTTCCCTCGACTCAAATCTCGAATTTTCTAGGGTTTTAAGGGGGTTTTCTGGGATTGAGTTTCCCAGATCTCACCAACTACACTCGAAATTGCTCGTCTTCTGCTCCCTGATTATCGATTGGGATTTTCTTGATTCGGGGTGCGTCTCAAATTTCCCTTCTCCATAAATTCGCCGTCTCCTTTTGGGTTTAGCTTCATTCCGGCAATGGCGGATGAGAAGAAGAACGGCGGACGTCTGAGTGACGCTAGCGACTACTCGTCGGAGGATGAAGGAACGGAGGATTACAGGAGAGGAGGCTACCATGCGGTGCGAGTCGGCGATACGTTTAAGAATGGATCTTATGTGATTCAGAGTAAGCTTGGCTGGGGACATTTCTCCACCGTCTGGCTCGCTTGGGACACCCAAAAATCGGTAAGCCACTTTCACTTCTAAGCTTCGTTTGTCAAGAGAATCAATTTAGGGTTTTAGAACGGAGGGGAAAAGGAATTGCATTGCTGGAATTAAGCTAGCTTTGTTTAAAATTGCTGTACATGAGAATGTTTGAGTGTAGAAGCTCTTGATTCTCTTGTTATTACGCTTTTGTTACTTATGTATGTTGATTTTGGAATCTTGTCTCCAATTCATTGTTTTGTAGCGTTACGTAGCTTTGAAAATCCAGAAGAGCGCTCAGCACTACACTGAGGCGGCCATGGACGAGATCAAAATCTTGAAGCAGATCGCTGAAGGTGACCCTGAAGATAAGAAGTGTGTTGTGAAGCTTCTTGATCATTTCAAGCACGCGGGTCCTAATGGGCAGCATGTGTGTATGGTCTTTGAGTATTTGGGAGATAACCTCTTGTCGGTGATCAAGTACAGCGATTACCGAGGTGTTCCTCTTAACATGGTGAAGGAGCTCTGTTTTCACATTTTAGTTGGGTTGGATTATCTTCACCGCGAGCTCTCTATTATTCATACTGATATCAAGCCGGAGAACATTCTGCTCTGCTCCACCATCAACCCTGAAGCAGATGCTCGGAAATCCGGTGTTCCTCTTGTTCTTCCGACCGCTAAGGACAAGGCTGTTCCGGAGAGACAGGCTGAAAAAGAAAAACCCAAGAGCTACACGTACAGTGCGGATATGACTAAGAATCAGAAGAAGAAGATCCGGAAGAAGGCTAAGAAGGTGGTAGTTGAAGGATGTGGTGGTGGAGAGGAAGGTTCGGAGGAGAATGAGAGAGATTGTAACTCCGAAGCAATACCGAACGGGAACTCAACTGTGGAGAGGTCAGAAGGGAGCTCTGAAAGAGGGAAAGACGCAGAGAATGTTGTTCCAAAGAGTCGTGGCAATAGGAGAGGAAGCCGGTCCACGAGGCAGAAGCTGCTTGCGGATGTTGATCGGAAGTGCAAGTTGGTCGATTTCGGGAATGCTTGTTGGACTTATAAACAGTTTACGAGTGATATTCAGACAAGGCAGTACAGGTGTCCCGAGGTTATTCTTGGCTCAAAATACTCAACCTCGGCGGATATGTGGTCATTTGCTTGCATCTGTTTTGAGCTTGCCACCGGAGATGTTCTGTTCGATCCTCACAGTGGTGAAAACTTTGAGCGTGATGAGGTATCTGTCACTCACTTTTTGTATCATTTTATTTTATTGGGATTCAATAGAGCTTTAACACTGATGAACATCTGTTTCAGGATCACTTGGCATTGATGATGGAGCTTATTGGGATGATGCCACGAAAGGTGAGCTAAGAAACAATGTCTGAGACTGGGATTTTGATTGATGTTTGGAGGATTTCTCTAAAGGATTTTTGTTTCATTTGCAGATTGCATTAGGCGGACGCTATTCGCGGGATTACTTCAACCGACAGGGAGAACTAAGGCACATCAGGCGGTTGCGGTTTTGGCCACTGAGCAAGGTTTTAATGGAAAAATATGACTTCAGCGAGGAAGACGCTACTGCTATGCAAGATTTCATCATTCCCATTCTTGAATTTTCACCTGAGAAGAGACCCACCGCTGCTCAGTGCCTAACGCACCCGTGGATGAATCCTGTCCCCAGATCGTTGAAGCCGTCACCGAGTCCACAAAAAGCCAAAGAAGAAGAAGAAGAAGAAAAGGCAACAGATGGAGATAACACAAAGGAAAAGGACGAGAGGGAAGCCATGGAGGCTGGTGTTGGGAATATCGCCATTGATAGTTCAGAATCAAAGACCTCAGCAAGAGAAGGTCGTCTATCTGCTCGTGATCTTCGCACTTGAAGAAAAAATCCATATGGAAAAAGTTTTGTGTTGCTCTTCTCAGGAATCACTTTTTGTTGGAATCAGTGGTTTAGATACTGTATTGTTTTTGTCTCCCCTTCACTCTTTGCAAACAAGAGATTGGAAATTTGATTCGGTTTTGAACCAATTGAGATGATTCTTCATCATTGATTTTAACATTAACAAATCGTGCAGCGCATAAGCAGTTCAGGGCATAAGGTTCAGTGGAAATCACTCACTCACTCAATAAATATAATTATCAGACATTTTACGAACTCGCTTTTCTCTAAGTACTAGTAGGGGCCTAATGCCACAGTGTTGGTTCAAAAGATTTTGCGTTTACTGAGATACGAATACATGAGGAAGAAGGCGACTGCAGCGCCTACGATGATTCCACCCGTTGTAAACCAGAATGCAGACTGCGCAAAAACCCGAGATTATAATGGGTTAAGTAATGGTACAATGGTTATCAATATGCGTTACTACTACATGAGGGTTGATGACTTACAGCTTGTTCTTCAAGATATGACCTCAAGTTCATGCCGAATATACCTGCGTGCACACGAAACAAAAAGCTATTAAGCCCTTTACAATGAACAGGAGATGCTGCAAAATCATGAACAGTTTGGGAATGTACCTGCGATGAGAGCACCAACCGCAACACAAAATGTTCCGACCTGAAGAAGCAGCTCGAATCTGCTGACCTCAAGCCTCCGAGAACTGAAACCAAAAAATGGATACGACTCACGAAGAGAGCCTAAATCATTTAGGAGAGAAAAAAATGTGTTGTGTTCATCTTCCGAACCTTAGATTGACAGCAATTGAGTCTTCCATTTCCTTTGCAGAATCCAGAAGTCTTTCTGCTTGTCCATGGCATGACTCGCATCTGCAGCATACAAATCTACAGAGTGTTCACTAAAGAACATATTGGTATGTTTCAAGACTAAAAGTTAGTAGTACGGAATGAAAGTCAAAGACCTTTGCAGATAGTTCTCCAAGAGCATTTCGATTTCCTCCTCTTCTTCTGCAAGGACACCAGACAAAGAAACATCAATCTCGATAACTTCACCTGTTTGTGTTGAATGTCACGAAGGGAAACGTTTGCAGTCTTTACCCTCAGCAATCTGCTTATCTAAGGGCAATGAACACTCCATATCATCATTTCCTCTTCTGAGTGTGCAGTTTCTTCCCATGATGCAAATGCGGCGTATTTCATGTGGATCTTCCAAAAGATCTATGAGCATTTGTCTAAGAGCTCCAGCTCTCGAACCCAATTCAACCTTCCAAAAATTGTGTTTAAAGAAAAATACAATACAACAGAACAAACATTTAGTTCCCTGAAGCCGACCAACCGAATCAAGAATATACAACTAAATGAAGTATACCAGTCTTTGCTTGCTAATACGAAGTTCCTCCAATATATCAGCAGTTAAGCGGTTGGGCAGAACCTCAAGAAGCACTTGCACCTAAACCAAATGGTACGAATATAAAAAACTTAGAGCAAAGGGAATGATCTAACCAAAAAAGGCATAAGCAAATGTTTGGACAAAACTACAAGTCAATGTGATATTTCAGAGGGAAGTTTCATTTTTTATATCAAAACTCCGTCCATTTTTAAGAAAGAGAAGCAACTGAGTCCTAGATAATTCACAATCCAGCATCCATAAAACTGAAATACACTCACTAGCATACATACTCACACGGGGTTCTATATTCATAAGCCTTTGCTCTAACCGTTGTATCCTTGAGATTAGCGCCGACTCAACAACCTTTTATAAAGCCAGAGTGGAGCAAAGTTAGCATCAAGATGATAGGAAGATTATGAATTCAGGTTTATGCAGGGCTGAAAAATATGATTGTTATAAGCTTTGATCTGTCTTCTTTTCCACATAAACATATCAATGAGTGAAACCAACCTCGAGTTCAAATGGCATAGAGGGACTTCCATTCATACTTCTTGGGTTAAGCCGAGGCATCAACGTATCTACAAAAGCCCTTCCTCCTCTACTGAAAAATATTTTGGACTTTACATCAGCGATACTTAGAATACAGAGTGAATGATCTGAAGAACAAAGTGAGATATACTGCTACCAAGATTACCGGTTATAATCAAATATAAGGACACGGTCTCGCATTGCTATAGCTCGCAGAGAGCCCAAATTCAGTAGAATCGCATGTTCACGGACCTAACAAAAAAAGGTAAGAAAAGGTTTCATCATTGTCATAACAAAGGCAATATACAAAATAATAGTTTAAGCTAGAGATGGTTCTTTAACTACTTTACCAATAGAGATGGCATCGAGTTTGTCATAAACAATGAAGGATCAACGCTTCGGATATCTCTTGGGCGAAGACCTGATGAAAAGAGTAGACATATGTCAAATGTCACAGATTCCGCAAATGTACATAGCGATGTAGAAGATAGAAAAAAAAAATGTTTCACTAACCACTGGATTTGAGTAGCTGTCGTCTGTTAATCTTCCTTGTAGATGTTGCTCCATTCGCCTTCACTTCAACAACCTTTTTTTTTGTTCCAGACACAACAAGTTTGAATTTTGATGAGATACAAAAAGTAAGAAGTCAGTGTTCTGTCACAAGCTTCCTTCAAATTTAACCATTTAAAAGAAAAAAAAACCATATGTCCCTCGATATCACCAGCTACAACGGAGCAAGAGGTTTTAAAAATAGTTAATTTCAATCAGAATCCTATATATGATGATATGAACATGTATCATAGGCATGCAAAATCTTCCAGAGAAAAGAAAAGAGTTGAAGAACAATTCACTATTCAGCAGAAAGTAGTAAGAAACATGGAACCTCATAAACTGGCTCACGAATTCCCAGCGACGTAGAATCACTTGAGGAGGAAGAAGAAGAAGAAGAAGAAGAAGAATCGATCTTCTTTGCATCATCTCTTGCTCCGTTTTCTCCATCACCGCCGCTACTATCACTACTACTACCATCGTCGTCGCTGACGTTTAGGGATTCGTAATCGCCGACGAAATCCTCGGCGGTTGTGGGAGACTTGGCTAAACACTTGGATCTCGACAAGACCTTGAGTGCCTCGAAGTAGATCGGAGTTCTATTCAGCGCCGATAAGTGGAGAGAAAAGGCAGGAGAAGCTGATCCAGGAAGAAGGAAATGAAGAGATGGAGATGGATGAGAAGACTGATCGGAGGAATTTAAGAGAGAAGTGAATGTAGAAGGAGACGGAGCTAACGCCATTGTTGTTGTTGGTGGTAAAAGGAAGCTTTGGTCATGGAGATCCTTCGTTGGTTTTTAAGCTTGCGGATAAATTCGCAAATCAAAACAATATCCAATTTGTACATATATCATATAATTTATGAAATTAATCTTCTGTCCCTCTCAAATATTTCCGAACCATCTACAGTCTAATCTTATTTGGCATTTCTACAAATAAAATAAATTGCATTCTTAAAATTTTGGACAAGCATAGTTATTCTAAATAATTATGAATTTTTAACAAGAAATAAAATAACATATCAAAAATCACAGCTGAGAAATTTATTTCTGAATATAAAAATTTGAACCTCAGATGTTCTTTTTCCAAATATTCTTAATTTCCTACAGTTTGTTCCAAAACAATTTATTTCTGAATAAACAATTTATGGTAGTTGACCGTTAATTTTGTGGCGGAGGATTAGTTTGGGTTTTCTCATCCTTTTCGAGAAAATCTCACGATATTTTCACCTGTGATTAATCTTTTGTGTTGCCACCTGTCCCGGGAACTCAATTTATATACATGGTTTGTCCCAAAGGGGGGTATTAACTATTTTGAAAAGGTTATCACACTTAAAAAATAAAATTGATTAATACGTAGGTCACAAAACGAAACACGATTTAGTACAAGGGCTGTTTTGTGAAATGAGTAAAAATGTGTTCGAATTTTCATGGCGAGAGAAGGAAATAAGGGCTTAGGAGAGAAAAAAAAAACCAGAGAAGTTCAATGGAGGACGATGAAGCAAAGCTTGAAGAAAAATATCCTGATGAAAGAAGAGAAGAAGAAGAAAACGATTGTCCCTCGCATCATCCTCCACCTCCACCTGATGAGGTAAATCATCGATTTTCGCGGTGACTATTTCTAGTTTCAAGTGTAGAATTTGAGCTAAAAGGTAGCTTCATGGTACTTTCTGTAATCAGGGGTTTTCAGCTGGAAATTAAATTAGTAGATTCGATAGAAAAGTTTTGATTTTTTTTTTTGGGGTAATGTCAGTGATTTCTAGTTTTCTATTGTTCCTGCAGTTGTTTGACATTTCGACTACAGTTGATCCTAGCTACATAATCTCACTGATAAGGAAACTCCTTCCTATCGATTCGGGCAGTGAAGAATGTGTTCGAAGCACCGAGGAACGGCATAGCGATCATATGAATGCAAATAATGTGGCTCAAGGTGTTGTAGCTCTGTCTGGAAATGGGTTTGTGGACACTTCCAATGGTAATCCAGAGAGCATGGACATTGGAGGTAACAGTAACGAATCCAGTTCCGAGGAGAGGGACAAGGTGAGCTCATGTCGGGAAGGTTGGTCATCAATGGAAGAGGCATGGGAAGATCATGGCTGCGTTTTGTGGGATCTTGCCGCCAGTAGAACTCATGCTGAGCTAATGGTAATGGATTCTAGACTCTAAAGTTAGTGCCTTTATACAATTTTCTCTTGTTTTCTTTTCTCCCAACATGAAAATGCCAACATTTGGGGTTTCCATGACTATAGAGCAACTTGGTTCCATGTTGTGGGTTTTGTAATGTACTACAGTGATCTCTCTATTGGATCTGTGTACTGGAAGGTGCGATTTTTTTTCTTTTTCTGGCTTTTTCCTTGCAGGTACAGAACCTAATTTTAGAAGTGCTTCACGCAAACCTTATGGTCTCAAAATCTACACGCATTCGGGTGAGAAACACATCTAATCATTCTCTAGTTGTTTTTTGTCTTCCTGAATTGATTTTATTTCATTTTGGCTTGAAAGGAAATCTGTCTCGGGATTATTGGAAACTTGGCTTGCCATGAAGGTCTGTTGAAACGTATAGAGTCTACAACCGGACTCGTCAATGTACTTGTGGGGCAGATGTTTCTTGATGATACCCAATGCCTAAGTGAAGTTTGCAGGCAATAAAAAAAAAAAAAAATCAACTTGTGCAATCACTTATAGATTCATGCTTGATCATTGAGTTGGATTATCTAACTACTTGATATTCTGTTTCCAATAGGATTCTAACCTCGGGTCTCTATGGGGCTGGGTGCACTCTCTGGGCCGAGTGTTTGCAGTCTGATGATATACTCCGCCGTATTTTGTGGATTGCAGAAAATACCTTGAATCATCATCTTATTGAAAAGGTAACTTCTGATTTCAGTTCTTGTAACTTGATCATTCTTCCACTGGACGACTTTGATAGACAAATCATTTCCATTTTTCCATAGAGTGTAGGGCTTTTGCTAGGTATCATTGAAGGCCAACCAGAGGTTGAGCAGCTATTGATCCCTCCACTAATGACTATGGGGTTGACGAGTCTCTTGATCAATCTTCTTTCCTTTGAAATGAGCAAGTTGACTAGAGAAAGAATCCCAGAAAGGTATGAAAAAATATAGAAACTCGTCTTCAGGCAAAAACAAACAAGTGTTATGCTTCACTATGTAATATGTACCCTTTGTGTATGGTTTCAGGTACCCTGTCCTTGAAATTATCCTCCGAGCTATTGAAGCTCTTTCTGCTTCAGATAGCCATTCTAAAGAGATTTGCTCTAGCAAAGAACTTTTTCAACTAGTCTGTGAACTTATAAAACTTCAGGACAAAGCTGAGGTAGTGTTAGGTTGATATGAAGCTTTTCTATTGAGTAGATCTCAAAGTTTGAATTTTGATAAAACTAGAATTCACTGTAGGTGGCAGCATCTTGTGTTACCGCTGGAGTTTTGATCGCAAATATTCTGTCGGAAACAGTCGATTTTATTCCAGAAGTGTCGCAAGGTACACTTAAAATTACGTTTATTTCATGACATGCGTGAATATATGCATATAGTTTTGGTTGTTCATTTAGTGTTTCATGTCTTTATCTGACACCTACCATGAATCTGCACGAGCAGAATTTTCTTTCCTGGAAGGTTTGTTCAGTACTTTACCATTTGCCTCGGATGACATAGAAGCAAGAAGAGCTCTTTGGAGTGTTATTGCGAGGTTACTTGCCAGAGTTAATGAGTCTGAGATAAACACACTCTGTCTGAGTCAGTACGTATTGGTTTTGCTAAGCAACTCGGAGATTATAGAAGATGATCTTCTCGATGTCCAACTAGAAGATTCAAAATCAGGCGCGAGAACAATGGCTGTATCCACTTTTATATTCCTCTGTTTTTGTTTGCTCTTTTTCTAGATTTTTCAAAGTTGGCCTGTACAGATCTTTTTGTTGACCTTTAGCAACAACAGATACAGAAGATTGAATCAGTACTGAGCAATTGGAATATTCGCAAAGAGAACTTACAGGAGGAAAGCATGAATGGGGACTGCTCTGTAAACAAAGCTGATGTCAAAAGGCTATCAGATTGCTGTCAAAGATATATCAAGTAAGTTATTCTCCATCTCTAGAGACTTGTTTGCATTCAACTACTTTTTTCAAGTGATCCAGAAATCTGAAACTCGAAACACTCTTATATTACAAATCGATCTTACAGTTCTATAGACATTGGTTTTGTTTTCAAGTTTCTTTCAACTGTCAGATTGTAAGTTTGATTTGGAAATATTCAGATTGACTTGATTCATAATTTTCTTCTTTCTCAGTTGTAGATCGATTGAAGGGTCCTCTTAATTCATGGAGAAATTTTTCGCTTGAAATATTTCAATCTTCTCTTACTTTTCATGGTCAACCAATGCATCACACATTGACACATGAAGCCGCAAGCTACAAGAAATCGCCGACCCATTTAAACAGACATATTCAGGTTAGAACTTGCATGTCTTTCTCATATCCATAGATCATCACTTAGGGCGTAGTCTGATAAAATGTAAACCAGAGGAAGAGAATTTCTTTATAAAAAAGACTCAAATTTTCAGAACTAGAAGTTTCACTGAGTATCTTCATATATAAATCTCGATTCAGTCTTGAAATTCAAATGGGCAAAACAACAGCACATAGCGAAAACTACAATCTTAAGCCAAAATTAAAAGCAACAATAATCTTGAGAAGGAAGTAGAGACAGAGATGGGTCATTAGGAGATGAGAGAGATGCCAGAGACTAAGAGATTGTCTGAGAGAATCTTGTTAGCAGCTTCTGTTGGATGAAATCCGTCCCAAAAGACATACTCGGTTGCATTATTACACGTTCCTACTGATTTTGGGTTACACAGTATTGATGTCTCTAGTAATCCTGTTCCACAACATGCTCTTCTTGCCTCTGCAAATCCTGAAAATTACACAAGAACACGCAACAAACATGAATCCTGTTCCTGTTGTTATCAGAATTGCTTTATAGCTTAAAAAAGAGATAAATTTACCAAATTCGGATGGCCTGGTGGCGAGATCATAGAGAGGCTGATAGATATCAAAGACGACCAAATTGAGTCCAACGAGGTTTCTCTTGAGATCCTGCGACGTCGCATTGAGTTTGTTGTTGAAGGAGATTGCGTCGTTGTTAAGATTCTCCGAGCATCCACCCTCGTGTGGCCCCGCCACAGTTATGGCCGCCGGTAAACATCCAAGCGGTGGAAGCGTGGTCACTCCGATCCTTCTTGCTCCCAAAGAATACAAATTCTAGAGTGTTCCCAAAAATAGGATCAACAATTATGTAGAACCGAAAACTTCTACAACTTCTATGAAGACCTTATGAAATGTAACAATTATTAAGAGTAAAACTTCTACAACTAATCTATGAAGACCTTATGAAATGTAATAATAGTTTATAACTTTTCCATCAAAAAAATTACCTGAATGAAGCTGGAGTAGGAGAGGATAAGGAGATTGGAGAATTCGTCAGGTGATTGGTTTTTGTAGAGGAGAGGGTTAATATAGTAGTTTTGTATGAAGTCACTGCTCCCTGCGCTGACGACATAAATGCCACCGGAGATTATGGAACTGGCGTTTGCATTTGCTATTTGTTGGATTCGACTAATATAGTCTTTGTAATGTTCCAGCTGCTGCGGCAACGATAATGCACTCTTCATAGAACCAAATAATCAACAGTGCTATTATATATTAGATGACGGAAAAAAGCAGTAGTAGAAAATGTGAAGAATGGTGGTACTAACGTAGAGTTTGGCTGTGCCATCGTAATAACCAGAAGCTGCAGATGCAAAGTTAGCTCCAATCAAAAGGTTTCTGCCTTGTGCCTTTTTGCTTAGATAAGCTTGTGGGTATGATGTGAATCCAAGATTCTCAGCTACATAAGTACTCAAAGCTAATTAATTACTCCAATAAACTAATTGACACAATATACAAACACAATTACATGAACAAAAATCGATGTTTTGCATGTACGTTGTTTTCAACATACTGTATATAATAGGAAGCATTTGTGTATTTCACTTTTTATCAGGCCAATATTGATGCATGCATGTTGAACATACTCACAAATTATCATCTAAATTATATATTATTGATTCTTCATCGCCTCACACAAACGCTGGATGTATAAACGTGACATGATGTTCAACAGTTATTTTTAGTTCAAATTTTGCATGCATGCATGTATATATCGATTTGTTTCACTCAAATAAAGTAGAGATAAACAGCGAAAAAAAGGTACCCGTGAAGTCAGTAGCCAATTTTCCATTGCAGAATCTTCCGGTGGGTTGATGAGTAGTGAAATCTCTTCCATAAGGAGGAAAATTAGCTTTAACGATTGTGTATATATGATTGTTGTTTCCAACATCAACCACCGAATCACCAAATATGAACATAGAGGGAACCAATGGCTGTGCCTTCATCACCACCATTACCTCAAGAACCATTAAAGATCCAACCACCACATAAAGATTTAACCAAATCCTCACCAACTCTCGAGAGAAACCCATCATTTTTTTTTCACAATGAGGATGATGTAAATTTTGTTTCTGCTTTTGGAATGTGAGTAGCATTAGTGTGTAATGTAGTTTGCATGCAATGGTGTTTATATAGCACACACAAACAAACGTTTGATTTGGGGGGCTTATATTAAATGTAATAGAAAATAACTCAAATGTTTAACTATAGTTATGATGGTAATAATATCGTACCGTTTATGTGTATGCTTCTTGTATATACACATCACGCAGTGATGATATGTCTCTTATTGGCCTGAAAAGAAGTGAAAACACTTGGATAGAGAGACACATTGATGAAAGAAAGTAGTTGGCATTGATTTGACTTTCATATATTTATAGTTCATCAGTTACGTTATGAGTACCATTTATTAATTTGATTCCACGTACCACTTCTCTTTCCAACTCTCATAGTTATAGTATATATACAACTTATGCACACATCACACGTATATATAGAGTTCATGCCATTCATCTTGGAACATCTACTCTTCTTCCGGAATTACATCAACCTATCAAACGCCATATCGAAGTGTTCAAAATATCGTTAGGCTAATTTTTTATCGTTTTTTTTATATTTTATTTTTTAGTTAATATCAAAACTGGATTTAAATATTTGTTTAGCTAAAAAAAAACTCTCAAAATTACATAAATATTAATTATATTTATTCTAAGCTCTTGAGAGAAAACCCCTAATATACATGGGCCTGGCTAGACATAAAATTGGGCTTTTCTTGGGCTTACGTTTATAAGTACACCTAATTAACAACATCTCTCATTCACAAAAAAAATCGAAATCTTCTCTACTCACGGGGGAAGCTCTTGGTGGTCTCTCTGGTTACAATGAAAGAAACTCTCTTCACGAATGATGGAGGTAAATTATCCTTTAACCCTGTTCTTTTACCGAGTGAACTGGTAAAATAAAAATTCATAAGAAAATCTTTTGTGGATAAAAAGAGCTTGAAAGCCAATTGTGTGTGTGTGTGTCTTCTTCACTCTCTCCCTCTCATGTTCTCGATGAGTTTCTCCAGAGCAAGCCTCTTTGATTTTCCTCTTAAACCATTCGTGCTTTCGCATCCCTCCTGTATTTTCGTTCCTAGACGTAAGTGTCTCTATCTCAACGCTCGCTCATCAGAAGAATTGAGTAAAGAGAATGAGATTGTTAAACGTTGTTCGCTCTCTAGTTTCAACTTAAAACTAGATTAATGGGTGAGATAATCGTGAAGGTTTTGCTGCGTTTCAATCGAAATCCATGGATTAGCTCCTTTGATGTTAATGGTTTAGCTTGATTCTCGCTCCTACTTGTTAAATTAAGCTCATATATGCAGTTGTTTTGTTTGGGTTATTGGAATCTTGGTTCTGTTCAGGTTTTCCGATTGATAGCTTGTACAGGTTAAGACTAGAATGTGATTTTGAACTTTGCTAATTGAAGAATATCATTCAGATATTTCTAGAAACGTTTATGGTTTAGAGGATTGGATTCTGTTGGAACGTAGAAGGATTTGTTGTTTTTCCTGAGGTTAATTTACAGATTGTTCAGTGGTAAGAATAGGTTATATTGCCTTGTTTTGAGTTTATTATGCTTGACTGACTCTATCTCTAGCGCTTATGGTTTTGCTTTGAGTGATTTATGAATTCAAAATATGGGTTTTGTATTTTCGGTGAAGCAGGGACATTCTATAGTCAGCTTCTTTAGTAGCACTGCATTCTCTAAGTTGTTTGAACTTTGTAGAGCTTTTTGGCTGGTTGTTTTTACTTTGTAAGTTTACAGTGTAACTTGGCTGATTTGATTGATAAATAAAGTTGTCGAGTTTTGTGTATTCACTTTCTTGTTGCTTTTTTGCATTAATTATTGATAATGGCGTTTGCAGGATTTGTTACCAGCACCATTCCGGGCGTTTCTCCTGCTGTCTTGTTGCCCAGATCAACTCAGGCAGCTCTGAGTATTGCTAAGAGCTCATCAGGTTTCGCGCTTATTGTTTCCACGCTTAGTTTATGTCTTTTAGTTTACATTTTTTTTTCCAGAGTTTGCATTTTGGTGTGTCACATTCTTTATCACCATTGAGTTTTGAGGACTGAAACATCTTTACTATTTGGATTTCAGTATCAGTACAGCCCGTGACTGAGAACGCTAGGGAGGAGGATTATCAGTCCAAGGATGTTAGTGGAGATTCAATACGGCGGCGTTTTCTTGAATTCTTTGCCTCTCGTGGGCATAAGGTGCTTCCAAGTGCGTCTCTTGTACCAGAAGATCCTACTGTCTTGCTAACAATCGCAGGAATGCTTCAATTTAAGCCTATTTTCCTTGGAAAGGTATGAATATAATCCAATCCAAACAGTACTGTTTTCCCGCATTTATAGGCTATTCTTTGGAAAATTGAAGATAATTGGTGGGGACTTTTTTCAAATGCTGCAGGTACCTAGACAGGTTCCTTGTGCAACCACTTCACAAAGGTGCATACGGACAAATGATTTGGAAAATGTTGGGAAAACGGCCAGACACCATACCTTCTTTGAGATGCTTGGGAACTTCAGCTTTGGTGATTACTTTAAGAAAGAAGCGATAAGATGGGCATGGGAGCTATCAACTATAGAGTTTGGGCTACCTGCTAATAGAGTTTGGGTCAGCATTTACGAAGATGATGATGAAGCTTTTGAAATCTGGAAGAATGAAGTCGGTGTGCCTGTTGAGCGGATAAAGAGAATGGGTGAAGCTGACAACTTTTGGACCAGTGGACCAACTGGACCTTGTGGTCCTTGCTCAGAGTTATATTATGACTTCCATCCTGAGAGAGGTTCTGATGATGCTGTTGATCTTGGGGATGATACCAGATTTATCGAGTTCTATAATTTGGTTTTCATGCAGTATAACAAGACGGAGGATGGATTGCTTGAGCCCTTGAAACAGAAGAACATAGACACTGGTCTTGGTCTGGAACGTATGGCTCAAATCCTTCAGAAGGTTCCAAACAACTACGAGACGGATTTGATTTTTCCAATCATTGCAAAGGTCTCAGAGTTGGCGAATATCTCATACGACTCTGTAAATGATCAGGCAAAGACAAGTCTAAAAGTGATTGCAGATCACATGCGGGCAATAGTTTATCTCATATCAGATGGTGTTTTGCCTTCAAATATTGGCCGAGGTTATGTGGTAAGGAGGTTGATAAGAAGGGCTGTTCGGAAAGGGAAGTCCCTTGGAATAAATGGGGATGGAAATGGTAATCTGAATGGAGCGTTTTTGCCTACAGTTGCTGAGAAAGTGATAGAATTGAGCACTTATATTGATTCAGATGTAAAGCTAAAGACCCCACGCATTCTTAAGGAGATTATGCAAGAGGAACTTCACTTTAAGAAAACTCTGGCAAAAGGAGAAAAGTTGCTTGACCAAAAGCTTAACGATGCCCTGTCAGTAGCTGATAAAACTGAAAAGACGCCTTGTCTGGATGGAAAAGATGCGTTTCTTCTGTATGACACATACGGCTTCCCTGTTGAGATTACAGCAGAAGTTGCTGAAGAACGTGGAGTCAGTATAGACATGAATGGTTTTGAAGTGGAAATGGAGAATCAAAGACGTCAATCTCAAGCTGCTCACAATGTCGTAAAACTGACGGTGGAAGATGATGCTGACATCACGAAAGATATTGCCGAAACTGAGTTCCTTGGATATGACAGTCTCTCTGCTCAAGCTGTTGTGAAAAGTCTTTTGGTGGCTGGAAAGCCTGTGATAAGGGTTTCTGAAGGAAGTGATGTCGAGATTCTACTGGACAGAACTCCGTTCTATGCTGAATCAGGAGGTCAAATAGCAGACCATGGTTTTCTTTATGTTAACAGTGGGGGAAACCAAGAGAATACTGTTGTTGTTGAGGTAAGTGATGTGCAGAAGTCTCTTAAAAAATTTGTTCACAAGGGCACTGTAAAAAGTGGAGCTCTCGAAGTTGGCGAGGAGGTGGAAGCAGCAGTAGATCCAGACCTGAGGCAACGAGCGAAGGTGCGTGTGAATGTCATCTTGCATCCCGATATCCAAACTGCCTCTTTCCTTTTGCAAATTCTTGATCCTTTTTGTTAATTTTCCAGGTTCACCATACGGCCACCCATTTGCTGCAATCAGCACTTAAGAAAGTAGTAGGAGAAGAAACATCACAGGCTGGTTCATTAGTAGCTTTTGACCGCCTGAGGTTCGATTTCAATTTTAGTCGTCCCCTACATGATGTTGAGCTTGAGGAAATCGAAAGCTTGATCAATAGGTGGATTGGGGATGCTACACGTCTTGAAACAAAAGTCCTTCCTCTTGCTGATGCCAAACGAGCTGGAGCCATTGCAATGTTTGGGGAAAAATATGAGGATGAGGTAATAGAGATATCAATTATCAACAATTCAACGATTATATTGGCTCAGTGTTGAGAACCACATGATTAGGAAATGTTTCATTTTGGTTATAAGTTGAATTTTGGCTTGACTATGAGTACCATCGCATCTATCGCAGGTTCGTGTAGTAGAAGTTCCCGGTGTCTCTATGGAACTTTGTGGTGGCACTCATGTTAGCAATACCGCAGAAATACGAGCCTTCAAGATTATCTCAGAACAGGGCATTGCATCTGGAATCAGACGTATCGAAGCGGTTGCAGGTGAAGCATTCATTGAATACATAAACTCACGGGATTCTCAAATGACACGACTATGCTCAACTCTCAAGGTGTGTATTCCGCTTCTAGAGAGTTCTCCTTTCCATGTTTGAATCTGTGTGTTAACTGTTTGCTGCTTTCAAGGTAGTTGTTAATCTCGCCATAACCAAATTGTTGTCTGGTTTAATCTGAAGGTGAAAGCAGAGGATGTGACAAACAGAGTGGAGAATCTCTTAGAGGAACTACGTTCTGCTAGAAAAGAGGCCTCGGACTTGCGTTCAAAAGCAGCGGTCTATAGAGCATCCGTCATATCGAACAAAGCATTTACTGTAGGAACTTCACAGACGATAAGGTATCAAAATCATATTACTTCCTGCTAAAAATTATGTCAACCTAAAATAGTGTGAATGTAATGTTTTAATTCCTTATAGAGTGCTGGTTGAGTCGATGGATGACACGGATGCTGACTCGTTAAAGAGTGCAGCGGAGCATTTGGTAAGCACACTGGAAGATCCAGCAGCTGTGGTACTAGGATCATGTCCAGACAAAGACAAGGTGAGTCTAGTGGCTGCCTTCAGTCCAGGAGTAGTGTCTGTAGGAGTTCAAGCAGGAAAGTTCATTGGCTCCATTGCTAAGTTGTGCGGAGGAGGTGGTGGTGGAAAGCCCAATTTCGCTCAAGCAGGCGGCAGAAAGCCTGAGAATCTCCCAAGTGCCTTGGAGAAAGCTCGAGAAGATCTCGTCGCAACTCTATCCGAAAAACTCCGATGAAAGAACACAAAACTCTTCAAAAACCCTTATCTATACAAAAAAAAAAAAAATTGTAAATACAACAAGGAGAGCATCACATTGCCTGATTTTTAAGAAAACTGAAATCTCATGTATAGTTAAAATTACTATTGACCATTACATTATTTTGATAATTTTCCCATTCACAATACTTCGATTATTTTTTTATTTTTTTATTTTTTTTATTTTGTATTTTATGGGTTTTTAATAAATTTTTAGTTTTAGGGCTGCGGTGTTCTACTTCTACCTGTAATTTTTATTAAGCGATCACCACACCAATTACCGCATATCAGCTGCGCAATGGAAGAAGATTCACAACCTTCTCCCCCACGTAAACTAGCTCACGCCAAAAACTCCACAACGACACTTCCTCTCGATCTTGCCTTCGAGATTCTCTCTCGGCTTCTGGCGAAACCCATCCTCCGATTCCAATCCGTGTCGAAGCAGTGGCTCTCAATAATCCGCAGCAAAGATTTCACCGACTCGTTCCTGACTCGGTCAAAGACTCAGCCACGTCTCCTTCTAACCTTCAAGCACTTCGATTCCCGGAAGCGTTTCATCTTCTCGGCTCCTGAACACCCCCAAATCATCGAAGATGACAAATCCTCCTCCTCCTCCTCCTCCACAGTCATCGCCAGACACGACATGACGATCTCGGATTCCGTCTACAACATCAGATCTCGCCCCGTAAACGGTCTGGTCTGTTGCATACCTATACGCGGTCCAAAATCGATCGCGGTCTGTAATCCCACCACCAGACAAATCGTGAAACTGCCGGAGGTCACACCCAACGGAAGAGACATGTACGCGCGTCTCGGGTACGATCCTGTAGGAGACGAATACAAAGTCTTGTGCGTGATGATGTTCGACGGTTTCGACAGCAAAACAAAAGACGATATCAAACAGGAGCATTTTGTTTTCACGGTGGGATCCCGACAAAAGAAGTGGAGAAAAATTGAGACAGTCACTAAAGACCCTTACCGCTGCATGGAAGGCGAGGTTTGCATCGATGGTGTTCTATACTATGGAGTTGGTCACAAAAGGTTAGCTAGATTCGATGTTAGATCCGAGAAGCTTGAGTTTATTAAAGGACCCGAAGAGTATAACGCGGTCTCTTGTTACTCAAGAATCATCAATCACCAAGGGAAACTAGCGTGTGTGAGCTATGACTTCTACTGTTCGTCTAGTTTCGGTATGTGGATTCTACAAGACGCTGAGAAACAAGAATGGTTGAGCGTTGAGACGAGTGATGTGCCCTGTGAGTGGATTGATTTGTTTACAGAGGAGAGAGCTACGTGCACCGGTGAGATTCATACCGGCGAGGCAATGCTGGTTTCCAGATTGTTAGAGTCGTCTAAGCTCTTTTGTGTTTACTATTGCGATCTGGTTAGAGATGGTTTCAGAAGAGGCGAGGTTGATGGAATCGCAGACCTTGAGTTTAGACGTGACCACGGAATTGGTAAACATAATCGTCAGATGTTGTGTTTTCCAGGTCACATTGAGAATATCATGTTCTTCTAACACCTTCATCATCAATCTTCTCCTTTCTTTTGTTTTGTTGCTTCTTCTTAGCCTTCTCCTTTTTCTTTTGGGATATTTTGTATTACATTAATGATCAGTTTGTAGAGATGTTCCTTAATTCGACTTAGCTTTTGAGTGTCTTTAAAATATCAGCAAATGTTCTTTACTTCTTACATCCTGCAAACAAAAACTAACAAGAAAATTATTGTGCTGTGTTATAACAATACTGTGTTTTGGTGAACAACATCAACTTCTCCAAGTCTTTCAATGATACAAGTGATAGAGCGCTAGTAGCATTGAAAAGTGAAAACTTGTATGAAACTCTCTTCTTTGGCCTTAAACAAACATACTTCTCTAACAACGTCATGCAAACGACAAGATTCAACTCTTGATGTCACAGACCATACCCCTCTTGAACAGCTCCTCAAGGCAATCCTCTGCAACATTTACAATAGTACTATGCACCATCACTATGCCTTCTGCGACCCAGTAATTGAACAATGTCTCTGTTTGTATCTCGTGATCTTCCGGGAAAATGGGATTAGGTATAGGAAGCAGTGCTTCAAATGAGTAAGGTAAATCTTCATAGCTCAAAGACACCACGCTGAACACCAAACTACCGTTTTCACCAACCTCTCCTGTGATATGAGATCCAACATTGTTGTGTACCTCCACAGTGTTTGAGCATTTCTTGGATCTCTTGTTTCACATCATCGACCTGAAACTCTACACACGGAACATAAGAAGACTCTTAAGCTCACCCCTCATCACTTTAAATTGGTGTTATTGAAAATTTAGTTATATACGTGTAAGTTTTGGAACTAAAATGTAAAATATTGCATATCTCTATTTTTATAGGAGTATATTTTTTAATTTTAGGGTTGTGGACTTCACTACCAGCAGCCATGAAAGATTCACAAACGTCTCCCTCACGTGACCTAGATAACGCCGGAAACTACACAACGACCCATCCTCTCGATCTCGCCTTCGAGATACTCTCTCTACTTCCGGCGAAATCCATCATCCGATTCCAATCCGTGTCGAAGCATTGGTTCTCTATCATCCACAGCAAATATTTCGCCGACTCGTTCCTGACAAGGTCAACGACTCGGCCTCGTCTCCTTTTAACCCTCACGAACAAAGCCGGAAATCGTTACATCTTCTCGGCTCCTGAACAAAACAACGACGACGATGACAAATCCTCCATGGTGACCGGCAGACACGACATGACGCTCTTCTCCGACATATCCCGTCCTGTCAACGGCTTCATCTGCTTCATATGTGCTGCTTCGATCTCCGTTTGTAATCCCACCACTAGACAAATTGTGAAGTTGCCGAAAGTTAGACTTGAAACTGTGGGGTTACCGAAAGGTAGACCTTTTGGTTACGGAAAACAGAAAAAAGAAGAACTCGATGGAAGAGACATGTACGCTCGTCTCGGTTACGATCCGGTAGAAGATCAATACAAAGTCTTGTGCGTGATGATTGACGTTGGATATTATAATAGAGTTGTCGAGCAAGAGCATTTTGTTTGCACAGTGAGGTCATCTGAGAAACGAGAGTGGAGAAAGATTGAAAACACCACCAGAGGGGGAGTAGATCATTATGATGACGCAGAAATGATTAGATTGTGGATTCTTGAGGATGCTGAGAAACAGGAATGGTCGAGCATGACGTTTGACTTTTCTTCTGGGTGGGCAACAAGTTTACTTGGGACTTACGTATTATCTGAAGGAGTGACTCATACCGGAGAGCTCATGGTGTTTCATCCACCGTGCTTAAAGTCATGTAAGCCGTTTTGGGTTTTCTTTTGTGACTTAAACAGAGAGAGTGTAAGAAAAGTCGAGGTCCAAGGAATGGAGAAAGCTGATCTCGGACGTAATCGATATGGTCAGCTTTTGGGTTATCCAGGTCACGTTGAGAATATTAGATTCTTGTGAAATACTATCTTTTAGTTCAGTTTGATCGTTACTTAATTGGCTGGGTTTGCTAGAAAACGATTAAATCCTGATAATTTTTTTTTTTATTTTGAAGATTTTTGGTTTGGTTTTTTTGTCAAATTTTCTAATCAGTGATTTGAGTTGACGCAAATGTGACGTAAGAAGAAACTCTCTTTAAATGTTTCTCTCTTCCAAACTTTTAAAAAAGCTCTCGTTTATGTATTCAGCATCGTACACAATTCTTCGCTCAAAAAGAGCAAGATAGTAGGAATGAATGGAAATGAAATAAAAAAAGAAACAAATAAATATATTTTGTTCCTTTTTAAATTTAATAAAGAATACAGTTTTATTCTATAATTATTTTTAGAATAGAAAATGATAAAGAATGATTTGGGAAAAAATAATTCTAATAAATGGTAAAAAAAAATGGTCACCCGTTACACCCTACTCAAAATACTTTGGAAAACTCCCATTAAATAATGCCCAACATAAAGAGGGGAACACTTTTCTTTCAAGATTTGCCAATATTCTTATTGTTTCCTGTTTTGCATATGTATTTGTTCCTTTAATTTTATATTGGATCTTCACCACCAGCCGCCATGGAAGATTCACAGCCGTCTTCCTCACGTGACCTAGATCATGCCGGAAACTCCACAACAACCCTTCCTTTCGATCTCACCGTCGAGATACTCTCCCTACTTCCGACGAAATCCATCATCCGATTTCAATCCGTGTCGAAGCAGTGGCTCTCTACCATCCACAGCAAACGTTTCGTCGACTCGTTCCTGACTAGGTCAAAGACTCGGCCACATCTCCTTTTAACCCTCAAGAACAATGCCGGAAAGCGTTTCATCTTCTCGACACCTGAAGACAACAACGGCGACGATGACAAAGCCGGCTCCATAGGCACCGGCAGACACGACATGAGGGTTGACGTCCACATATCTAGTCCTGTCAACGGCTTCGTCTGCTTCCACGGTGGTGGTTCGATCTTCGTTCGTAATCCGACCACTAGACAAATTGTGAACTTGCCAGTCGTTGAACTCAATGGAAGAAACAAGTACGCAAGCCTCGGGTACGATCCGGTGGAAGACCAATACAAAGTCTTGTGCGTGGTGATTCACACTGGACACCGCCGTAATGGTCAAGCGCATGTCGAGCAAGAGCATTTTGTCTGCACAGTGAGATCATCTGAGAAACAAGAGTAGAGAAAGATTGAAAACACCACCGGGGTTAATTATTGCACCGTCTGCGAAGGCATATGCATCGACGGTGCAATATACTACGGAGTTGGAGAGTCAAGGATAGTTAGATTCGATGTTAGATCTGAGAAGATGGAGCTGATTCAAGCACCCAAAGAATCAAATATAAGTCATGGTTCGGCTCTTATAAATTACAATGGAAAACTGGGGCGGAGTAGATTATGGTTACGAACAAGAGAGCAGGTTGTGGATTCTTGAGGATGCTGAGAAGCAGGAATGGTCGAGCATGGCGTTTGCCTTGCCTTCCGAGTGGGAAAGTTTATATGGGGCTTACGGTATTACGGTGTATAGAGGAGTGTTTTATACCGGCGAGCGCGAGCTCATGGTGTTCTATCCATGGCTAGAGTCATCTAAGCCATTTTGTGTTTGCTATTATGATTTTAACAGAGTATAAGAAAAGTGAGGTCCAAGGAATGAAGCATGGTGACTTCAGTCATATCCTTTATCGTGGCGGCCAGGTGTTTGGTTTTCGAGGTCACCTTGAGAATATTAGGTTCTTGTGACGACTTTTTTTTTTTAATTCCTTCTTGTGTTGTTTTTTTTTTTTTTTGAGAATTTTTGGGTTGGTTTTTGTCAAAGATTTATATAATCAGTGATTTGAGTTCACGAACACAATTGTTTTTTCTTATGTTAAAAATATGCAGAAAAAAACTTATATAATAAAAACGTTTACGGTTTTACAAACCAAGCGAAAAGAGTGCTTCGTCTCATTGTATGAATCGAATCAGTTTGACCAATCATGTGTCGCCACTTGTAAAGCTTTCTGTAGACACGACCGTACCTTATTTATACATCCCCCTCATTGGTCGTCTCTCCCCATTAAGGCAAGAGTGTGTTCAAAACCCTTAAACCTCTCTCACCAACTGATTGATTGATCGCATATCATCATACATAACTCCGCCTTCTTCCTCTTTCCTCCAAAACCCCAGATTTTTGCAACTTCTGGGTATTCGATCTCCCGTTCGCAGATCATACGGTCTCGAGAACATTTGGGCAAATTAAATGTCTCTATCCCTAAAAATTCCCCACATTTCGAATCTCTCCACCGATGTGTTCAATAGTGTAGAGCCTCTTAAGCAATGCGGAGCCGGCCATAGGTTGGAAATCAGGTCGATTTGTTTCCGTCGAATCCCTGTTGTTGAACCTGGAAGGATCCATTGGAGCTCGGAGCTGTCTTCTCGGAGTTTTAGAAACCGATGCGTCGGATCGGGTATGGTCGCTGGGGAAATCTCCGGCAGATCGGTCCCGGAATGGGCATATAGCGGCTTAAAGGATGAGACTTTAAGCGATTTGGAGCCGGAGCTAGATGGCGACGGCGGCGACAATGGAAATAACGACGGAGACGGGAATAGTGGTAATGGCGGCGGAGGAGAAGGCGGCGGCGGAGATGATGGAGAGGATGAAGCAGATAAAGCTGAGGAGAAGGAGTTTGGTCCGATTCTGAAATTCGATGAGGTTATGAAAGAGACAGAGCGTCGAGGGATTACGCTACCGGAGGATATGTTGGAGGCGGCGAAATCCGTCGGGATTCGGAAACTGTTCCTTCTTCGTTACCTCGATCTACAGGTTTGATTTTGGAGAAAAAAAACACAAGAACTCGGAGAAAAGTTCTTATTTTGATTGTTTTATATGATGATGAATGATGAATCGTGTTAATAATGCAGGGCTCTGTTTGGCCACTTGGGTTTCTGATGAGGACTTGCTCGATGCTTCGAAACAGAATGCTCGCAGATCCTTCATTTCTCTTTAAAGTTGGAACCGAGGTTTGTCAACGATTTTAAAGCCTTTCGTTTTTTTTGTATTAATTCTCGGGTTTGTGGAATCAATGTAAAGATTGTTGGTTTACGGGTTTTATGCAGATAGCGATAGACTCTTGCTGTGCGACATTTGCAGAAGTTCAGAAGAGAGGAGAAGATTTCTGGTCGGAGTTTGAGTTGTATGCAGCTGATCTTTTGGTCGGTCTTGTGGTCGATGTCGCTTTGGTTGGACTTTTGGCTCCCTATGCACGTATCGGGAAGACATCTGTGGCATCATCAACAGGTTTATTCAAGGGCCTTAAGCGTTCTTGTGCAGCACTTCCTAGCAGGTAAAAACTGTCGTTGTCTCTCTACTCTCTCTCATTCTTCGCTTTTTGGCTTCATGTAATGTACAAAATGGGTTTAACTCTTCCCATTACTCATACGGTTTTGTTTTGTGCGTATGAAGTGTCTTTGAAGCTGAAAGACCGGGTTGTAAATTCTCTATTAACCAGCGTGTTGCAACTTTCTTCTACAAGGTATGGAGAAGAAGATTTTCTTTAGTCTTCTTTGTGGATTTGTTTCGTACATTTGGTTTTACTAATCGGTGTGGTTATCTAGGGACTCTTGTATGGGTCTGTTGGATTCGGCTGCGGTCTCGTCGGTCAGGGGATTGCAAATCTGATCATGACGGCGAAACGGTATTTTTTCACCATCGACTTTAATCTTTCAATCATGAAAAATAATCATCTTGAGTTTGTTTTATATGATGTGGTCGAGACACTCGACTGGCTAAATAACTGTTCACTAAAGTTTTGGGGGTTCTATGTCAAATAGGAGTATAAAGAAATCAGAAGAAGATGTCCCTGTTCCACCTCTATTCGAAAGTGCTGCTCTCTGGGGTAAATCTTACTTACCATCATCATTAACTTTGTATACAACAACAAAAAAACTTTGCAGAGTCATCAAAGCTTTTTTTTTCCTTGAAATACTATCTACTCTTTTTACGAGTTCTTGCTATGTCTGTGACCCGTGATAGAGGTTACTGTAACCTGGATCAATCATGAGTTTCTTAAACGGGTTTAGTTTCTTAGAAAATAAAGAACCTGAATTGCCATTGATACAGAGAATGCGTGAAGATTTTCTCTGTGAATTGTTGATTACACAGACTCACTCTCTTCTCTTTCTATGTCTTGTGTTTCTTCTTGATCAGGTGTGTTCCTCGGCTTATCTTCCAACGCACGTTACCAAATCATCAACGGACTCGAACGCGTCGTGGAAGGTTCTACAGCAGCCAAACGTATTCCTGTGGTTGCGATGGCGTTTACAGTTGGAGTCCGGTTCGCTAACAATGTATACGGCGGTATGCAGTTTGTGGACTGGGCTAAACTGTCTGGCGTCCAGTAGTCAAACAGTCTCGGTTTTGTTACGAACCGGTATGCAAACCAGCCTTAGAAGTTTCCGTCTGAGATCTTAATCTGATGGGGCTAATTGGTTATGGAGTATCGTTAGTGATTACACTGATTAGGTTATTTACCGAGAGCTAGAGAAAGAATCCGGTGCATGATCTGGACCGGAATCTTCTAACCGGATAACTCGAACGGGACCGATACAACATTTTCGATTTGGGTTTTGGTTTTGGAAGTTGAATTTCTCATAAGGTCTCGTATTTCTCCAGTTTCCTTAATAATTTGCAATAATGACATTTTCCATATCACTGATGAATACGAAAAAAATAGAAAATTTCCATTATTAAATAAATTGTACAAAAGAAAATTTCCATTATTCTCATATACAGAATCTTATATATAATTTCTTCCTCAAGTAAAAGGTCAAAAGGTTATGTTTTTCATCAGACGACGACAATGGCCAAGGTTTCACAGCTTTCTCTTATTTTCCGTGACAATTTACAAACTACTCACCAGAACTCCAACAAAAACTCAGATGCTGTCGAGAAAAAACTGTCGGATCCATCGCCGAACCATAGCCGCGATCAATTGACAAGCCGGTTTGCTTCATGGCCATCGTTTCAGATGCCTCTTCATTATCCGAAGTTCACAAAGGAAGAGTACGAGATTATGTCGGAGGAGAATCTTGACCGGCTTCTCAAAGTATACGGTCTGCCTACAGATTTCAGTGACTTGTCTTGCAAGAAACAATTTGCTGTCGGTGCGTTCTTGTGGGAGAAAGAGCTAAATTCTTCTCCGGCTAAGCATGATTCAGTGAACCCTAATTCTTCCGTTGGTGATTTGGGCGGGAGTTCTTTGACGGGACTGATGACGGGTTTGAAACATATGGTTCACTATATATGTCGTGTTTAGCAAATAAAGCCCTAACGTTGTTTGGTCCTTAAGTTTTGTTTCTGATTGTTTTATACGGATTATGGTTTATTCTATCATCTTGTTATTAATGTTAGATTTTAGTATCTGACAAAGATCTAGTATTACAAGTGAGTAATTAATTTCAAAAGCCTACCAACCGAAACCAATGGATAAAAAAAAGAAGTTCCAATTCTCAAATTTTGCGAGATATGTATGCCACAATATACATACTTATTCGTGCATAGTCAAGAGACCGGTCCGTGAGATGTTGGTACATTATACAATATTGTATAATCAAGACCGATCCAAATCCTCTCCTTTTTTTTATAACTCTTATGATATTAATTCTATTTTGCTTATAATTGTACATTTGTTCGATCTACCTTTAATTTCTCCGAGTTTTTACTGGTCCGGTGAGGCTGTGACCGGCGACAATGGTTCATCCTGTGTCCTTTGTTCACCAAACATTAGTTTCTTAAGTCGGTTTTATTTCTTTGAGCTAGAATAAGGTTTAATATTCTTAGGATGTAAAGAACCTATATTGCCATTATACATAGAATCGATTACAGTTTTGATAAAGGTACTAGCTGTAGATTAATTGTTCTTGTTGATGGTAATGTGGAAAAGAGTCATAACTCATAAATGCCATACAATCATATGAGTGGCCTAGTTGGGTTAGTACTTAGTATAGATATGGATTATGGAATGTATCAAATGTTGAGGGTGTCGAGTATTTTTTTGGTTTTGTTTAGGGGCTAGTAGTTCTGTAATTTGTTTTCGTTAATTAATCGTATGCGATAATGAGTCAACAAGTTACTAGCATTAGCATATGATCGCATTTGCATATATAAAAAGTATAGTTATGTCAACCAAACGTCATTTTTGGACGTTTTGACGTTTGCATGGATCGATATATAGAAAATGTGTGTGTGACTCTCTCGAGACATTTATTTACTCTTTTCAAATTTTTATTATAAAAATTCCATTTTCTGTTAAAAAGAAGAAGGGGAAAAGGAGAATACTGTAGTTGGTAGGTGGAGATATTAAAAAAATATTTAAAGCAAATATCAGTATGAAAAAGTAGTAAATTTTTTCGAAATGTTTATTGAATAAAAGGGAAAAGAATCAAAATATTCTTGGGATACTTTGATGGCAACTTCATTTGATAGATGGAGGATCATCTCAGTGACAGCTTGGTCATCTCTGTCATCCAACTGCTACATTGTCATCTTTTGTTCTCTTGTTTCTGTTTTGTGCCCCATTAAATAATTATATTTGGTCTAATCTTCATTAAATGTTACTAATCTAAAAATATTGTTAAATCGTTTTTCAAACTTAACTCTGTACAATTTGGGTTTATAGCATTAAAGTAATAATCCGTTCGAAATTCAATAACCCCAAACTGATGAGAAGAGTGTAGCACATAAAAAAACACTTGTTTCTCTAAACCGACAATTCTAGCCGAGTCGACCCTGTCCCACTTATATTGCGGTAGGATCATAGGACCAGCTCAACTCGAGTACTCGACCCAACCCGACCGGAATTACAATTACGATTCCTATATGAAACTGAAATTCAATTAACCAATATTTGCCAATTCATTAATCCATTTGGACACTTGGTAATTGATTTTCAGTCAATTATTGAATTTAAACAGAAAGCAGTCATTTATTGATTATAAACCGAAAATGTTTTGAAACAAACAAGAGCAACACTAAACTTTACAAGAAAAAAAAGTTGAAGAGGAGAATTTTGTGACAAAATAGTCTGCAACTTATGATTTCTCCATTTCAGTCCAAAATTGACTAGAACATAAAAACTGGAATTATACATAACTAAACGAGTAAATTTCAGATTTTATTAATGCATATGCTTTTAATAGATTCTATATTAATTAAGCCTAAAATGAAATGATTTTGGGTCTAGATAAATTTTGTAATAAATAAAACAGACAAAAAACGAATTATACAAGATTGAATAGTGATAGTTGTAAATAAAGAAAATAAAAGTCGCCTTCCGTCGTGCTCCCCGTTGGCTTCTCTCTCTTCTCGTCCACCTTCTGCAGATCACTCTCCTTTTTGAATTTTCTTCAATTGGTTGTGCCATTTTTCCGTTTCTATATTAGGGTTCCGATCTCTTCTCCGGCAAATTTTATATCCTCCAGCTCTAGTCTGCTGTTTCCGTGGTTGTTAGATCCGGTTTCGCGAGTTGGATCTCCCCGTGCGAGGCGGCGGCGGACGGTGGATCTGAGGAATCGGTTCCACCATGACTGGAATGAGAGGGCTCTCCGTCTTCATCAGTGACGTACGTAATTGTCAGAACAAGGAGGCGGAGCGACTCCGAGTTGATAAGGAGCTCGGAAACATCCGTACATGCTTCAAAAATGAGAAGGTTAGCGGCTTCTCTTTCTCCGTCTCTGTGGACATTCCATTATCACCATTTTTGTTTTTTTGTTTTTCATCTCACTCTCATCTGAGTGGTCATTCAGTGTCGAAGTAATCACTTGAGGCTCTGTATTGATTAGATATACATTGGAGATTTATCCTTTGCAGAGCTACATATTCCTACGAGATTGTTTAACATTTAAATCCAGTTGCTATGCAATCCAATGTTAGAGCTAATAGGTTGATAATGGTGTTAGAGAAGAATGTAGTTGAAGCAGTGATGCGAGTCTTTTAACGGAAGAAAGCAGAGTTGCTGTTTATATCACAAATTTTGCAGACGGATAGGCATTGTAATGTTTGCGTTGTATTGCTAGCTCATGTGCTTGGATATTAGGCCATTATCATACCCTTCTAAACATCACTACTGCTTTCTACTTGAAACGTCATAAGGGTATTTTCAAGTCGGTAGATGGGAGAAACGAAATTATATTTTCCTTGTGATCAATCAAGATATATAAGAACCTTGAATGTCTGAAGATATTACGACGGAACTATAAGGAAAGAAAAGCCAGGCAAAATTAGGTTATGTAGTTATAGTTTAAGGAAAGAAAGTATGTTATGTAGCTGGTCACTGATAGATTTGAATAGTTCATTACGAAGTAGATTAAGATCTGTTGCTGTAAGAAGGTTTGGGTGAAATTCGGATTCCATAATGCAAGTAGCAGAGTTGTAGCCGGCCTATAGTGTCCATCTCTGATATTTTTGGAGCTTCATGTGACATGTTAGACTTGAATTGATCATACATCCTTTGATTAGGTTTCCTATAATGTTTTACGTTTGACAGGTTTTGTCACCATATAAAAAGAAGAAATATGTCTGGAAAATGCTTTATATACATATGCTAGGTTACGATGTGGATTTTGGCCATATGGAGGCGGTTTCTCTTATATCTGCTCCAAAGTATCCAGAAAAGCAGGTAAGCCAAAGTTTTGTTTGCTCAAGCAATTAAGTATTTCTTTCTAAAGTTAGTATAAGAAAACTAGGTGGGGGTATTTGTTTGAGTCAAGTCTAGTGATTAAGCTGGAACAAAGTGAAATGAAGATCATAGAAAGCAAGATCTACATACAATTTCCCGTGCTTGGAATACTATTCAGTTTGATAGGACCTCGTAATGTAATTAGACATTAACTAGGTATTTAGTAACAACACCTTAGCAACTCTTAACCAAGATATACAAATTATACCGTGCGTTTTCTACCGAGGGTTTGCATTACCAATATTATATTTTGTATCTTCCTTACCTTAGTTGCATGTATCGAAATTTTCAGGTTGGCTACATCGTTACATCCTGCTTGCTCAACGAGAACCATGATTTTTTGAGGTTGGCAATTAATACAGTGCGGAACGATATAATTGGTCGGAATGAGACTTTCCAGTGCCTGGCATTGACTTTGGTATGTGCTCTTTTGTCCATAGTTGTGTTGAGATCTTAGAGCATAATGAATTCTTTCTGATTATGGGATGCACTTAAGTGACTGTTTTGATAAAGTTCTCGGCGGTATTTTGTCTTTTTGCTTTAATAACTCATGATTCAGAGCCTTTTACTTCACTAAATCCGGTGCTTATTTTTTCTTCTGGCTCTCTTACCTTGCCATGTTTGCTTTCTCCTGTAGGTTGGAAATATTGGTGGGAGAGATTTTGCTGAATCATTGGCACCTGATGTTCAAAAGCTACTTGTAAGTGACCCTCAAGATGACATACTATGGGTATTTATCCATTTAAGTAAAGATATTAATGCTATGGGACTTGTTTGCTGTAGATTTCTAGCAGTTGCAGACCGCTCGTAAGGAAAAAAGCGGCACTGTGCCTACTGCGCTTATTCAGAAAAAATCCTGATGCCATCAACGTTGATGGGTGGTGTGTATCAATACTCTGGGTAACTGGTTGTTTGATTTTACTTGCGCATCTTTCGTAAACTCTGAATTATATATGCTTTCAGGGCGGATCGTATGGCACAACTTTTGGATGAACGGGATCTTGGTGTCTTGACATCTTCTACAAGTCTTCTTGTAGCTCTGGTATCAAATAATCATGAGGCGTATTCAAGTTGCCTACCTAAATGTGTCAAAATATTGGAGCGCCTTGCTAGGAACCAGGACGTGCCTCAGGAGTACACATACTATGGCATCCCATCTCCTTGGCTCCAGGTTTGGCTTTACCCGTCATATTTACTCTTGTTCAACTTCAACATAGCTCATGAAAATGTGAATTAGTTGAATTGAAGCAAAACCGTGTTCCAACCTATTATTGTTCACATGATCCCGTGGATTATTCAAATTTGATGTGCAAATAGCTCATGAAAATGGAGGCTTCCAAGCATTGGTGATTTTTGCAGCTCAGTTAAAGTATTTTGGATTCTTATATTTCTGTGGTTAGCACAGGTCAAGGCGATGAGGGCTCTTCAGTATTTTCCAACCATTGAAGATCCCAGTACCAGAAAATCACTCTTCGAGGTTCAATTTTTCTCGAGTAAATCTCTAATATATGTCTTCGAGTTCTCTCTCTCATGGCATTTCATGGAAATTTCAGGTCCTTCAGCGGATATTAATGGGGACA